ATATTGTTTATTGACAGAAAAATTTTTATATTATACATATAGTTTTGGAGCTAAACTATAAGAACATTAAGTAGGCTCATAAATATTTAATTGATGGCATACCCAATTGTATTCGATCATGCAATTATAACATCCATCATTTTTAAGTTGGTTGCCATCATCACATTCTTCTAAATCTGTAATATAAGAATCTCCACAAATAGATAAGCATTTCTCGCCATCAAAAGAAAACCCAAATTCACATTTTAATAAGCAGTTTCCTTTGTCACATATATTGCAGCCTTCAATACATTAATACTTGCATTCATAGCATCCATCAAATTAAATTGAGTTGCCGTCATCACATTCTTCTGCATCTGTAATATAAGAATCTCCACAAATAGATAAGCATTTCTCGCCATCAAAAGAAAACCCAAATTCACATTTTAATAAGCAGTTTCCTTTGTCACATATATTGCAGCCTTCAATACATTGATACATGCATTCATAGCATCCATCATATTAAATTAAGTTTCCGTCATCACATTCCTCATTAGATGTATTGTTAAACAAAATTAAATAATTATTTAAAAATCAATTAATTTATAACTAAGTTATTGCCAAAAAACAATTTTAATTTTCAAATACATTCTAAATTAAATAATTAGACGATTTCAAACTATCCTTTAAAAAAATTTCTTATAAATCTTAAATTTTATGAAGGAAATAAATCAAAATACATTAAATATAAACAAAAGTTAGTGTAGAAATTAACATAGCAAAAAAAGAAAGTTATAAGTAAATAAATTTTTACAAAAGTTAAAAGAAAAGATCAATTAAAACAAATGTTATTAATTAGACATTAAAAGGAATGTTAAGGAGCTGTTCAGTATATAAATTCAAAAATTGAAATAAAAATACAAAAATCAAAGTTTCAGAAATTAAAGTAACTTAAAGAGAATAAAAATTATGCATCTTGATCTAAATATTTTTTTATGTTTATTTTTTTTCTCAGCTTCTGTTTTCTATACTTTAAGCAATACTTAAATTTACTCAATTACCAAATTTTCAATAAAAATTCATAAACCATATGGTCATCAGTATAGCAAGAGTCATTCTATAGTTTAAGATAAGAAATTACATATGTTAAGGATTATAAATAATAATTTTAATTATGATAAACCATATAAATTTCCTTTCTTCCTTTTAAGAAGAATTTATGAGAGTAAGTTTTATTGGTCATTTCTTGGCAATTTTAGTGAATTGGACTTAATAGGTGAGTTAGGTTTTCAGGGCATAGCTCTTGCAAAAGGCTTGCCTTATTTGGTACATAAAAGTTCTATAAGATCTGATATTCTTATATTATTTTTGACACATATTAATGGAAGCTTTCTTGATGCTGCCTTCGGCTTTGGCTTCTAACATACTTTTCTCCTGTATTACTCCCTTATTGGTTGGATAGAACTAGTTTCTGTAAGATCAGTTTCTGTAAATAATTCTTCCACTTTGAAAGATTCAGTTTACCTTTTCTTCTTGGTGATGTACTAAATTTATTCATCTTATTTCTTGGGGTTTTTGCTGGCACATCCATTCAAAAGATAAAATAATATATACAATTATGCATTAATATTGATGGAAAATTTAATAAAAATTAAATTCATGATCAGTTATTTTCTTATTGGCCACAATAAAGTAAAGTGTTAATTGCTCAAGTCTCAGTTTTTTCAGATTTCGGGTCATTGGTGGAATTCCTCTTCAGTGAGGTGATCATTCTATATGAGTGGAAAGCATTCTTTTCTTGGAATAGCCAAAGTTTTCCAAGCTAATTCAATAAACACTGTAACTATAAGGGATACAATTGGTATGGGCAAAATCTTCTTTTTTAGTTTATTAATGTATGTTGAACTTAGGATTTCTTTTAGGAATCATAGTCTTTACGAAACAGAGAAAGTAACAAATCACTACATTCTTGATAAGGTTTTTGCCAACTTTTTTTATTATTAAAGGTCTTGTTTTTATTTATATCTTCTAAAAAGAATGCAATTACTGTTCTATTTAAAAAGATAGGTTCAATAAATGTATAAGAGCCAGTAGTTGTAAGAAGTTCGTTTTAAGAGAAAATTGCGTTAAATTTAGGCTGATGTAATTCAACTTGTTGTTGAGATGCTTAAGCTACTGAAAAAGAACAGGCAATTCTTTTAGTCTAGAATTTCTGAATTTTATTCGCATTCTCTTATTTTAGAAAATTTTCCATTTTTTAGTTAAGCTAGATTTATTATTTATCGAATCTTTAATGAATCTAAATTCTAATTAAAAGAACTAAGTTATAGGTGCCAAGAATTTCATTTCACTTCATACATAAGGCTCACCAATAATTCTTTATTGGTTAGCCTTATAGAATTCTTTGTGTAAAGTAATATTTTATGTTAATGTAGAATGGGTTGATAATTAACTTTCGTTGTGCAGAGCTCTTAATTACTCAACCTCTTTTAATTTATGATCTTATCAATAGTATTATTGGCACTTGATAAATAAAAAATGATTATGTGTAGCTTTGCTTTGCTTTAAATTGTATTTGATTTTGCAGTTTTTGATGAAATATTAATATTCAGATATTAAATATTGGTCTCAGTATAAATATTAGCCAGAACTACTTTGAAGGATTTTCAGATTACTTTATTTAATGTAATTAATCTAACCTATCCAAGTCTATTGCCTACTTTATAGATGTTTGTTTGCCAGATACTCTTCATTATTTTTGAGAATTTAAGACTTAATGTTTTGCTAGGGCTAGTTCATATAATTTTTTATTCAAGTCCTAATTTTTATAGAATTCAAAAATGTGTTCACTTGATCACAATTATATATTGCCCTCAAGAAAGTAAATGAAAATGTAGAAACTGAATTCATTCCCTGAATGCAGCTCTTTAAATTTCTCAAGAAACTTAGCAATTGATCAACTCTTAAATTAATTTTGGTGATAATTTTTTTTTACCAAATTTAGTGAAGATAATGATTCCAAAAATCAGAAAAATTGTAAATCTGTATATCTTTCAAAAACCTTACTTATTCTGAATCATTTATGTTAAAAGAGTGCCAGAAACAGTTTTCAGCTCTATTCCCGCATAAATTATAATATGATCTAATTATAACAGGATTATAACCTTAATATTTAAAAAAAATTATTTTCAATTCTTACTTCTACATCAGCATATGAATCACCACAGTACTCTTCACATTATCCATTTATTACTTGATATCCTATTTTACATTATAAACATGCTAAGTTACAAGAAATACAATTATTGCTACACTGATACAAACTTATTTCAAAATTCTAAATCCCCCAAAATTCCTATCATTTTAGATTATTATTACATCATTATCTCCATTATCTATTACAAAAATTTCAATATCAGCTTTATTATTGATGTGTAAAAATTCAAAATTTATATAATCTACTTCATCATTGAAATTAGTTGCTCCACATAAATTAGGCAGGGAGGAATAAAAACTATAAGTTTTAGAAAATTTTATAGATCCATCAACTGTAACCTTTAAATAATCATTATTCCAAGAATCAATTCTATATAGATTAAATATATAATGATACCTCCAAAATACTATTTAGATTTTTATTTTATAATGAGGAGCCAAATTTTCTATACTCTTTTTAAGTCTTGTATTCATATTGAAGCCCTAAACTCCTCCAAAGATATATTGATTATTAGAACAGATGGAAAATAGATTAGATAAACCATTAGTAATTATCCAACCTAAAATAATAATATTCATACCATCCTATTCCTATACATTAGCATTAAATTGATAAATAATCTCTTGGCAAAATCTTTAATATAATTTTTAACATTAATTATTTTATTTTTCTTTGATAAAAATTATTTCAAGCAGTTTTTGCACTTAATTTCAGATAAATTAAAATCTAGAAAAAATAGATTTAATTTTAATTAAATAGGAAAAAATATAAATTATTGTAGTATACAATGTTTTTTTCATGTTTTATAGAGAAAGACTAAGAAATAGTATTCAATTTGATAATTAAATCAAGTATAACATCAATTGATGTTTAACAAACTTATTTTTTAAGGATTAAACTATTTTAAGTCAATGCAAAATTTATTAAGTAGTGTTAATAATATGAGATATTTCTGTTGAATAAAATAAAAAAAGTGTTCTGTTTTAGATAAATTGTAATCTACGTATTATAAGCCTGTATTAACTTGTGTTTATTTTTTATATTCAGTTATTTTTCTTTTTGTAAATTTAACCTTAATTACTATTAATATTTCTAAATGCATTTTATTTTAAGTTAAAAAGTTTGTATTTTAAATTCTCGTTTATTTCAAGTAATTATTATATCTACAGCAAAATAAATGATGAGCTGTAAGTATATTTTTGAATCAATTGATGTCTAGCAATTTTGAGAAATATATTAGAAATTAAAATTAAATTTGAAATATTAGAATAATATTATTTCTAAAAATATATTTATTATTAATTCTGATTTATTTTCTCATAATTAAAAATAACTTTCACTCAAAAATAAACTCATAAATAAAACCAATTTGAACTCAATATAAATTTTTGTAAATAGTAATTAGAGCAAAATCACATAATTATGTTTTATGTGAATATATTGTCGAAGTTATGAAAAAATTTCAACAATTCTAAATAAATTTATTTTCCTTTTTTGGAGCTTTAGATCTCAACATAAAATGAAGTATCAAATGACAAATTTGGAGTATATTTTAGTGATATTGACTAATCTTAATTATTGGCAGAGTATTCTTTAAAATACTCGTGATGATTTCTATTAAGGAATGCAGATTGGAAGAATAAATATATATTTTTTAGCTAAATCCATAAAAAGATTTGTTTTACAAAAGAATTTACGACATATTTAACAGCAGGGAAGATTTAATTGGTAATTTCTTAAATTTTTCAAAGTAATTCTAGGATTGCTCTTAAGTAAAATTTAATATCATTTATTTAATCAGTTCTAAACTAAACAACTCATAATGCAAATTTGCATGATAATAAAGAGTTGCAACTTTTTTGAATATTTAAATGGAATAAATTATTTTATATTTATTTTTGAGAGATCTTCACAGAAATTTGTCTTTGGAAATGAAATATTGAAAATAATAGAAATATTACTTTCGATATTTTTATAAAATAATTTTTCAAAATGATTTTGAATTATATACATATTCTATTTAATCGAAAAATTAAAATCTTTAGTCTCAATAATAGTAACATCCTTTTTTATTGTCAGAAAATAATACTATTGCCTTTCCTAAATTTTTGAATCTTTATGGTTCAAGGAAAAAATTCATCAGTTAAATATTTAATAAAGTGAATATTATCATTATATAAATTTTAAATGCTGGTAGATTTGATGGCTTCCTGGGTCATGAATAATTCTATCAAAGGTGCGCCAAGACTTATGCATCTGCATAGAATATCAACACTAATATAATTATGAACAAGATAATTTTCCCCTAAAACAAGGAGGCCACTTGTGTGAAACAGAAATTTAGTAATATCAACATTAAAATATCTGGTAAATTCTGGTTGAAAATAAATTCAAATTTGCGGGCCACAATTAAAATTAAAACTCAAAAAATGGGTGAATTTTCAGACCTAATCTGAGTGACTTTGTAATCCATTAATTAATTAAATTATACTTATGATTCAATAAAAATACTTGATACAGAAATTGATTTCACTTATTCATATTATATTATTTGAAGTATCTTCAATCTAATTTTGAAAATTACAGATTTAAGAACAAGTTCTTTATTGAACTTTTTTCCCTTAATTTAAAAATATATAATATATTCACATAATTTGCAAATTTAATAATTGAAATGACTGTATATCAAATACAAATTTCGATTGAATCAATATTTGTTATTCTGTTTTTGGGTTTTTGACGCCTTTTATTTCCATATTTTTCCTCTTCCTCAGTTTAAACAGTATTCTTTTATTATTTAATAAATTTCCTATAATTAATTTTTTTTCTTTACAATAATTAATATTGATGTCTTTAATACAGTTTAAAAGTTTCAAACAATTAATCACAATGGTGGCAAATCCTATAAACCTTTTATTTTTGCTAATTTTTTGCTATTTTTTTTCCAAACTGTTTGGATGTTATCTTATTCTATTATTTTTTCTTCTGATTTTTAATGATTACTTATTTTTCATTTGTGAGATTTTCATTTTACTCTTAGATTTATTCTTATTAATTATTTTCCTTTTCCTATTGATTAATCTTTGATTGTTATTATTTTTCTTCATTTTCAATCTAAACATTTAATTTTAATTATTATGAAAGTGCATCTATTTATTTTGAGATATCAGCACATTTTTCATAAATAAAAGCCACAGTTTAATAATGTTGAGTCAAGGGTATGAATTTCATGAAATATAAATAATTTTTTTCGATGTTAAAAAATGGCTGCTAAAATAAATTAATCATTTATATATTTATAAAAAGATTCTTAAATTTTTCTATAATAGTTTATCATAATTAATTTTTTATTTCAAATTTAATTTCAAACAAGTTAATTAAACTATTAAAAATTACAATTCAAATAAAGATTTAATTTCGAACTGATATATATCAATATATAAACAATATCTTGAAGTAAGCATTTTGAATAAGATTATTCTTTTATAATAGAAAATGAATGGAATTAATTAATATTGTTCAATAAGCTGAAATATTAATTGTTGTTTTTTTTCTTTTTATGGCAAAACCAAGTAAAGATACCAATTAATCTTTTCTTATGTTATCAAATTCTTAAAATCTTGATAGAAAACACACAAAAAGCTAAAGTTTACCCATTAAAATCTTAACAACAAAATGTCCCATGAAATCGAAGAAAAACACCTATTTTAAACTAGCATATTTCAATTATTATCAAAAATTATAAGATAAAACTTCAATTATAATTTTAAGTTTATATTTTATTGCATTAAAAATTGAATTCTAATCAAATGTTATCTTTATTAATTGTTGAATCTGAGTTTTCCAGAGATAGCTCACAAGAACCTAATAGTATAGCCCTTGATATTCTTAGTAATTTTATAGGTTGGACCTATATATTCTGCTGGTCTTTTAGTTTTTATGGATAATTGTATGAAAATTACAAAGTGAAAAAGTAAACTAATTCTGTAAATTTAAAGCGTAAAGGGAATTGCATTTGAATTTTTAGGTCTTAACTTAACTGGATACTTGTTTTTAAGTGCTTATAGCTCGGCTGGTTATTATAAAGGAGGGGATAGCGGTTGGCCATTCAGTGGTAATATTACTTTATAGGATCTCATTTTTGCGTTTCACTCTGTAGGAATCACAATCCTCACTATACTTTAAATAGCTTATTATTATAAAGAAGGAGATAACCCAGGTGTCAGTTTATGGTGTATAATTGTGTTGATAACTCTATGGTCTTCGACAATACTGTATATAGTTTTGACATGGATTTTCGGTTGGGAAGTGATTTTTAAATAAGAAAAATTAAATGTCCTATATTGGATGGGATATGAGAAATTATTTGTTACTCTAATAAAAAACATTCCTTAAGTTTATTTGAATTATAAGCGAAAATCAACGGTGGGTTGGAGTATATTCAATATACTATTAGCTTTTTTTGGAGGTATTTTATCATTTTTACAAATGCTAATTGATCAAATTAATGGAAGTAAATATATCATTAAGTTAGTAAGAAAGTGCAAATCTAGTTGATATGAACATTGTTAAATTTATTTTGAATTGGATAGTTTTGGGTTTTGATTTAATCTTCATATTATAGCATTACTTATTATACCATCCCAAAAGGAATAAAACAAAAGATATTAAAGATGAATATTAATAAATGAAAGAATGAATGTTATTTTATATATTTAGTTCATTTGAACTGTTATTCAGATTAATAACTATTAAGAAATTCTAGCAAATTTTGATAAATTATGATAGATTTCAACATTAATATTTTAGAATTACTACTAAGACTAAGTATTGTTATGAATCAATCAAAACTTCTCAAATTTCTTAAAAGCATAAATTTAAAAATTGTAATTTAATACTCCAATATAAATCTTTCATAAAAATATATATTTTTTTATTTGATCTTTTACTGTTATTTATGCTAAATATTACGCCACTAATTTATATCAACTAGTTTTTAAAAAGTAACTTTGAATATTTTTAAATATGCTTAATGATTTGATATCATTATCTGCTAATCTTTAAGCTTTCTGTTTAAATTTAATTTAAGAAATGATTCTGGATATATAAAAGTTCAAGATATTTAACACTAGTTATTATTTGAGAATTCAATTTATTAGATCTCCTTAGATGAGATAATTTAATTAATCAATCTAAAATTATAACCTAAATTTTTTATTAAAAATTGTATAGCCTTCTCATAGATAATTGGGTTCATTTGCTTATTTTCTCTTAAAAGGGCTATTTATTTCCCTTGATCTATACCAACTTCTTAACATTTCAATTGGAAAAATTGAGTTTCTGGTAGCCTCAAATTGTGAAATCAAAGTTCATAGCTTCGCCATTAAATTAAAAAAATTAAAAAATTTAGATTTAAAAAAAATGCTAATGGACCCAATTTTCTATGCCCAAATTAGAATTGATTTTTATGTAGGAGCTGAAAAAAAGATTTAGATAAATCACTTGATGAAAAAATATTAGAATCTTAATTTTTCCAAATAATAGTTTTTTTTTTAATTATAAACTGAAAAAATTTAATATAAAACTAAAATTATCTATTAATACTTAAAATTTCTAAATTTAATAAATATTTATTATATTGAAATATCAATTAAGATATGAATGTACTAAATAAATATAGTTTTTGAGAATCTAATATTTCAATGAATTTTTTGTGAAACAAGAAAGAATGTAAATGATAAATTTAATTAAATCAATCTTCTAAAAAAAGTCTTAGCAATAGATTGAATAACCATTATAGCAATAACTTGATCCATATAAACACTTCAATTACAAGACTATCAATAAAAATACTATCAAGTTAAAATCAGACTGTTCAGCTATTGCAATAAATAAAGAAAATTCTTTGTTGTTAGTTAGCCATGAATCCAAAATTAAAGTGTATATGTTAAAGAATGATTCCTTAAAATAAGTTTAACTAATCACAAATCATCACAAAAGAGTGACAGCACTCAAGTTCTTTAATAAATACTCATTATCTTATTTGTCTTCATCAAAGGATTCTAACATCATAATTAGTTCAAGCTATTTATGTGCTAATCCAAAATATATTCAAAAATTATCAGGTAATTCACAAGGAATCATCAGTTTAGCATTAAATATATAAGAGGATCTCATAGTTTCAGGTAGTTTTGATTAAATGATAAGATTTTGGAGTAGGGATACTTAATCCACTATTTCAAATTGGAAATGTTCATAAACAATATAAGATCATAGTTGTTATGTTGAAGGATTGTCAATCAATGATGAATCTAACACTGTTGTCTCTTGTGGTTTCGATTCTCGCATTTTAATTATTTAGCGTAAGAATTTATCATCTAAATGGTTAATAACTTAAAAGATTCAAGTTCACACTTTTTGTCATTAAATAATTTTCATCAACAATAATACATTTGCTTTTCAAGATATTGGTTTAACAAAATTATTGATTTACTAAAATATTAATGATAAGAATTAATCACCTAATTATATCAAGTCTAAGGAACTAGTCTTATAAGGTAATCATAATGGGAATAAAAGTTATTTCTAATCAATTTATAATCATAGTAAATAAGTACTTATCTGTAAAAATGGAAACACAATAAATTTTATAAGAGTAATAAAGAAGAGTACCAACTAAAAGAGAGATAACCTTATATTTAGATTAGAACAAGCGATTGATTATGGATAGTTATTCTTTGGACTTTTAGTTGGAACTTTAAGTGAGGATGGATAATATTTCATCACTTGGGATGAATTATCTTAGGAAATTTAATTAAAAAAATATTAGGAACTATGACAGTCTTATATCTATAATTATAAATATTTAAACTTCATTAATTTTGTGAAATAAAATTTATAAGTTTAAGATAAAAATATATAATTATAAGAGTATTTTAATTCAATTAAATTGTTTAAAAAAATTTATATTTTATATATTCTGTTTTATTCTGAATAAAATGGAATGCTCTATTTGTTGTGAAACTACAGAACTTTTAGAATTGCAATGCAGTTGTCAAATCTGTTCATGCTGTATGTTAAAATCAATTGATGCAAAATATTATGAAGTAATTGAAGAAATTCATTGTCCAGGTTCATGCCAAAGTAAACATATCGTATTAGGATTAATGATGAATTTGAAAGGATTGAATGATCTTTTGCTGGAAAAATATATAAAAACCACTTAAGACATAAGGATATGTCCAAAAAATGATTGTTAATATAGTGGTATAATTAAGAACAATTGTTAACATTTTGAATGTAAATGTGGTTATTAGTTCAAGATAATAGATGAAAAGTGGAATTTAAGGAGCATATTTTTGAATTTTATTACTATAAAGGATTGTCCTTAATGTTAAAGAAGAATTTTTAAAAATGGGGGATGTAATCATATGACATGTAAATGTTAATATGAATTTTGTTGGATTTGTACATAAAATTTTAAATAACATAATAAATTCAAGTGTTCTTTAAACATCATTACTAAGATATCTTTATTTATATTGATGTTTTTAAATATTGTTTATTCATTAAGATTACTTGTAAGTTTTATGACTGTAGTATTAATATTTGTGAAGTAATTATAGTAAAATATTTAGACTAACTTTATTTAATGGAAGTCTGATATTCTTATATTTGGGTATTAATGAACTGTACTAAATATCAAAATTGAATTTTGAATGCTCCAAATATTATAGTAATGGAAATGAAACTTTTAAAAGGATTATAAATTAAAAATGGATAATGTTTACAATGCTTATGAGTCAATTTTTTCTTCTTTGTTTCTTTTTTTATTTATGCTACCAAGAATAGTATTAAATTTATTAAAATATTCAGATTTTTCGAAACTTACTGTCATTTCTTATGTTCTGAATTTTCAATATTTATAGTATTAGGAACAACACTTTGGATAAAATCTTAGAAATGAATTAATATGTATTTATAATTAAAAATAAGATTAAATTCAAAATACCAATTTTCATAATCAATATTTCTTAAAAGTATAAACAACTTGCAAATAAATGTGTATAAAATCATTTTTCATAAATAGATATATATGTCAACCAATTCTTTATAAGTGTTTTAAAAAGAAATCAAAGGGATATATGCCTTTTTTTTAATATAAACAGTCTAACTAAATATTAGAATTTTAACTTTTAGCAATACAGCGTATAGTATGGTAATTGATATCGAATATGATTGATTAATTATATTATTCCAATTAGCTATTCTCACTTAAAAAGTGGCCAATTAAATCAAAATTATAAAAGTACTTATAAATGCTTCAAAATTTTAATACACCAAAAAACAAACAAAAATAATAAAACTCAGTATATGCTTCTTTTTTTTGAATGTTAAACCTATTTTTCACACAGATTCAAGGGTTATTTAGATAGATTTAATTTTAGAAATAAGTAAGTGATTTTAGACATCAGAGCAGGATTATCATAAGCTGAGTTCCAAAAATTCTTAAATCCAATAAATCTAATGCTATTTGAAAAATTATAAAATTGACATATTTAAAGCCTCTAAACTTGATTATATTTAATTTTATCAATTTTTTGATGAATAAGTTTTAACCCATAAATAGATTTTAATAAATTTTATCAAGAGAAAAAAATAGAGGAGAAAAGATGAATAATTAGATATATAATTTTGTACTATACTGATATATTTTAATGAATCATCATTACTTTTCAACTTATTATTGATCTTTGACTTATTTTTTTTCAAGTGCAGTCAAATATAAACCATTATCTTCTGGGAGGGAGATCAATGACTTTTTGCCTTTACCAATAGTAAAGATATTGTTGATTCTGGTGGAGAAATGTTTTCCGTTAGAATCCTAGTAATATGTCGATATAAAATGATTACTTTAACATGGACAATATCAAATGATCCAAGATGTCTTTCTCTATGTTGAATAAGTCCAACTCTTCCAATATTGTTACCTCCAATAATGTAACATAAATTTCCTTAAAAGAATAGTAAGATTATAAATACCTGGTTCTTCTTTAAGGAATTCAACAACTTTTCCTGATTCTAAATCTATTTTAAGAGTGTCATTAACATGGATATCTGGATTTGGATATCTGATGGTTCTGGCATCATTGGTGACAATGTATGGGACATTGTTTGGACCAACTTTCTTTTAGGTGACTTTGACAAGCTTGAATTTAGCTTCTTCTGGTTTAATGGATTTTAATATGAATTTGCCTTGAACATCATATAAAACTCTATAATTTTCTCTTGTTTTATCAATTGTAATGACATCTATGAGGATGATATGAAAAGTAGATACCCTATAATCCAACTGGATATCCACTATCAGTTCTCACTTTTCCATCAACCTTAATGTTACCATCCTTATCAGCAAGAATCATGGTAGCATCTCTAGCATACAAGGCATATTTCAATTTATGTTGCAATATGACAGAAAGTGGAATTGATTCTCTTAATTTGTGAGGTCCTTAAGATGGTCTTATGGTCCAATTTCCTCCTAATTTTGAAAGCATCCAACTTTTGGGTGCTGTGATTCTTTTCATGTGTTTCTTTGGTCCTCTTGCCTAAAATAGACATCGATATAGTTTTTACCATAATTGTTTCAAGAAAAAATTAAAATCTTTTTTAATTTATTTCAAAATGTTCACATTATAAACTAAAACTAGACGTTGGCTTCTAAATATTTTATGATCACATAAAAATATAAAAAAATCATTATTTCTTCTACTAATTATTAGGATCATTTAAAAATTTAACAACGGGTTTCTTATTAGTTGTTTAAGCAACACCTCCAGATTTGAATCCAGCTCTAAATTATCCTCGCATTTATTCCTAAAAATGTTAGATAACTTGATCCCTCTCTAATTAACCAGGTACAGCAACAGTGGCAGCATAATTGTCATAGTTTTCATAAGGATTGAAATCTTACCATTTATTTTTAAATTGTCCAATAGACTTTGTAGGTTATGCCAAAGTCACAACTGGTAGAATTTTAACTGGATTTTCTGGATTATTCTATTATTATTATATTTTTTTTTATTTTTTAGGTTCTTGTTCATCAAATCCTAATCCAGCTTTTGAATTAGTCTATCTTTTAAGAGCCTAATGGAGAATCTTGCTTGCATCTTTACCTCTAGCATAATCATACCCCATTTTCTTTTTCATTCTATCCATTTTAAAGTGATCATCCAAATTTGCAATTTCTTCTAATTCCTAAGGTACAATCTGTCCTGCTAATTCGATGCTTCTTACCAACATTATTGCAAATTTCCAATCTTATTTTTGCACTAATGAATAGGCTACACCATCGCAATTTCCAGCTCTTCCTGTTCTTCCTATTCTATGAATATATATATCAGCATCTTTAGGAGGAAAATAATTAATGATCGTTCTTATTTCTTTAATATCTAATCCTCTTGATGCTATATCTGTAGCAATTAGTAAATGGACATTTTATTTGAATTGATTAATAATTAAAGTTCTTTCATATTATAATTTATCACCATATAAAGTAAGTCCTTAAACTCCCAATCTTTATTTGATTTCTGAAAGCAATGATTCACATTAACCCATTTAATTTGCAAATATTAATACTTTCCCATTTTATAAATAAGTTTTCAAATTCTACAATAACCATCTCAATCTTCCTTCGTCATCATCAACAATAACAGGGATTTATTTTATATCTTCATTTACTTAATTTTCATTCTCACCTATTGTAATAACAATAGGATCAATCAACATATCTACACATAATTATCTAATCTTCTTTTTCATTGTAGCAGTAAACAACAATATTTATTTATCAGGTCTTATTTGATTTATTATAGATCTAATTTAATATTCAAAGCCTAAACTAAACATTTGATCAGCTTCATCCAAAACAACATAAGTACATCTTTGTAAATTTGTTGCCTTCTTCTTTACCATTTCAATCAATCTACCTGGTGTAGCTATTATTATATCTACACCTGCTCTCAGTTCTTTCCATTAATGATGTTTATTTTCACCTCCCAATAAAGCACTGACACTTATTTGAAATAACTAAGCATATTTTTTAGTTTCCAAAAAGACTTATTATCCCAATTCTCTTGTAGGTACTACAACTAAACCTATAGGACCTTCTTTTTTCTCTACTGCCCTCTATGCACTCACATGAACAAGCATTGGCCAAACATATGCTATAGTTTTACCTGACCCTGTTTTTGCTACTCCAATTACATTTCTTCCAGACAATACACAAGGTAAGGCTTAACTTTAAATAGCAGTTGGCTTCTCAAAATTTTAAGCTACTATTTTATTGACTAATTTTTAGTCTAATTAGAGATGGCCAAATGATATTATAGGTTTTGGTACATTATTGCCTTTAATATGTATTTAATATTCTCTCTTAATTTTCTCTGCTTGAGTTACACTTAAATTAGCTATTTCTTCATGTTCTTAATAGAAATTTGATTCAAATTCCTCATATTAGATTTAAGAGTGATCTATTGGTTGTAAAGGTTCTATATTTTTTTTCTTTTTCTCTGCCTCATCTATTTCATCTACATCAAAATCACTTGGCATAGAATCCTCACTTTCACCATTTAATTGCTTTTATTTTTCTTATCATATACAAACTGGATTACTTTATTAATTCAATTTATTTTATTTGATTATTTCATATTATGATAAGATTGGATCTTCATTTTCAAATTATTCAACTTCAAATTTTTTCACATTTTTAGGTTAAGCCAATTCTTATTAATATTATTTCTCTATATCTTGCATAAAAGTATCCAAAGGATCTATTTCATCATCTTCTACTTCCTCTTTTTTTTATTGTTCCATCTCTCTGTTCCTTACTTGCTCATTTGTCAATTTCTCATCATCATTATCAAAATATTTAGATTCTGCAAAATCCTCTATCAATTATCTCTTTTACATCCTCTGATTATATTTAATTAATAATTATGTTTAAATTAAATCCTAAAAAGGTACTCATTAAGACTCCTACTATATATGATTATTAAGCTAATCTACCTGTTGAAGTAATTGTGTAATATTAATATAGACTAGAAAAGCCATAGTATTACATGTGATGAATAAAAATCCAAAACTTAAAATTAAAGGAGGAAATTCAATGACCAATCCATACAAAATACCATATGAATTAGCAATTGCAGATTAAATTGATCAAATGGAAAAATATAAAAATTCCATTCTCTGGTCTCCAAGAATGACTCCTAAAAAATTCACTTTTGCTTTCATTTATCCTATGGGATTTGCTTTAGTCTTACTTTGGTATATTCATAATGTTGCCATTCCTAGAAGAATGGTAGAAATGAAAAGAAAATATGGATATGTTTATCCTGAGTTAGAATCAAAAGGTTGGTTAGATGGATGGTGGGATTATGAATAGGAAGAAACAGAATAAATATTTGATATAATTAATATGGAATTCAAGAAAACAGAGAATAAAGTTAAAAATAAGCAATATACAGATTTCACTATTTCAGATTTACAAAATTTTGGAAACAAACCAACTTATGAGAATTCTGAATAAACATCTAACATTAATAAATCTGGAAAATAAATTATGTAAGTAAAAGAAAAATAGAAAATTCAATCTTAATTGGAAAAGATCTTAGAGTTGTAGTCTAAAGCATCATAATGATTATTATATCTTCTATATATATATACATAACAATAAACTTATTTATGAATAATCTAATGAATATATATTGATATGTTGTAAAAATTTAGAAGTCTAATTAATTAATTGAATATATCCTTTAAATCATTGATTTGGAATGTCTTATCAAATTGAAAAGTGCTAACTACATAATCTTGATAAACTATATATCAATTTAGAGAAGAACACTCAAAAATACATGAAAACTGAATGTATTTAATGTATAAAAAAGGAATCAATCAGCATAGAAGAAATATTAATGAAGTTCCGATAATTGTCTTCAATGCAATCAAAAATAATATAGAATCAATAAATTATGGGTGTAATGAACAATATTGTGTAGTAATCAAATTTGGTATTACAATCGTATTAATAAATGCATCAAAAAATTTAAGATTAGCATGATAAATGGTTAAAAATAAATTCTTAATATGAAGAGATTTAGAAATTGTCAAAATCTAATTATTATAATTAAGAAGATTTGTGTTAAATTGCCGAAATAACTTTGAATTCTAATCTTATGAATGTACCAAGTTTTGCATCAGATTAATTAGATAATTTTCATTAATTAAATATTAAACTTCAATAAATTAATTAAATTTTACATTCAAATCCAATAAATGTTAAGAGAAATCCTCAATTAACAACAAACAAGGAGAATTAATAATAATAATTATTATAACAAATAAACAAAAATAGTACTGATTAAAAGTAAGAATTTGAACAATTATCTTAATTTTAAACCAATATTATTGTATATGCAATAGCTTTTAGTTTTGACAATTCAAAAATAGTAATAGGAGGAGGAAATTATAATTAGATCTAAAATAAAAATTTAATGGTTTTAAGTTTATGTGGCGATAATAAATTGTAAAGTGAAACTATTTTATATGGTCATTCTAAGAGAGTTACAGCCATCTCTTATAGTAAAAAAGATCATTTTTTTGTTTCAGGTAGTTTAGACTTTACACTTAGATTGTGGAGGTATGAAATTAAAAATTAAAATTGGGATTGCATTAAATAACTGAATAAACACACTTCAACAGTATTTGGATTAGCAATTAATAATTAAGATAATTTAATAATATCATGTGGACATGATTCTAAAATATTTGTTTGGAAAAATATAAATCAAAATTGGTAGGATGCTCAAACTATATCTGATCATATTGCAGCTGTTAATAGTATCAGTTTTTCAGAGGATAACACATTATTAGCATCAGGAAGTGAAGATAGTAAAGTATATATTTGGAGAAATGATTATGATATATTTAATAAGATAGATTAAATAGATGTACCTTGTTCAAGTTTTATTTATTGTGTTCATTTTATACAAAATAATTCACTTATTGTTGGTACTTATGATGGTAATATATCAATATGGTAGAATAATTAAAATAAATATCAATTATGTTTTGAAAATAATCCAAAATTTGGATATATCAAGAAAATAGTATATAATTATAATCAATCATTGATCATTACAAAATGTGAACATAGAACAATTATCTGGAAAATTATAAACAATAATAAAATTGAATAAATCAAAATTTATGAAGGTGAATACTTAGGAATAGGATTATCTTAAGGTCCATCAATAATTGCTATGTTTAATTGTGAAAAAAAAGAACTTGAATTGATTTAATGTAATATATGAAAATGTTTTTTGTGTTGTATTTATATTATTATATAATTGGAAATGAATTAGTTTATAATTATTAATCTATATGAATAATTAGAAATTTAAAACTTTATGAAAAATTCATATTTTAAATTTTTATTTGAGATAAATTTGAATCAATTAGAATCATATCTTCTTGGTCTCTTTGATACATATATTTCCCTATATATTGTATTCATTATTAAACTTATCATTCTAGGCTTTTCTTCTTTTTCTTTTAATACTATTTCTGTCTATTTATTCAGCTCTTTCAAATAACCTTACATAATCTAATTTAATAAATCTTAAATTTCATTATTCTTCTTTGTTTGAGCAGCCAAATACTTTAAATAAGGTGCTATTATTTATTGAGGTAGAAGATTCTTAATAACCGTTTTCTTATTGTCTGGCTCATCATCATCATAAATCTAAGGAATAATTTTGATTCTATTCCATTACACCTTTCCCCAATCAAATTTTAAAGGGATTTCATTTATATATCGTTCTAAATATAAGTGTACAAGAATTGATCCAACTATAAGAGCATTTCTATGAATAAAAAATAGAACCTCTTAATTATCTTAGGATGGATGATATTCCCATGCTTTAAATATCATTTAGTTAACAAGAATTCTGAGTAAAATTACTCCTTCTATAATCATTAATTGTATAGATTCACTTATTTTACCAATCTAACCTATTGTGTTGAATCTAATTCTCTCTGCTTCATATTGAACAAAATACTCAAGAGGTGGAAATTAATTAGGAATGCATATTGATCTTAAAAAATCAAAAAATATGGAATTAATAGTATCAGGTTTAATTGTTAATGCTTGTGTGAGAAATCTAGTAATAAAAGCAAAAACTTTTTCAAATTTGGCTTAATTTTCTTTATCTCTTCCTATTTCTACTTTAAAATCTATTTTATTATTCAAAAATTCAATCATCTATTATTCTAAGGCTGTTTCATATTCTCCTAAAAGATAATCTAAAATATTTGGAATTTATGCATCTTTCTCTCTACAAATTTTTAATTTTTTTTCAATTTCTGAATTTAAAGTTTTAATGTAATATGAAATAAAAATTATTGATGCTTTGAATATTCTAAATCTTTTTGAAGAAACAGGCAATTTCTTTTTAGCTTTTTTAATAAAATTTTATTGGCTAGAATGGGAACTGCTTTTTATAATACTATTATTAGATAATTTTGATTTATGTAAAGAATTTTTAAATTCCTCTTTAATTTGTTAATCATTAAGCTATTGTTATTATTTATAGGGAATATGTTTATTATATTAATTAGATATAAGTAATTTATCAATCTCTTATTTTTATTATGATTATTTTTACATTTATTGTTATTAATATTATTACTATTATTATTAGTATTATTAGTATTATTATTATTAGTATTATTAGTATTATTAGGGATATTATATTAATTATGATTATCCTATAGTAGATAATCGAGAATTTGATAAGGAATCATGAGGATAAAGTATTTTATCTCCAGGTTTTTATATTTGTTTTGGTTTACCTTAATAATTAAATGAATATTTAAACCTATATTCATTATATTTTCTATTCTTTGTTATCTAATTTCTTATTAATTTTTAGATCTCTAGAAATCAAAACCCATTTAGATTTATGATTCCATTGGCCATGGCATCATAGTAAATGGAATAGGAATGACTGGCTATATTGATATTTTTAATTACCATTCCAGGTTAAGCAAGGGGAATACTATCTAATGATGATCTGTTAAATATTGATAATGGATGTTCATATTGATTGAAATGCTTAAATTTATAGAAGTATAAAGATACTTATGGTTAGTATTACAATAATTAAGCTTTTTTATTTCTGGCTCTTTCCTCCTCTTTTGAATATCTCAATTTAGCTAATTCTAATCCATATAATAATTATTAATCTTGAAAATTATACATTGTAAATAATTATATGTGTAGAAATCAAAATTAATTCTTTTTTGGTAAAATCGAGTCCTCTGAATCAAGATTATAAACAATACCAAGTACTCCATTATTCATACCATAATATTTCCATTTAGGATCATATTCATCAGGAATCTTAAATCTTAAATCAAATGGACCAGATTTTCTTTCTTATTTAATATATGTAGCTTTATTAGTATACATCGAGATTTTTTTATGTCCTCGAACTATGGTAGAGACATTCTATCTATAGATTTCTACTTCTTCTAGTGAAACACCAGGTAAATCTATTAGTACAATATATTGAGTTCCTTAAATAATATCTATTTATGGTTCATATTCTTCACCTTCTTCATTTTCAATATCAAGAGGTGTAGATATCAATTTAGCAGTAGAAATAGTTTAAGTAAATTTAGGTGAGGTAGCTTATTATTTGACAATTCTTTTTTCATTTGGTAAATGAGTATCTTAAATTGTTAGTTTTATTTGTTTTTTTAAGAGTGTACACATTTTTAATTCACAAACCTCTACTATATCATCATATTTTAATATTTTCTTTTAATGAGGTACAACAACCAATTTTAACCAATATTTAAGTAGACTATAAGTCCAAGGATTAATACTCTTACCCAAATCAGAATTATCATTTACAATACATATATGTCTACTTGTTTCTGTATTAAACCACAAAACAGACTTTTCTTCCAATTGATTTGTGAAAGGATTCATTGCTTCGACAGTTGATTTCTATATATTTCCTTCTAAGATTTTTTCAATTTATACTTACCAAACATGTTGTATCAGATTTGGATTAGTTATATCTTTAAGATTGTGGATTACAATTATTTCTTTAAATTATTTGAGAGAAGTGCTTAATTTACGAGCTAATTAATCTAAATATCTAACTTCAATGCTTGTAAAATCATTGACAACACAAATAAAGTAGTCTGTTAATTCAAATGATATCTCTAGAATAGCATTTTCAATCTATTATTTCTCTTTTAAATTTCTCAGATTCTCAGGTGCATAACTACCTGCTGTATCAATCAACACAAATGAATTATTTTTGTCAACTATACATTATTTAAAACTAATTCCTTTGGTTGATATTTTAGATCCTGTGGGTAGATTTTAATTTGTTAATTGATTTAGTATATGCGTTTTACCTTTGTCATATAAACCAAGTACTGCAACTCTAGCTCCCTTAAGTTCATTGTTATTCACCAATAACTTGAAATATTGGATTAACAACTACCTTCCATGAAGAACTCATATTTATATCCAATACTAAATCATAAATTTGAGTATCAATTATATTATACTCTTGGATTGATGGTTTTTGATCATTAGTTATAATATTTGGTATTTCATAGCTTTTTCCTAGAATTGAGGGATTATTCAATTAACTTATGATTGTTAAAGTTTCTTCACATCTTATTTTCAATTCATAATGTAATGCTTCATAAAGATCAAAAAACTCATTTATTGATTACATTTTCCTAAACATTTCAGCAAAAGTCTCCAAGAGATCCAAATTCTCCTTTAATAGATTTCCCAAGATCTAAAGACAACTACGGAAAGCATCTTAGTCCTTAATTACATCAATTCCTTTACTAAATTAATATCACCCTCTTATGGAGAACTCATACTACGTAAAACGAAATTTATTAATAAATATAAATATATTTAGTTTTTTAAACTCTTTAACTTTCTATAAATGGATTTAACTTGTTTCTAACAACTCTCTATAAAAATAATTAGATATTTATTTATCTGACAATTTATAGCTATATAGCATTTATTATTTGCAAATGTAAATACCATCAAGAAATTCAAAAAGAAGTTAAGCTCCTTTATATTTCTTTAGATCATACAAGCACAACTTATTAAAATTTTCCAGGTCCAACAAGTTATGAACCTAAAATAGAAGTTTCACATGTTAATGCACCAAAATGGACTATGAGTGGAACTTACTCTAGAGAAATCCCCATTATTAAAAACCTTCCAGGTCCAGGTCAATATGATCCTAGATTACCATCATCATAGAGAAAAACTTTGATTTATGGGAAAGCATATTAAATAGACAAAGAATCATAATAAAAACCAGGTCCAGGAGCATATAAAGTTGATATTTCATAGCTCTCTCGAATAGGGTTCAAAATAGGTAGTGAGAAAAGGTATAAAGATGAAAAGAAATTATCACCAGGGCCAGGAGATTATTAGATAAACATCAAAAAACATGTCCAATCATATATAATTGGATAATAAACAAGATCAGGAAAAATCTATAGTAATCATATAGGCCCTGGATAATATGAAATTCCTTCTTTATTAAAAACTGATGGAGGATTTAAAATGGTTCCTCGTAGAGATAAAACATTATCAATGATTACTCCTGGTCCTGATGCATATGAACAATTAAAATAAGAAAGAGTAAAATCATTTAAAATTGGAACAAGTAAAAGAGAAGGCATTTTTTAGAAATCTAATTCTCCAGGTCCTGGAGATTATGAAATCTAAGCAATTAAAGAGAGTGTTTCTTATTCTATAGGTAAAGGATAACGATAAGATACTAAACGTAATGTTCTTCCAGGACCAGGAAGTTATTAGCCAAATAAACCAAGCAACGCTCCCAAATATTCAATCTATTAGAGATATAGATAAAAGACCGATTATTCAGGTCCAGGACCATAATCTTATACAATTGGAGATTTTCGAGAAACTAAAAGCGTAATATTTGGTTAGGCTAGAAGAAATAGTTACAATAAGATATAGATACCTGTATGATATTTATCTTATTTTAGGGACCAGGGGAGTATGAAATAGAAATAAAATCAAAGAAACCTTAAGTGAGTATTGTATTTGGAAGAGAGAAAAGATCTCAGAGTTGCTCTGAAAATACAAAATTACCTGGACCAGGTGCATATGATATAACATCATCTTTTTTTATGAAGAAGAAATGATTGAATAAGATTCAAAATTATTATTATTCACTTAATGAATATGGTTTCATTTAATATTATGAATTCAAAATAAATTTCTTTTTTATTGAAAGTAGTCTCATAAACTTAGATTCATATTTTTATGTACATTCAGAGGATAGATTTTAAATTTGATTTTTATTGAACACTTTAATATATGTGCTTATGTTATTACTATAAGATTAATTAAATTAATGGGCTCAGTATGTTAGAAAGGTGATAATATAGTGAATTGGCCATGTAGAAGCAATCCGAGAGGTTCCAACCCAAGAACAACTTTCACAATAATTCCTGAGGAGGACTCCGTAATTTACTCTTAATAGGATCGGTCGGTTTTTACAGCTAGCTAATTTTATCAGAACCCAGATAGTTAAGTAATACAATCTAAATAATGTAGAGACAAACAGTAATCTTAGGAAATGCAATTGGTATAGATAACAAACTTTAAATTCTAAATGTGTACTTATCTAAACTACTTTCTTCTCATTCAATTAAGTAAATATGATGATCTATAATCAGATTAACAAATACAAGAAGCAATTCGTATGAAGTATCTTTAACAAACCTTAATCCTGAATTGTGTTGTTATTGTGAATGGCATTTAGAGGCAGACAAGTTACCAATTCGTTCTGGGGATAAAATTGATGTAATATGACTTATAATGATTTAGTTGATTCATGTTCTGACAGGAAGATATCTTATGGCAACAGAGTTGGATGAAGAGGGCGTAGTCTTTTGTGGCTATGGTTCTAGTAGATGTTGGACTATTGAATTTGATGATAACATATTAAAAGATGGAGCAATATTTGAATTGAAACATAATGAAATTACTAAATACTTATCTTTCATTAATAAAAAAGCATCATTATCACATAATAGATAGGTTTGCTTAAATGATAATGAAGGGAAGAATAACTATTGGAAATTAGTTTTGATTTGATGATTAAACATTATTATTAAAATGATTATTAGATAAGCTCAGCTATTTCTAAGATTGGTCCCTCAACCTAGATACTATCACGGAGGATTGAAAGATCAAGATCGTATCTTTACTAATGTATATCGCGATGGAGATCCTTATATTCAAGGTGCCTTGAAAAGAGTAAGAATATTCATAATCATAGGGTGATTGGCATCGAACAAAGGATATATTGACTATGGGTTAAGATTGGATTATAGATGAAATCAAAAAGAGTGGTCTTAGAGGAAGAGGTGGAGCAGGATTTCCAAGTGGTTTGAAATACTCATTCATGCCAAAAGTCAATCCAGATGGAAGGTAATTTTATTAATGCAATTATCAAATAAAGACCTTCTTACTTGGTTATAAATGCAGATGAATCTGAGCCAGGTACATGCAAAGACAGAGAAATCTTGAGACATGATCCTCATAAATTAGTAGAAGGAGCCTTATGTGTTGGATTCGCTATGAGAGCTAGAGCAGCATACATATATTGTAGAGGAGAATTCTGGGTAGAGGCCAATGCCTTATAATAAGCAGTGGATGAGGCTTATAAAAAGGGATTTTTAGGTAAAAATGCATGCGGTAGTGGATATGATTTTGATGTTTATGTTCACAGTGGAGCAGGTGCCTATATTTGTGGAGAGGAAACTGTATTCATTTAATAATAATCATTAGGGTTTGATAGAATCCTTAGAAGGAAAGCCAGGAAAACCAAGACTTAAGCCACCCTTCCCAGCCAATGCAGGTTTATGGGGTTGTCCAACTACAGTTACTAATGTTGAAACTGTTTCAGTTTGTCCAACTATTCTTAGAAGAGGTGCTAATTGGTTTGCATCTTTTGGCAGACCCAACAATAGAGGCACTAAATTATTCTGTATTTCTGGTCATGTTAATAATCCTTGCACTGTTGAAGAAGAAATGTCTATTCCTCTTAAAGAATTAATTGAAAGACATTGTGGAGGAGTCAGAGGAGGTTGGGACAATCTTAAATGCATTATTCCTGGAGGATCATCTGTTCCTATGTTACCTAAAGAGATCTGTGAAACTGTTTTAATGGATTTTGATGCTTTAAGAGATGTTAGATCTGGATTAGGAACTGCTGCTGTTATTGTCATAGATAAATCTACAGATATAATTGATGCCATTTTAAGATTGAGTAAATTTTATAAACATGAATCATGTGGTCAATGTACACCATGTAGAGAAGGTACTTCATGGTTAGTTGATTTGTTGGAAAGAATGAAAGTAGGAAATGCTGATTTTGCAGAAATTGATTAATTAGAAGTATTTGAATAATATTAAATTGAAAGGAATTAACATATTAAATTGAAGGACATACTATTTGTGCTCTTGGAGATGCAGCTGCATGGCCAGTTTAAGGATTGATAAGATCTTATAGAGAAGAAATAGAAGAAAGAATTGAAGACTATCATGCCAAACACCCAGTCAAGTCTAGACAATTACGTAGTCATCCTTAATCATCAAGCCATTGATATATACATAAAATATTAATATCACCATCTTGGAATTGTTTGAGATCTCTTTTTCTCTTATTTTAATAATTTTAAACTCTTTTTCTTTGCTTTTTCATCTAAAACTTTTTATATTTTCTATAAATCTTCTGATTTCAATGAATATTTATCCAAAATTACTTTATCTTTTACTTCTTATTTCTTTAATTCAATTTTTTCTTTCTTAATTTATTCTCTAATTTTGATTATTTATAGATTTAAATTTCTTATTTTTGTTTTGTACATATCATTTGCTCTCCTCAACATTATTGATCTAACTTTTGTTTTAGTTCCAATATTTAATTTTTTAAGAAATACTGCATGTTTTTCTGCTATAGTTCGAGTCTCTTTCTTTAAATGTTTTAAATAATCTTAATTATTTAACTTCTTTGAAAGTGCTCCTAAATTTTTGGTTAAATCTACTATTTTTTTATTTTCATATTCTTCTATGTCTCTTTAATAAGAAAGTTCTTTTGCTATTATATCTGTTGTTGATGATTATGAGATAATTTAATTATTTTCTTTAGGAACTACTTCAGATGTGATAAGTTGAACTTGTCTATTTCTATCATATTTTATAATTTTAGTCCATTATCCTCCAACTAATGGTTCTGCCAATAATTCCCATTTTCTTTTATCAAAAAACTAGAACTAATCACTTGCAATCAATAAATAGCATTAATTACAATTATTTTCTAAGAATTTTATCATTTTGTTATATTTATCCAAATTTACTGTTCTACCCCAAGGAGGATTGGTGACAACAATTAAATCATCTTTTTACAATTTACCTTTGATGAATTCTTTGTGCATGTTAATAAAATCTAATTAGGCAATACTTAAATTTTCATAAGATCTACTTCTTAATTGTGGTGATTATTGACGTATAATTCTTTTTAAATTATTAAACCAATCCAAATTTTTATAAAATATTCTCAACTATTGTTCATTGATATCATTAGCCAATATGTTTATATCTAATTCATTCAATTCATTTTCTACATAAGTATCCTTAAATATAGGCATTTGATAAAGTGGTAAAAACATACCTCTTCTAATACTTTTATTAAATTTTCGAATGAGCATAGTTAAGATAATTGTACCTGTGCCACAAAATGGATCCCATACAGTAACTCCTTTTCTCATATCACAATAATGTAGAAGAGCATCTGCAATATTTTCAGATAATGTTGCTTTACCAATATATTTCTTGAATCCAAATTTATGCAAACTTTCTAGATGCAATTGTATATACATAGTTAGATAATTCTGATACAGATATGTATTAATTAACAATGGAATCTAGGGTGAATATGTTTCACTTATATAATCTTTTGGTTGTTCTTCTTTTCCCAATAATAATTATTTTCGTTCGGTGAGCAATTTTCTTGTCTTATTATTATTTAAAAGATAATTCTTGATGACATCTCTCCAATTATTGCTATGATTCTTCAAGCATCTTTTTATACTTAGTCGAATTTCAAGATGTGCATTTATTGGAATATATGGATGAACTTATACATTTTACATATTCCTCATAAATTCTCTTACATTCCTTGCCTATATTGGTTTATTTATTCTAATATTAAGATATGTAATGCATGTAGGCTTATATAATATATTATTAAGATTGTCAATTGAGGTTTCAAAAAAGACAGCTGAACTTGGATATATAGCTAGTATATATAATATGATTTACGTAATCTACTACGTTTTGCTGAAATATTGAATTGAGCTAGTTATTCAATTAATATATTTTATAATCCTGGAGATGTCCATGCTAAAAATTTATAAATTGACATAAATAAATTATTTATTATAAATTCTAGAATATTATTCATATTGTATAATCTAAATTTAGAGTAATGTATAGAAAGTAATATTATGTCTAATAATAACTATTGAACAAAATAATAATTATAATCAACTCTATAATTTTGTAATCACTTTAGTAATAGTGAGCATAAATTTATAGAAACCGACTCCATGTTGATATGTTCCATTAGCATCAAGTATTTTTTATGGAAATGCAATTCCAAAACCAAAATTATTAGATATCTCTCTTCCTCCATATACTAAATTCATATTTTCATCATCATAATTAATCTTATTATCGATCAATTCCATTTCATCTATAGTTATTATAGGTAATGTATTTCTTTAGAATCCTGTTGCAACAATAACTTTAGTACATTGTTACATATAATTCTTATATTCAGCTGAGTCTATTTCTGAAATACACTTTGGTTTTTCTCCAATTAAAATATTTCTAGCCCAATCAGCTACTCTTCCTTTTAATCCTGTTGAATCATTCACTATTTTTCCATCTGGTAAATATTCAGCTAAAATAATAGGTCTTCTTTGGAAAATGTAAATATGTTTTGGTCTATTTGGTGAATTGTAAATATTCATGGCAGCCAAGATTCCAGAATGACTATTTCCAAATATACAAACTGTATCATCATTTGTTATATGTTAATGAACATCTTCTGGACTCATAGCCTCATATAGATCTATTTCTTTAAGATGAGGATAAACTTTGTAGAGTGATGCATCTACTGAGTCTATTGTATTTCTTTTAGAACCAGTACAATGAAAGACATATTCACTTTCGAACTAATAAAATAATCGTCATTATTAATACCTAACAATTATTTTTTAATGTAATTTTATTAGTGTGCCCTAAGTTCTCAATTTTTTCTACTACACTTTCCATCTTCATTATTAAACCTTTGCATGTTTGATCCAATATCACCATCACTTTCTTAAACATTTCATAGGAAAGACCAAGCTCGCAAGTAGTATTTGGGTCAAAATTTTTGAATACCTAAAATTATTAAAAATTCTATACTTCTGTAGGGTCTTCTACTTCTTTATGATTCTCAACCCATCCCATATTCTTTAATGTGTTTAGGAATAGTTGAATCTAATTATTTTGTTTAAATTTACTTTTGTGTTAGATGGTATGTGAGTAAATTAGTTCAATGCACCACAATCAAAGTTTGGATCCACCCAAGCAATCGGAGTCAAGTTGTTTTTAAGCAATTAACACACTGTTATGATACCTGCAGGTCCTGCACCAATCACTGTAGATTTAAAATTCATGTATAATAATATATCGTTTTTTAACAAGTGTTAGAAATTGAGTTGTATTGTCTTAAATAATAAGTCATTAATTAAAATTCGTCATTAAATACTACGATTTAGTTATGAAAATTAAATAATAAAGTATATATAAGTTTATTGATTAAAATTGTAAACAAGTATCTAACACATATTAATCAAATTATATTAATTTAATTAAATAATGATTAACTATTAAATTATTTTATTATTAATTCAATTTATACGTTATTGATTAAAACCAATATCACATAATTATATTCATTTAATAATCCAAATCCAATTACTTATCATATAAGGAAAATCTATATATATATAAATTTAGATCTTGCTTTTAGAATCATAAGAGAAAATAATGATTTAGAGATTAATTTTTGAACAGATTGATATTTTTGTTTTATTTAAATTATAATTAATATCATTAATATTATTAATATCATAAAGAAAATCAACTTATTTAAGAAATAAATCGATAAAAAATGTGATAATAATTATATCAATATAATATATTTATTAAATGATTTTGGCTTAACGTAATCCATAATCTCAAATTTGTTTAAGGATTATATATTGTTTTATCTTATAATTTATATATTAATTATAGTGAAATGACTAAATTAGTAAAATAATCAGGATTTTTAAAAGAGTTTTAATATATAATAATTTATAATGTTTAACATATATAGATAAAACAATCAACAAGATTGACACCTAGCCAAAAATTATAAAAAGTGTCGACCTAGAATATGGTTATTGAATAATATACCAAATTATGTGAATTAATGTTCTTCATATTTATTAATTTAGATTTGAATTAATTCTTTTTATTTTTCATTGCATTTCGAATAAAAATGTTACATCACATAATTTCCAAATTAATTATTGATTAATATTAGCAACATTGGTGGAACACAATTATTCATTAGGATTTTGCATATAGTTGCAATATCATCATCTGATGCCAATGTTATATATTTCTAAGCTACATTGCTTAATGATATTCAATCTACATATATACCTGGCATATTTGTCTTAACTGACTTCCAGAATTCTAGCTTTGACGAATTTACCAATTACTTCAAATCCTTTTGGTGGTCCTTAAGTGATCATATGTTGTACAATATAATTTCCATATTAACAAAATTATAATTTCTCACACAAAGGTATAAGTGATATATAAAGTTGTTGTAATTTTTGATTGGGAAATATCTCTAAACATTTTTATGCAATTCTACATCCATAGGGATGAGATACTATATGATCAACATTATTTGTAACAATATCAATTATAAACTCTGCATCAGATACCAAATCTATTATTTTTTGGATGACATGATTTCCACATTAATCGAATATGAGATTTAATACTTGACTTTTGATTGATTAGATTAATTGTATTTTTTGATGATTTTAAATGAACTCTAATAATTTTTAAATAACTCGACATCCAAATTTATCATAACACATTTCTATAATATAAGGATGAAGCTATTCAAATATAAGATTTCTTATATTCTGATTGCTGTTTTCTATAATTTTCTATATGACATAATTTCCAAATTTATGTTTAGAGAGAAGTGGTAAATCATCAATCAATGCTTTAAATATTTTATCTCTCTAAAAATCATTTCCTTATATAAAGGACTATTGAATAATTAATGATGCATATTAATCTTAGCATTGTTATGCCTAAAATAACAATATTATAATTACAATTGTTTGTTCTGAATCTGTGGAAGATTATAATCTTTTAGTTCGTTTTTATGAGAAATATCCATCTTAATAAGGATAATAGATTGGAGGTTGAGAGACAATGTATTGATGGAATTCATGACTCATTGAATGTTATCTTTATTGAATGAAAGCTGGTTAGACAGTAAAATAAAAGTTGTTTGGATCATTAGAAGGAAATTCTTATTAACTTTTTTAATATTAATAATTATACCCTGCATCTTCAAGAACGAGTGGAGTATCTTTGACATCTTTGAAGCTTTTAATAGGCTAGATGATTTAATAAAGAGAATATTTACAGATTGAGAATGTTGTTGGGATTTAGTGATAGAAGATCTGAATTCTGAACATTCTGACTCATCCTCTAATCAAATAAGAAATGTATTACCGTCTAAGAGAGAACCTATCATATCTTTTTCGGATTGCTCAGTTTCTTGCATTGATTATAATAAGTTATAAACACAAAAATTATATTATCAAAATTCAGTATTGTTTGGCTTTAGAGGAGTTAAAGAATTATCTAATGAGACATTTAAATTTGCTTTGAAGTTGTTATTATTTTGGTAATGGTTTTAATTATTTCAAATAGATTTTTTTATTGTTTTGATGAGATTTATTTATTGGAATACTACCACTTGGTGAGAATTATACAGATTATATAGTTTTACGATCTTTGAGTAATCTGTTAATGGTTTTTTCTTGTCTTATGACTTATTATTTGATATTTTGTAAAAAGAAATTTGAAGTTGGAACATATTTATGACTACGAGAATGAAGAATTTAAGGTTATTCAGTTTTAATACGTTATTATTCTGGTGAATTAGTTTTTGTAGGTGATGTTTATTAATGTATACTTTCATCTAGATCAGGTTTAGATCGTAAAATGAATAAAGGATTTCTTGCATAGATTCTGAAATTCTTTCTTTTATGATCATTTCTTATATATTTCTTTGCTCCATCCAATTTATTTAGAAATAAATCTTCTAATCTTGCTTTCTTATGATAGGCTATTTCACATAATTGATTAGGTAATTAATTTTCTTTTAGTGCTGTCTCTCCACATTGATCACATACACAACTTTTACGTCTAACTTGAGTTGTATCTAATTTTGGTCCATCAAGGTTCTTGGTAGAGAGATGATGTTTATTATACATAATATATTAATTAATGGATTAATCTACAGTGGCTCTAAAGGTTGATATAAATTCAATTATTGTTAGGCTGAGGTAAAAGAGTATCAAATCAGCAAGATAGATACTAATGTCATTCTATTCATTTTATTGGTATCCAAGAGGGATGGATAGTAATGGACATTAGAAAAGAGGTATTCTGAATTTGATGATCTGAATAATAACTTAAAGAAGGTAAGATTATTTATACAATGTATTATAGGTGTTTACAACTTTACCTCCATTGCCAGGAAAAACATTGTTTAAGTTGAAGGAACATGTAGATATTGAGAAGAGAAGAGTGGGACTAGATTATTACATTAAGGTAAAAAGATATGAATAAGAGTAGGAATTATTAAAAAGACCAGATGTGTTTAATTCTGAGTCTATGAAACAATTTTTATAGTTGGAGAAGCATGCTTAAGAATAAGTGGTCAATCCACCTAAGATGTTAGGAGAAATTACAGGATTCATACATGGATTAAGAGATTTCTATATAGAGAGATCATAGAGTAAAAAAAATCAATTATTAATTTCCTTTCTCTAGATGTCATTTTTGTGTTGTCCTCAGATATGAATGTAGCTAGTAGATTTGATGCTTACTTAACTAATATGAAAATGCCATGGGAAAAGGAAGCTCCTCCAACTCTATTGGCAGTTGGATGTTTGGAATGTTGGGTGAAGACAAATGACGAAAACGAATTCAAGTATGAGAGAATGTGGAATAAAACCTATCCATCATAAGCTATTTGTTTATATTGGGATGCAGTGACGTCAAATTTAATTGTTGGATTGGATGAAGGAAAATTGAATTTATTAAAGGTACCTTCAGAAAGTCAATTTATAAGATACGATGAAGTACTTAAATCATAAAATAATATTAGTAAGCAGATATCAAAGCACATTAGGGTAGAGTGATGGGTGTATTTTATGATTCCATAAATTCACATATTCATTCTGTATCAGAAGATAAGAAATATAAAGTACTTGATTTTTAAAGATAAATCACAATTGCAGAACTCTAACCAAGTTAACATGGTTTAACAGGTTTAGCAGCTGATAAAGAAAATAGGAGAATATTTGTTTCAGATAGAGGAGGCTATGTTCATGTATTTGAAATTACATCTGCAACAATGGGTCCATCTTTGGCTGTCTCAGTTGCATCCTAAACACTCTCTCCAATTAGAGGAATCTTTTTTGATCCAGTCAAGAATTATTTATTCACAGCAGGTTTTGATTAAGGTGAAATTGGTATTTTTGAAGTTGGTAAGAGTGGTAGAGAAAAATTTACTAAATAAACAGCAAGTTTAAAAGGCAAACTTTAATTGAGAGAAATAGTTTGGTCACCTTCTAGAGGAGAATGTATGGTAGGTAATAAAGATGGTACAGTCACTGTATGGAGTGGTAAAAAGGCTGCACCAATATGTATTTTGAATATATATATTTTTAGTTGTAATTAAGGCTCATAATACAGATATTACTAAACTCTAATGGTATGAAGATAAACACATGTTAGTAACTAGTGGTAAGGAGAAATCTTTGAAAGTATATTGAATTATTAAATAATAATTAGTTTTGGCAATTACCAAAGGAATGGAGAGATAAAAAGATTGAATAATAAGAGGAATAAGAGTATGAACAAATGAAGAAATAAGAAAATATCAAAATAAGTATTGAGTCTACTAAAAAGGTATATTTATATATATAAATATATTATTATAGAAAGAGTTTGATTCTGATGAAGATGATCTTAAAGGATGGCATAAAATGTGAAGTGAATATCAAAATATAATAATATAAATTTATATTATTTAAATTTTTCATAATTTGGTTTAACTTATGTGTTATTTATATTAATTAATAGATAGATTCTAAATTATTGTAAATATAATTATGTAATTTGGATATTAAATATATTAAATATAATTAGTATAGAAATGAATGATATTATAGACTTTTAAATAAATAGATTTAATAACACATAATTACAATATGTAAATTATTAATCTTATATTTAGAATTATAGGAATGAATAATATATAATAAATATTTATGTTATAAGTTTATTTAGTTAGATATGATTGTTTAAAAATACAATAACTCATACCAAGTAGAATATTTTGTGTAATCTTTTACACTATTTGCATTATAGATCTTTTACTACTTTTATTTTCTTGCTCATTTTTTATTATTCCATATTAGTAACAAGAATTTGAATAATAATACATAATTGAAAAAGTATAGTTTGTGTCTTAATTCACATTAGGAAACTTCAGATTGGGAACTTGATTTAAATTAATAAGATTTTACAAAGTTCAATATTGAAGGTTAATTGAATTAAGAAAAATTTAGATTTAATTAAGTTCACTAAGATCCATACTTGCTTTTAAATTATACAACTCTTTTTTAGAAAACAGGTTTTCATGAATATTTTGGATACATAAATTATTAGATAGCTAAACTTACAAATTCAAAGAATATATGTCTTTAACTAATTTAGTATAATTAGAAATTCAAATCATAAATGATCTAAAAATTACCATAATGTAATAATAGTTTTGGAGTACCCATTATACCTTGGTTTTGGAAAGGTGATTCAATATAATACTTAGTTGAAATTTGTATAAAAGTATCAATTGAAGATAATTAATTATAATATTAAGGTGGATGTTATAAAAATGGATTTATTTATAAAGAATTGGGAGAAGATAATTTATAAACATTTGAGAATTTATCTATTTATATTAGACATGTAAATGATCCATATATAAGTGGAGTGGAATATTCACATAATTATGCTAAACCAAAATAAGATAATCATAATCAATTTCCAAAATTTATATATTATTGTTTTTTATTTGGATGTGCTGGAATAATATATATAATATTTATATATTTAATATTGACTTTAAAAAGGAATAGTGAGAAGACACAATTTGTATGAATAGAATATTTATGATAAGTTCATGAAATAAATTGTAAAATGTATCATCATGATTATTATTATGTTTGCCTTTATTCAGCTACTCTATTTAATGATAATGTAATGGCTTAACTCCAATTTTCAACATAGAAATCATATTAATCTTTATCTTCAGGATTAAAATATTTGAAACATTCATCAGGTGGCATTTCTTTTCTAATTAATTAAAAAATAGATCAAATACGTAGAAGTTGTAGCAAAACATGAATGATCTCTTAATAATTAATCTAATTTTTCTTCATCAGTTATTCTATGTTTATTATGAGAAGATTAGACTTCTAAAAATTTAAGGGCATGTTTTTTAGTTCTAATATCTAAACCACCATGATAGATTTCAAATGTAAATGAATAAGGAATCTAAAAGTATTATTAAATATAAATAATTTACTTTCAAATCATCATAAGCATAATCCATTGAAGTACCTGGAGAAAGATATCCAATTTCATGACCACAAGATCCCATTTTACATGTTTCACAATGTTTTTCTTTAACTTCTGTAAGTATTTACATCATATTTGAAATATTCTCAGTTGCTAAAACTTAATAATTAATATTTTACGTTATTCTTTACTATAAGCATAAGGTGTAAAAAGTGCTAAAGTTCCTGAATGTATGGAAAAGAAAACATGTGGTGAGAATTTTTTAAGTTCATCTCTTACTGTTTAGGTTTCAGCTTCAGAAAATGCAAATGGACCAGGAGCAGTTCTTACCATTTCTGGATCATGATCCTGAGTAATTAGTTTTAAATACTTTAGACCAATGAGATTTGTAATTACGATTCAAATCAACTCCATTTTCATTTTCTCTTTTACAAAAATCTCCAGATTCTACTTTCTCTCTAGATAGTGGATTAACATTGACTATCATTCTTAATTCATAATTATCTTTGATTGATTTCATATCTTCATTTTGATTACAGAGTTTTTTCACAAAATGTAAACCCGTTTCTGGAGAGATTAATTCTCTTGCATGTTCTCCAAAAATTACAAAGCCTTTATTTGGTTTATTTTGATTCTTATTTAAAGTTACCATAGATAATTTTGGATAATCTCTAACCATTTCCAATTCTACTCCTTCACAATTTTGTATGGCTTATGCAATTTCTACATGAATATCCTAAATTGTTTGTTTTATTTAAATTATACTGATGAACGATGATAAAAGGATGGAAATCCAAGGGATTGAACAATTGTAAAGATCAATACCAATAGAATGAAGTTCTTCATTTTTATAATTTAATATACTTATTTTTTAAGATGTCATATATAAGTTTTAAGGTAATAGCAGAGACGAGATATTTATAAAATGTCAGAATCTGTGGTAATCATCAATTACTAGGAGATTGGGATCCAAATCGTTCATTAATGTTAAGTACAACTAATACTACTTATCCTGAATGGACACATGAAAGTAAAATTCAAATAGATCCAAGTATGATTAATATTTTATTATCATAGCTGCTAGATTAGAATTTAAGTGTCTTATATAAGATGGTGATAATTTCATTTGGGAAGAGGTTCCAAATCGTTTACATAGATGTGATTTTAGAAGAAATTTCTTGATTATCACTTTCAATAAGGAAGAAATGAATGTCAGAACTTTTTAAAAATATGAAATCTCTCATGAATTTGTATAAGAAGACTTAAGTAAAATGTATAAATTAATACATTATAGTGAATGTCTAAAGACTCAGTAGATCTAGAGATTACGATCCATTTAATAATGATTTAGATTCAGTATTTGAACTACATTTATCTTATAGTCTGACAACGAGAGTATGCCTGAATTGATTAAACAAATTACAGGAATTACATAGATCTCTATTCGTTAATTAGAAAGTGATTGGAGAGATATTATTAGTGTAATTATATACTAAAACTTTAATAGACACATTTTGATTGTAAACAAAAGGAAAAGTCAATATCAAAATTTCGTAAGATTTCAGAATAATATGGTTCTCCAGATTTAGTATTTGATTACAAAAGAAAGAGATCCTAATCTTCATCATAAATTTTCACTGATTCTTTTGTTATATGTTTAAGTTTGAAGATACCAATTAAAATAACTACTATTGATTAATAAATTCAAGTAAGAAACAAAAAAGGTATTTAATTTAAATTGTAACAATAATAGACATTCTTAATAAATATAAATTCACTTCAACTAATGATCCCTATTATTACAATATGTATGATCTATTTAGTAACAGATTAAGTTTAAAAGCTATATGGATTGGTTGGATGGGTATTACAATTTAAGATGAAATTGAATTCAATCTTATCTAACAATATATGTATTTATTTATTATTTAATATAGTTATGATTAATATAAGTGTTATGGTATTTAATTAGATGAATCTAAATTATCTTGTTTTACTTAATTTATTTAACCAGTTTTTAGTAATTTAATACCAAATTAAAGATTTCATTCAGAAGATGATTATATGACAATAAATCAAATATTTGCAAGATTTGTATAAGATGCTATGTTTTGTAAACTTTTTAATAATTAATTCACTCATTTACATTCTATTTTTATATTTGATTACTAATTATTTATGATTCCTATTTTTATTAAGGATGGTTTGATAAAGAAGAATGAATATAGACCACGTATTTGTACAATAATGAGAAGATCATTTCCAAATCCTAAACATTTTAGAATATTTTCATTTAGTTAGATAATGTTATCATCATTATTGATGAGTGATTTAATATCATTTGTTGAATTGAAAGATTTATATAATTTTACATATTGTATTCCATTTTAATATCAGAAATTAACATAGGTTTCAGGAATGACTGCATTTACAATTGAAGTTTTAGGTAGAAAAATTATACTTGATTATGGAAATGTTGGTTTAGATGATAAACAATTAAGTAATTTGATTTCAACAGAAGATTACATAAATGAAGATTCAATTATACTTTTAGGTGTTGATAGTATTTCTATTGAAAGTGGATTGAATCTTAAATTTAAAATTGTAGAATAATTATATTTATTTGGACTAAATTAAATTTAATTGATACAAATATTATATAAAAATAATGAAGATGATTATGAAAATAATTCATCACTTTTAAAACTACTAGAAGAACTAAACAATTTAGCTGAATCCATTAATAATAAATATTAGAAACAATTAATACTATTAATATAAGATTCTTCATAATAAGATCGAATCAGATTATATCATATGGCAGATGTGTTTATCAAAACAACATTAAGAGATATTATTTCTTCAACTTATTTAGAGTATATTTATGTAAGACAATCATAAAAATAAAGAGCAAAAATTATCTTTAGTCAATGGTGTAAACCTAAAGTAGATCATAAGAAAATTAATCCTTTTAATATAGAAATGTCTGTCTAAATTATTTCAGATTATATTAATAATAATTTACTATCATATATTAATGTACCTAGTAGTAATGATTGGCTTCATAGATTAAATGATCATTTAAACTATTGTGAAGATTATTGGCTTGATAAATAATTATATGATTCAGCCAAAGAACTTACAGTAGGATTAAAGGATAGATAATTTTGTTCTATTGAAACTACTAAAATTATCTCTAAATTCAATAATAATCAATAAAATGATAATTAAAGAGTAATAATATTAGCTTATACTGAAAGTTTCAAATAAAAAATATAAAGAATTGATCAATTAGTATAAGCTTTAGAACAATTAGCTGAAGATGATACTAATACATTAATTCTTATATCAGATCAAGAATGTGAACTTCTAGAATTAACATTTGGTTCAATCAATAATTTATATATAATTGCATAAGATGGATTATTTATTAAGTAAAATAATTAAACTACATTTTAATAAATTATTGATAAGGATGAAATGGTTGAAGCTAAATTATAATAATTATCTCATCAAGAACATTTCATTCTCTCTTCAAAAAATCTTATTTATACTATGTAATTTAGAGAAAAGATCTAAGATTCAAATGCAGCTGCTAACATCCTTATTTCTAATCTAATAAAAGAATTAAGATTAGAATTAGATGAATTTATAATAACCTAAGAAAATTACTCTATTAAAATTAAACATTAATATTAATAAATTGAAGAACTGTTGAAGATCATTATTATGAATGAAGTAGATAAAAAAGGATTAGTTTCTTTTGCAAATATAATATCATTTGATCGCTAATGGCTAGAAAAAATTATTCAGATTTTTTAATTTTCTAATATGCCTTTAAATAAAGTAATATATCATTTTTTATAATATAGAAATTTCATTGTGTTTCCATCTCAGATTAAATTGGAAAGAATAGTAATCTTGTAATCGAAACTACTTAAGAAATTATATTATTGTTAAATAGATATGCTGTCGAAAGCAAAGATAAAAAATGAAATTTATATAACTACAATCATCCTACTGATTAAAAAAAATTATGTGGAAAGTATCCTTTTACTTAATTCTTGTCTTCACCATACCACCATCCATTTGTTGTTTTCTTTAACAATTTTATTTGATCTCCTTTCTTAAAACTTAAATCTACATCCTACCATAAATCATTTTAATATCTATACTTTTTGTGCTTTATAATCATATTTTGCTATAACATATTAACAATTTTATTATTAATTTTCTTTATTTCTTTTTGATTATTTATCTTATTCTCTAAATATATGTTACTCATTATTAATTATTTAAAAATAATTAGAATTCTCATTTATTTCCTAATTCATTTTATTAGTTATATTTAGTTATAAACCCAATTAATTTCTATGTTTTTCTTTATTTTACATTCTTTATTGCTCAATTGAATCTAAATCTGTAAAATAAGGATTTATCACCTAGGTTTTATTTAAAGGTTCATTTATATCTAAAAAGGAATTATATTATTCATGTAAAGAAGTTGAAGCATTCTTAATTGGTTTTAGAGATTCAGATGGAGGTGGTGTATTATTGGTTCTTTAAATTGTATGTTTTGAAACATTGTTTGTTTTATTTCTAAAAGATATTTCTTAAGATTCATTCAATTTTAATGATTCTACAATTTAAAAGAATCCATTAACATCAAATTCTTCTGGTAATACACAATTTCTTAAAGCAGGTAAATTGAGATTTTATGTTTTGGATATGAATTCTAAAATAAATGCTGTTGAATGTTTTGATATTTATATAAGAGATTCATAAGCTAATGTTATTTAAGGTTGGAAATGTAATACAATTTTCTAAAAAAAGGATAGAAATTCTATACAAATTAAACAATTATCACAAATGAATGATTTTAATCCATTATTGATAGCTATTTAATCTTATAATTGTTTAGTTAATGATTCACACTTCTTTTATTCTATCTACAAATTTTATTTCAAAGGTTTCATAGTTTGAATTTATTCATTAATATTCATTAATTAATTTTAATAGAGTTGACGTTCACGTTGTAAATTTTATTGGAGTTCTTTATTTGTTTATTCAGATGTTTAACACTTTTTTTTTAATTCATTAAGAGTTAATTATAATTTTGTTGATTATTCTTTTAAATCTTGATTCTCTTAAAGAATTTTCTAATAATAATCATCTTTATTGAGTATATTTTCTATTATCATATTGGCCATAGCATTACTTGAATTAAGTATGAGTGCATCTTATTCAGTAATATGATTAAAATTCAATTTTCTGTTACTTTATTATTTTTGAGGTGTTGTATTGGGTGATATTGATTTAGTTTATCTTTAATTAATTTATGCATTCCCAAGGATTTATAATAGTTCTTATTTTTTATTTACCAATCGTTAAGGTTCTTTTTTGTTGACAATTTAGATTTGAGTTTAAAGTTATTATTATGATTTTTAATGAATTGTTAATACACCATCAACACTTTGATTTAATTTCTGATGTTATGAGAATGCTCCAGGTTTTAATTGAATTTTATTATTAGGCACTAATTTCTAAAGTGAATACATTTTAAATTTAATTATCGTTATATCATAATTCAATATTATTTTGATTTAACATTACAAAAAATCACTCAGCTGATTTAAAAACAATAGCACATCTATTTGGCAAATATATTTGGATATGATTAGGTCTTCCTTACCATCCTTCTTTAAACAAAGTGAATGGTTTATTATAAGATGGTGATACTCTTGAATGTCCCCCAAATCTCATATCATCAGTATCTAAAACTATAAAATGATCTCCATTAAATTTAGTTCCTACTTTAAAATGTTCATAAGACTAAAAATGAATAATATAATTAGTTACTTGTGAAGGATGAAAATTAAATACAAAAAGTAATGAGCCCCTTTCAAATATAATAACTTTCATATCATTATGCTTTTCAGTTACCCATTATTAACCATCAGGTAACCATGGATATTTTAATTCTAGATTAAGCATTTCAATATCAAATTATAATAATTTAGAAAATCTTAAAGTTTAATTATCTGCTAAATCCCATCTTCTTGTTGCATGATGATATGACCATCCATTACCTTCTCTTGGAAAATCAATCCATTCAGGATGGCCAAATTCATTACCCATAAATGTGAGATATCCTTCACCACCAAGAGCAAAGGTTATTAATCTAATCATCTTATGCAATGCCATTCCTCTGAAAGTGACTAGAGTTTCAGGTGTAAGAGTACTCATCTAAGTATATATTTCTTTATCAAATAACCACATAGACAAAGTCTTATCTCCAACTAATGCCTAATCATGACATTCAGCATAACATATACAATTTTCCAAATATCTTCTATTTGTAAGTGTATTTGTAATATCTTCCATATCCCAATCATCATCCTTAACTTCCTTCAATAATTTAATCCATTTATCTGGAATTGCCATAGCCATTCTATAATCGAATCCTATTCCTCCTTCCTTTATTGTTCTACACAATGATGGGTATCCAGATACTTCTTCTGCTATTGTTATTGCATCTGGATTAATTTCATGAATTAAATCATTTGCTAACATTAAATAAACCAAAGAATCTAAGTCTACTTGTTCATTGAAATATTCATGTAAACCTCCAGTAAATCCATGTCCATTACCATGATGAATATATAACATAGATGTAATTCCATCAAATCTAAAACCATCAAATTAATATTCATTTAACCACCATGATAAATTTGACAAGAAGAATCTCATAACTTCCCATTTAGAATAATCAAACACTTTAGAATCCCATAAATTATGATTACCCTTTGTTCCAGCATGGAAATATTGATAATCAGTTCCATCCCATTCATTTATTCCATCCTACACATTACTTGATGCATGACTATGTACTAAATCCATTAATACATGTATCCCATATTGATGTGCTGTATCAATCAATTCTTTCAAATCGTCTGGACTACCAAATCTACTACTTACTGCAAAGAAATTCGTAACATGATATCCGAAACTACCATAATACGCATGCTCCTATATTGCCATAATTTAAATCACGTTATATCCTAATTTAACCACTCTTGGTAAAACTTACTAAGTGAATTCTTTGAAAGTATGAACTCGTGGTTCAACTCCTGCCATTCCTATATGTACTTCATATATTTTCAAACTCCTTAATTTCCCAGGTCTATTATTCTTAAATTCGTATCTATTCTCTGGATTATAGAAGACACCATCAAACATCTATAAAAATTATTGATTTCATAAATACTTTATTCTCATCATTTTACCAAGTCATTCGAATCCATGCAGGAATCCTATAAACATATTCATCCTTTGCATTCTTTATGTAGGTCTTAACTCTAGAACCATGATTAATCATATATGTGCCATCTTCATTTCTAGGCAGAAATATCTCCCAATTTCCAAAGGTATCTGAAGTCAAAGAATACTGGGTTTTATCCCAATTATTAAAATCTCCAGTGAGATATACTTCCTTAGCTCCAGGAGCCCACTCTTTGTACATTATGCCTGATTCTGAGATTACAAAACCGTATTTTTCATAACTAATACTATTTTAGATTATAATACCCTTTGGCAAAATCTTTGAGGGATGATTCAACCTTTACTATTTGTTCAAGCTATTCAAAAAACTTAACATTTCGAATTTAAAAATGTTATTTATATGCTTGAAGTTGGTGATCGTCTTTGAAGATTTTTAATTCATCAATGTTCTTCTCATATCGTTGAGTAAATTCTTCATTTTCTAGAACAGATTGCTATATGAGATAGAGAGTCTTACTTAATAGAAGAGAGAGTTCTTTTTTTACAGTCTTCTTCCTGAGACTTATTTGGTTGATATGGCACTTCCTTGATCAATATATTACATTATTAATAAAATTTTAAGATTTAATATGAGTTCTTATATGAGATGATGATAATCAAATGAATCAATAAAATAAATGATGTCAAAGTGTTAATGATTAAGAAAAAAATGTGAAAAATTGTATCTAAATATATTATAATTAATTTAAATGGCTGGAGAGAAAATTTCAGGATAGGGCAAACGAAAATGTTAACCAAGATGTCAAGAGCATTAGTTTAATCTCCATCCAAAAAGTTAAAAGTGTTGGTTTAAGTCACCAACAAACATAGATTTCTGTCCTTTGTACAACGATGCTGTAACAGATATATAATATAATACATAGCTGGCCTGTTTTGAAAATATCGTTCCAGTCTTTAATTAAGATGAACAATAATGCTTGCCCGGTTTCATTTTAGAAGTGGACAGAGTAAGAATTGGCTGTCTAATATTTACATTAGAATGACTACTTGAGGAGTATGCAAAAATACAAAGAAGATCATCAAAGAAAGATTCAAGAATATACAATGAAGAAGACTAAATTGGTAATGGATTATGTTAAGTTTAGTAAATTCCAAAACCTGGTCGTAAGCATAGATATTGTGGAGTGTGTCGTAAACCTTATTAAGATTATTTAGAAGTAATGAAGATATTTCTAAAATATAGCACATAAAATCTTCTGATCATATAAATTGCTTTAATAGACATGATTTTGTTCATGTGATACTTAAAATAATAGAGGAAGATTATAAATCAAGAGATGAAAATAAAATTTAAAATGATTCCAGCACTTACCCATCTAAAGCAGTGATGCCTAAAAAAAGAGGTCCAAAGCCAAAAGTCTAAGTAGAATAAGGAGAACCAAAAAAGAGAGGAAGAAAACCCCGTGAACCTTAAACTGCAAAGCGAATACAAACCCAACAAATGAGAGACGTATTGATCCCTGTTAGACAATAATATCCTGATCCTCCTCCTCCCCCTCCTCCATAAACATATTTTACTTAACCATTTTACTTTCCATATCATCCTTTGAATTAGATGATTCAATATGGTGCATTGCAAATACCACCACAATTTCGTGTTAATTTTCCATTCCAAATGCCAGTTGTCTCAGATATGTAAATGGAAATGAAATGTGAAGATATGAGTAACTTATTCAATTACCTTAGTTATAGATGGCAAAATAGATGATCGTCCTCAATTTGATTGAATATTATAATAATTATTATATTTTAACATCTAAATAAAACCATCCAAAATTTGTGTTTCTTCATATTTTTGTGCAAAATCAACCTCAAAAACACTTACTACATTAATGTTTCATAAAAATAATCAAAGTGGTCTCTATTCAAATAGAATGATTTTACATAAAAAATAGCTTAATTTGTCTACAGAAACATTCATTTGGATGAACTTTGTCAATATTCTTACAGGAATACTGTAAAATACTAATACACATCTAATTTTTGAACCTAATGCAATATATTTGGCAGGTATTTTTAATACTAAATGACATAGGCCATGATGAAGATTAATTGAGAGTAGCCCAATTCAAAATTGAATACATAGCCTTCTAAGAGTTTAAAATGATCTATGTTATGAAGGATTAACGATCTCTCATCTCTTATAAACCATATACTTCCATATTCTATTCTAAAAATTATAAAGAGCTCTATTCTAAATATAGAGGAACTTGTTTATTTGTTAAAGACAAATTAATAAAAGAATAGAAACAATTATAAGAATAAACTGGATATCTTAAGGATTTTGAATTTGAAAAGTATGAATCTTTTGTTATAGCTTGGATACCTAAAAGAAAGGAATAAAAAATTACATAATTATTTCAAACTTGGATTGCTGAATACAATTAATCTAATAATTTTACTCCAAAACATGAATTAAGAACAACAATAAATAGAGAATATTTTAATGATGCTGATCCATTTTAATAAATTGCTATGAATTATATTGATTTTATCCTTTTCTATTCAGAGAATGATGTTGAATAATTCCAATTACAAAATAAAATTTTAATTAAATTGGTTGATGATGGATGGAAAATTCAATTCAATATCTATTCATCTAATCTACTCTATTGTCAATAAGCTTAATTATATATAACTGAATTTTTGAATTAGTAATCATTAGAAATATTTAATATGGAATTATATGATTTGTGTGAAAATTTTGACAAATTCATTTATGATTTGGAAGGAATATTGAAGAAAAAAAGTAATTTACCTGTAAGATTATATAAACTTGATTCTATTCTATCCTTAGTTAAAGAGATTGATAGAAAATTTGACACTTAAATTTAAAATTATGTATAAAACCTTGGATTTAAGTAATGCTTATTTTATTCTAAATAACGAGAAAATACTTAAGCATTAAAAATAATTCAAGATATTATTGAATTAAGGTTTAAATTTAATTAAATTATGAAAAAGAAATAATTAGAGATGTCATAATTATCATAATCATTCCAAACTTGCAAATCTTCATTATTATATTCTAGTTAATGTAAATCTACAATTATACCTTAATTACTAAAAGATTAAGAATAAATTATCCCTTAATAATTTCCTTTGGAATGTAGAGGATAATTGATTCTTCCAGATATCACATCTAAATATCAATAATCAAAAAATTAAAATAGTTTTTCAAGCGAACAAAAGTCTAAGATATACAAAGAAAATATTAAATAGAGTTAAAAAGGAGGAATAAATGATTATTAATATAATTAATCTGAGTATTCAAATGGGGAAACTTTTAATTCTATGGAATCTTTATAAAAGAATAATAATAGTCAAGATTATAATGATAGTAGTGATATTAATGAATTACAAGAATTTTGTAATGATATCTAATTATAATCAAAACTAAATTAAAAAAAACATAATATTTTTGAAGAAGAGAAGATGTCTTAATTAATTTCAATACATCATATTTCTCAATAATTTGTTCGGTAAGTATTATAATTAGGATTTGATTAATATTCAATTATATATAAAGTAAAAGACACAATAATATTGAATTTAAAAGATTGGGAATAAAGTTTAAGAAGTTATTTAAAACACTAAGAAATTTATATTAATGAATTAGAATTGATTGTCTGTGATGATTAAATAACAATAAATACTAGATTGAATTATAAATAAGTATCTTCTATTTGCGATTAATTTTTTGCAGGTACATCTTATATAGTTGTACGATTAAATGAAAATTCTTAGGATTTTATAGATAAATTATAGGATATGTATGATATAGAATCAAAGCAAACATAATTCTAATAGATTGGATTAATAATGAAAAAGTAATATGAATAATTGCAGGTTGATGAAAAGGGTAGGTACTTAGCAATGGAAATATATAATTATTTATATTTTGAAACAAATATCTAATAAAGGATTAATCAATTAATCAATTGCAATTCTCAAGAATTAGATGAACCTATACCTATATAAGAATTGGGGATTGGAAATAAGATTATAATTGTATTGTCATAATAGTAATTAAATTACTTAGGAGAAAATTATCAGGAGCTAGAATGCAATAGATTGATTAAATTTGGAAAATACATATCAAATACATTTTATTTTGTGGAGATATAGAGTAATAATCAATAATTATATATGGATGTTTTAGAATAGCTTAGAAGGATAGGTTATGAGATGGTGGAAGTTTATATTAATAGAAAAAAGTAGAAATACAAGAATTAATAGATAATTTAATTAAAATAAAATAGTTGGAAATTATGCATATATTCAAATATCAAGAAATTTTATACCAAATTAATAAATGATCTATTAGAAATCAAATTTAATGAGAAGGAGTATCTCTAAATATTTTAAGGAGGCTTAAAATTATCTGAATTATAAATTGACATAGGGAAGTATTAAATAAAACATGAAAAAGACATAAGTATATTGGATTAAATATTATAGGGAGATTAGAATTGTAATTATTATGATTTAATAAATTTAGATAAATGTATATCTCCTTAGATAGATCAGTTTACTCCAGGAAATTACTTGACTATAATTGTTAGATGTGAACAATAACAAACAGAAACTACAACTTGTCTTTACCCTGAAACTAGTCTTATTAGGTATTTTATTTAATATTATATAATTTAAGAGGTTATTATGAAGTACAAGAAAACTATTCCAAATTATAACAATAAAACTTTTGAATTTATATATATATATATATATATATGCATATATTTTAATTGTTATAATTATTTTATTTCAAATATTAAAATGGTTGAATTAAACCTTTCTTAATTGCATTTTGATATTCAATTCTACTTAGTTTGCTTTGAATTGTTGATTTATTTTCAGGCATTTAAAAAATGATTGCAGTTTAAACAATATAATTTATAAAATAATTTATATGTCAGAACAATAAAGCTTAAAGGATGATAGGAACCTGCCATTAGCAACTGCTAAAGTAGTTCCTAGAGGATCAAAAGACATTTCAAATGCTATTGGAGATCGTAGATCTTCATATAATATTGAAGGTTACGATCGCGTTATTGCATATGAGTAATAGAGCATCTTATAATAAGAATAACTTAATAATACCATCAAGGAATCCCATTAATAGATAAAGCAGTGATTGCATTAGTTGTAATATTCACTCTCTTAGTCTTCATAAACTTTTCATTTACATGTAACAAATTGTAGAAAAAATAGCTAATGATGCTAAAGAGGATCCCAATATAGATAAGACACTATTTGTGACTAAAATAATAGAACTAGTCATACTAATTCTTTTTGTTTTGGAAATATCTATAAGAAGCTATACAAATGGTTTTATTGTATTTAATTTCATGTGAGCTTAGGTTTATTTTTCAGATTGTTGGTCATTTTTTGATGCATTAATAATAATTGCATCTATTGTCTTAATAATATTGGATTTGAATTTATAAGGAGATGCATTTATAACTATAAGTAAAGTGTTAAGAGGTATCTTTAGATTTTTAAGATTGTTTTTGGTATTTCGAAAAGTAAATATCTTAAATATATATAAATAGTATAATCAAGTGAAAAAAATTAATAATTCAGGTTCAAGATATACAGTAAGATCACCAGTTGAAAAAGTGATAGAAATTATGCGTGATCTTTCTGATCAATTTGAAGATCCAGAAATTATAAAATAATTAAATTGGGGAATTACTCATATTTCAAATAATACTGTTTATGAACCAATAATAGAAGGTCGTAAAAGTGAAGCATTAGGTTGGTTAAATCAACCTTAAAATTAATAAATTATATCTTAAGATTCTAAACGTTCAATTTCTACAGATATTATCTTTTCAAATGAAACAAACTTACCTGAATCTTTAAGACAAGATTTCTCATAGAATATATTAAAATTAGATTATGATTATTTCTCTTTATTTGAAAAGTATGATAGTTCAATCTTAACTTATTTGATGTGCTATTACTTTGAGAAAGAACAATTATTTAGTAATTTAAAAATCTCTCCTGATTCTTTTAAAAAATGTGTTGATCAATTAGGATCTAGTTATCATAGAGAAAACTTATATCATAATATAATTCATGCTTTTGATGTTACTCACACAGTATATTTTTTTATTGAAAAATGCAATTTTAAAGAAATTGGAAAATTGACAAAACTGGATTATTCAATATTATTACTTTCAGCTGCTGCTCATGATGTTGATCATCCAGGATTGAATAATATATTTTTAAACAATACTAGACATGAATTGGCAATGACTTACAATGATAAATCTTCACTTGAATAACATCATGCTGCAACCCTATTTAAATATATTAGAGATACTGAACTTCTTATAAATTTCTCATTATAAGATTTTAAATATTTTAGAGAAAAATCTATAAGTATGATTTTGAGTACAGATAATGCAATGCATGGCAAAGGTATTTCTTAAAAAGATTATTAGATTATAATAGATTAAAAGCAAGATTAGCATCTAATGATTTTGATCCAGGTAGTAAAGATAAAGGTATTTGTTTTGATACTTTGCTACATGCAGCAGATATCAGCAATCCATTTAAACCAATGAAAAATTATGAGAAATGGACTTTCAGAGTATTAGGTGAATTTTGGCAATAAGGTGATAAGGAAAAAGATTTGGGACTTCCTATTACTATGTTATGTGATAGAAGAACAACTAATGTGGCTAAGAGTTAGATCGGATTTATAGATTTTATGGTAATCTACTTATAATATATATTTTAGGTATTACCTTACTATAATACACTTCAATAAATTCTTCCCTAATTAGCTGAGTTTATGGAATAGATTTCAGAAAATAAAAGATTTTGGGCTGAATAAATTGAGCACTATTAAATGTTACTCAATACATAATGATTGTTTATCATGAATTTATATATTTTGTATTTTATAATTAATAATTAATGTCTGGTAGTGATTCAGAACTTGAGATGGTACCTTTTGAGGTAGCAAAGTAAGCAGAGACTTAAAGAAAAAGATAAGTAGCTGAATAGAAAACATAAGCACACTTAAAGAAACTATAATAAAAGGAATAAATTAAACAGAAAATTAAAAAGGATAAGGAAATATAATTAAAAGCAAAGCAAACTAATTTATTTGAAGAAGAACCTCCTGAATAAAGTAGCAGTACTTAATCTCATTTTACTAATAATAAAATTGATGAATCATTCTAAAGAAATTTGAATGAAAAATTATCTGAAAAAGTTATTAAATCCATTAAAATGCCATAAATACAATAAGCAACAACAATTCCTATAGAAATTAAATCAAAAAAAAGTATTCTATATTCATTATTATAGTTATTAAGAAATTTAATGAAAAAGTTACAATAGAAACATTAGGAAGAGAAATAAATCATAAAAAAAATTCATAATAATCGCTCAATTTCCTTAAATAACATTTGATTGACAAACAGTAAAGAGTTCCTATTTCTAAGATTATTTCAAAAAAAATATGAGTTGCCTATAGTTATGTTTATTATTTATTTTGATTATTTTTTTATTTATATGGCTGAGTAAGAATAATTAGAATAAACTGAACATTAGGAAGGACAGACTGAAAATACTGAAAAATAAACTTAGAATAATAAAGAGAAGGATTAAAAAAAATAAAAGCCTATTGTATAAGCTAGAGAGGCTCCTTCTGAAGATGCATTGATATTTGACTTTGAAGTATGTTAAAATTGTTAAGAACATGCTTGGTGCACACATCATGATGAAGAAAAATATGTAAAGTTATACATCGAATGTTAATAATGTAGTTGTTAATTAATTCTTAATAGTAATTGAAAGTTCTATTCCTAACAGTTATTGTACTTTCAATTAAGGAATTGTACCTAATACAGGATCATTTGAGATTAGACATAAAGGTTAATAATTTATCAATAATATTTAGGCATACTAATTTATTCAAAGAAGAATACATAATTATTTCCATAACCTCCTCTTTTGGTTGAAAGACTGAAAAAATTCCTAGATGATCTTGAAAATAAGAGAGATGTTACTAAATGGTCAACAAAAAAGGAAGTTAAGTACTAACCTCCAAAATAAAAAAAAGAAAGAGAAACGTTTCAAACTTATATGAAAAAAAGAGAAGAAGAAGAAAGAAGATAGAAAGAATAAAAAGAATAAGCCAGAATTTAAGCTGAACAAGAAGAATAAAAAAAAAGAGAAGAAGAATAAAGAAGATAAGAACAATTATAAAAAGAAGAGGAAGAAAGAAAGAAAAAAGAATAAATGGAAGAGGAAACAAGAAAATTAGAGTTAGAAAAAGAAGAAAATGAAAGATTAGCTGAAGAGAAAAAAAGGATGGAATAATAAGAATAAGAATAATAAGATAAATAATAGGAGAATTAATAGGTTACTAATAACTAAGAATAAAATTAATAAGTAGAATGAATTAAGAATAAGTTAAACTATTCTTATATTATCCAATATATTAGTAAGATTTATTGGTTTTTATTTTAAGATATGTAAAAAAAATATTTAGAATTAAAAATTATAATAATCTTATTTTAATTAATTACTTAAAATATATTATTGTATTTTGATTCTATTTTTGATATAAATTTCATTTCCATTACTTCAAAACATCTGTATTTAAGCATCCTTGATACAATTTATTTAAATATGTAATTGGTGGTTTAACGTCTTATAATCTTCCTGATCCTAATATTTGATCGAGAAAATCAAAGCTAGTTATAAATTCAATTGTAATTTTATTAATAATTGGATCTTGGAGCATTTCTCTTAAGGTTTTTAAATTACTTGGTTTATCATCAAATTTTTTTATTTTCTTCTTGATCTATGGATTTTATTTTTAACAAATCGTGTTCAGATTTTCCAATTTATTTAAAATTGAATTAGCATAGAATTTAGGTAAATTTTTAGTCTCTGATTATTATGTTGATTCTTTTTTTTCACATTCTTAAGCAATAGGCTCTTCTTTATATATTTTTTTTGGTTATTTTAATCTAATTTTGGTTTTTTTTCTAGCAATTATTGTGCTTTTTTATGATTAGTGACAAATTTCAGGTTCTTATTCTTAATCTAGTTATTAATAAAAATTTTATTGATTATAACTATTTTCAGTTTATAGAATTGGATTTTAACTTAGTAAATTCTCTTAATCTTGTTAAGATTGCTAATTAGATTGAAAAATATAATTTAGTTCTGATCCTTAATTTTCATTATCGTCGTATATTTATGGTAGTGAGTTTTCATTATCAAAACTATTATAATATACACAGCTTTCTTACTTATAAAATTACATCTAAAGAATAAAAAATGATTATTATTTAAAATTGAATAATATTAGGATAAGTTATTAATATTATAAACAAAATATAGATACGAGACATAAAATACATTGTTATCTAGCATTAAATTTATTTATTTTTTCAAAATTAATTAAACCATTAGATGTTCTTTTTATTATTATTATTATTCTATTTATACAAAAGATATAAATATTAATTAATAACACAATAATATTAATCTTACCCAAAAAAATTTATTATTTTTTTTTACTAGCTTTAAAAATAATGATACATTACTTTTTTTAAAAGGATGTAGCCTTTAATTTAAATATGTTATATTTATTAAAAATTAATCATAATTTAAAGAAAGATTAAATAATTTATTATTAAATCATAAATATTACTATGTTTTGAATTATCATCAGAATACATAATATAAATAGATCAATAATCACAGTCTTCTAATAGCTAATCTACTCATCTTATCTTTTCAATAATCTGTAAATTGTAAATTAAGAAAAGTATTTTTTTTATATATATAAAAATAATATGATTTGGTAGTGTAGATCTTAATAAGTAGATAATAACAAATGTACAATTAATAATCATACTGAAAGAAAAAGACATAATTTTTGGATGTCTGCTAAACAGTCTACTTCAATTTAGGAAGCTAATATGTCTTAGATTAATTGAAAACTGGAAAAGTATTGTAGAGCCAACTATTTAGCTTGATAATCTTCTTTAAGCTTTTATAGATTATTCAAAGTTTTCTAATTTGATAATCTGTTAAAATTTGAGTTTTCCACAAAAATATTCTTATAATGAGTCTCTAAATACTTATACATAAAATTTACTAATATAATTTAACAAAAGGCAAGAAATTTAGCGATGTCTTTCTTTACTTGATTTTACCTTTGTTGAATTAAAAGTTGTTAGCATGATATATTTATTATTTTATGATAGGAATATAATTGGAATTTGAAAAACTAAATGCCTTTATTCTATTTAAGAACTTAATTAATAATTATTCTTTCTGGAATAGAAATTTCTTTAAGCTAAAAGTCTACAAGAAAACTTAAAAATAACATATTCTTAAGATTTAATTTTAACTTCCACCTGAATTGGAGAATCTATCTAAATTTATTAATGTACAAGCTCAACATGCATACTGAATATATTGGATAAAGAATTGGATTGAAATTTTTGCAGTCTACTTAATGAAAACCTTATTTCTTGCATGGATTATAAAAAGAGAGGGTTTAAAGAAAATAACAGAATCATTTGAATGACTTAGAAATAGTAGGACTATATAAAAAATAAATAATATATAATTGTCATATAGAATCACATAAATTTACTAAAATAGTCAGGATATGTGATATGTGACAGAGAGAATAATTAGAAAGTTTAATTAGTAAAAAATTGAAAATTAATGATGCTTTAATAAAGTATTATTCATCGATTTAATAAGAAGTTTAAGTTTTAGAAATACTAATAGATTAATTATAATATTAAGATTATATACGATAAATTAAATTTATTGATTGATATATTTAACATGTTATGAATGATCAATATTTTATAAGATATTTGACTTTATGAATAATCTCTTAAATTAATGAATATTGATAGATAAAGATAATTGTATTAAATAGTCTTAATAAGAGAGACCAATTATTACAAATTAGTAGACTAACAAATAGTTAGCGTCTATTCATTTTGTTAATTTTAATTCCTGATCTCAATTAATAGAATTGAAGAAGAATATTATTTAAGTTATAGATCTTCAAATAGTCTAGATTTAGTTCCTCATATTAGTTAAAGATAAGAGTTGTATTTTAGTAATAGCATTTCTTATATAGTTAATATATTAAATATACATTTAGCATACATATTCAGTTCATTATTCTTATTATGCAATAGCAATGATGAATTTAATAAATATGTATTTCAATTTTTAATATTCATAATTGATGTAGAATGAATAGAATTTTATTGTAAAAGATGAGGAGATACCTTATTTAATATTTTATAATAATAAATTTAGTTTATTATTTAAGTTTCAATAAATGAGAACAATTATTTATTTAATTATAAAATATTCATTTTCCAATTATATCTAAAATTGTTTACAAACTATTGTTGATTCCTCTATTTTCATTCAGAGCTATTGATTTTAGATTAATTTAATATTTTTTTAATATTTTCTTCTTATATACTGTTTAAGTAATTTCATCAAGTCTAATATCATAATGACAAGATCCATCAATTTCAATAAATGCATTATCTATTTCATTCTTTCTATCTTTTGTAACATCATCATATTTATCTTACTTAACCTCTAGAAATTCTGTTTATAAATCAATATTTTTTTGCATTTATTTTAATTCAGAAATATTTACATTCTCTAGATTAATATCCCAAATTCTAAAATCAACAAGATAACATCCAACACGACTTTCTTTGATATATTTCAATATTCCTTATTTTTCAAATATGAATAAATTGTATTCAAAGTTATTTTCCATAAATCCTTAAAAATATTTGAATTATCTTTTAAATTAAAAATTCTATATGAATTTCTCTATTTAATCTTTTTTTATAGTTTCAATTAATTTCAATTATAATTTTTTTTCATCTTCATAAGCTTATAGAACTTTAACCATTGGAAATTAATCTTCTAATAATTATAAAGCAATAACAAATTAAAGATGTTTTGTATAGTTTAGATTTTAGATTTCGTGGGCATGAATATTGATCATGGCTGTTATACAATCATTAATTTATTAATGAAATAAATTAGAGTATTTTTCAATACAATATAAGAAGGTTATACTATCTAATAGATTCATATTAAAATTTTTAATTTAATTTTAAACCTTCTCAAGAATTAATTTTTCAGAATCAAATAAGCTAGCCATATAAAGTATATCAATTAATGATTCATTTGGAAAATGTTCGATATTATTAAGTATAAATTATTCATATACTTTAATTGATTTTTAAAATTACAATCTGATTTCATCATTAATTTAAGATGGAATAAAAAGTAGTATTTTAATACCCATAATAGAATTTGATAAATCTTTGTCTTCCATTTAAAAGTATTCATCAAATTATTCTTTTAAAGCAATTACAATTCGATATTAATTTGATATTTAATGCATAGGATTTTTCAAATATTTTGATAAAAGTGACAATAATGAATTTGTACTAAATATTTTTAGATCTTTAACAATTTAATCAATACAATCTTTATCATTAAATCGAAATTACCCTAAAGCAATTAATACTTTAGCTTATTAATCTTCTTACAATTTATTAAAATCTGACTTAATTCTTTTTATTATTTATTCATTTTCCAATAACTATATACTAAATTTTATTAGATATTTATTAGAACCAGATACTAGACTCCATAATAAATGATAAATATCAATAATACTGAAATTTATAAAATTTTATTAAATTAATAAAATTTCAACTACTTTACTAACATATTAAGGTTAAATTTCATATTATTGAATTAATGCTATTATATGAGTAATATTTTATGAGGACTATACTTTTAAAAAATTTGGAATTCTTTCAACTAATAAATTACTGCATTATTGATATAAAATAATATCATCCTTATCTTGTAAGTAATACTTTCTTTTTAATTACCCAAAAATATATGCTAATTAAGCAAGACAGGTAGGATTATCAAAGTCTTTATTTTAATTAAATAGAAATATCAATCTCTTCCCCATTTCTTTCCAAAGCTCTTAATTATTACAACCATTTTACAAATAGTAATACATTATACTTTTGATAGCAAAAAAGGACTTAAATTTAGGAGCATTTAAAAGAATATTTTGATGTAAATTTTTAACAAAATCATCTTTACATTCAAGTCCTTTGCATGAATCTCTTAGATTTTCTTTTTAAGTCTGATTTAGTAAAAATAATTTATTTTTAAGATCTACATCTAAGAATCTGGTCTTTTCGTTGAGAATGTATGCAAAACGAAATCTACATATTAGTGATCGCATATTAAATTTAATAATCATTATTATTTTACAACTTTTCTTAAGGCATAACAAATTTTATGTTCTAAAGTTGTTTCAATGTCTACATCAACCTCAAATGTCTTTCCTTATAATGGAAATTTGATCCTATATTTAACTGTTAATAATCTAAACAAGAACAGATAATCTTTATTTTTATCATAAGCTTCTGCTTCTTTCTTTTAAACAGTAAAGGCCAAAGTTCCTTCTAGCCATTTATTAATATTATTTCTGAAATCCATATCATGTTTTAGTAATTTACCCATAGCTAATTCTACTTTCTAAAGTAATCCATTTTGAACTTTTGCATCTATAAGAATTGGTACAGAATGACGTAAAGCTTTTCTTAATTTAGCATAAGTTTCTAAAGCTAACCATAATCCTTTACTAGACTTTTGTTACATTTCTTTAAGAGATTCAAAGAAAAGAACAAAAGAATTGAGTTTTTTATTATTTGCTTTATTAACACTTTTGACAAAAACATCAAAAACTACATTAGATATAGCATCTCTGGCAAAAGTAATGGCTGCCACAAATGAATCTATAAAATATGTAGTAACTCTCATATCAGATCCTCCACCTAAAACTACACTTTTGCCAAGATTTGAATTCTCTTCAACCATAGTTTTATTCTATTTATTTCTTGCTTTTAATTCCATTTTTGTTTTCCAAAGATTTATACACAATTATTTTAAAGATTTAGCATGATTTCTTTCAAATAAATCTAAACATGCATCTATTTTAATATGGAATTTCTCAGCCCAAGCTGGTGGCATTCTAGGTTCCATACCACCTGATTAAACACTAATTTACTAGGGCATAGCAGGTTTCTAGAAATTATTTTAAAAATTACAGCATCTTCTCTAACTTTAGTAATTTCTTCTTATTTAAATCTATTATCTCTTGCTAACATACTCAATTCTTAGGCATAACTTCTATTCAAATCTAAAATACGTCTAACTTCATGTTCTAAGATTCTAATTTTATCAAATGCATCTACTAATTCATTATCTTTGAGATATAGTGCTTCTGCAAATTATTTATCTAATGCTTCTAATTTCAGTACTTTTTCTCTTAATTCAGCTTCTAATCTAGCTGTCTGATGATCTAATGTAAATCTTAATGATGCTATTTCTTCATCAGCTTTTCTTTTCGATTCAGTTAATTCATTAATTCTTTTTCTTTAATCTTAAATCTCAGCATTCTTATCATTAAGTTATTGAGTCAAACTTTGTACATCAAAATTATATTATTTATCACCTAATTCTAATTTATTTAACAAAAGATCTCTGTCTAAGATAAGATTTTAAACATCATTTTTTATTTCAATTTACTTTTCAAATGTTCTTTCTACATTTTGATTTGATTCCTAAGTTTTCTTTTTAATAGTTTCAAATTAAACAGTCTATTATTGATATATAGTATATAATTTCTTTAATTGATCCTTATAAAGCTATAATTCATGAGCTACTTTTAAATAATCTGATTCAAATCCTTATTTTGCATGTTCAGATACATCCAAATCATGTTATAATTGCTATGATTATTAAGTTTATTTACTTGAATATAATCATTCATTTTTTAGATTTGATAATTGTATTATTCTTCTCTTTCTTCAAATTCACGATATTTATCATCAAAATAATCTGGTTAATTGAGTGGTTAGGTTGATTATTGGTATTATTAAGGAATTGGATATTGAGATTATTATTTTTTGGTAACATATGGAGAATTGTCATAACGTTGAACACTTGTTGGGGATATAGACATTTTAAATTCTGTCTGTTATTTAAATAAAATTCTAGAATAAATTTAATGAAATTCGTGTTGTTGGCAATTTTCTTATTGCTTGTGATAGCTGGAGAAGATTATTATCAGTTGTTAGGATTGAAGAAAGGAGCAAGTGAAGCTGAAATCAAGAAGGCTTTTAAGAAATAGTCTTTGAAATACCATCCTGATAAAAATAAGGGAAATGAGGAGAAGGTAATTAATTATTCTTATTATTCTTTAGGCCTAGAAATAATTCTAAAAAATAGTAAATGCTTATGAAACATTAAAAGACCCAGAGAAAAGAAAGATTTATGATTAATATGGTGAAGAAGGTGTAAATAAACATGAACAATAATAATAATAAGGTGGTGGAGGAGGATTTCATAATTTTGGTGGTGGTTTTGAGGATATTTTTTCATAATTCTTTGGAAGAGGTGGTGGTGGCGGTGGTGGTCGTCAGTAATTCCATTTTAATTTTGGAGGAAATCAAGGTGGTGGTGGATTTGGTAATCAAGAATTTTAGGATGGAGGTCAAGCAAAAAAAGATAATCTATTTGATAATACAGATGTTTATGCTCTTGATATGAGTAATCTCTCTCGATTTTACAGAAGAGAAGAAGTTTGGTTAATTTATTTCTATTTACCAAATGGGGAAGGATAAAAACATAAAAAACTTATAATTGAATTAGCTGAAAAATATGCTGGTATTTTTAGAGTAGCAGCTATTGATTGTGAAGATGATGAAGCATTATGTGAAGATGAATTCTCAGTTAGAAGATATCCTTCTGTTTCTATTTATGCATCTCGTCTTTCAGCAGAACCTATTAAGTATAAAGGAAAATGGGAATTAAATGATTTAGCAAAAGAAGCTGTAGATTTGATGGAAGATTTTGTTATTGTTTTAAGTGGATTCAATTTCTAAGAATACATTGAAAAATCAAAACCTAAAGTTATATTATTTACTAATAAAAAATCTACTCCTCCTTTGTTTAAGGCTCTTTCAAAAGAATTCAAAGGCAAATTAGAATTTGCTATGATTAGATAATCTGAAATCCAATTATCATAGATTTTCAAGATAACTGAATATCCAAGTTTGGTTGTTGCTTAAAATGATTAAGATTTTAAAGTTTTTGAATCAGAATTTAAAAAAGATTAGATTGTTAAATTTTTAAGATAATTTGCATATGGATAAAAGAAGGAACCACCATAGAAATTAATTTAATAGTTGAATAGATAAAATTATGAATAATGTATATAAAAAGGTAAGGACTTATGTTTCTTATTGTTAATCAACAATGAGTTAGAATTAGAGTTAATATCTAAAATACCTAGTAAATATTAAAATGAAAACATTTAATTCTATTATGGGTCTCTAAAGTATTGTATTTTCATTATCATAGGTAATTCACTTCTAAATTTGAAAAAGATTAGACTAAATCATATGCTGTGATTATAAAACCAAAGAGATAAACATATGCTGTTTAGAATTCAATAGAAACGAATGAAATCATAACATTCATTGATGATGTACTTGGAGGAGGTAGAACTTTCAAGAAAATGCATTCTACATTTAGTAAAGAAGAGTTGTGAATTGTTTTTGTTAATTTAATTTGCTTTTATTCGTTAATTTTAACAACTATTTTAATGGATAATATAGTAAAACAAGTCGATGATGAATTTAATGAAGGGAAATAGGATTCTTTTCAGCAACCTGAAAGATTATCAGATAATTTAGCAAGAACAGTTTTCTTTGACTCTAATAATCTTCCTTAAGTGGAGTGCTACTATCATAAAGGTTATTATATATCTAACATGTGTCGAGCACCACAATGTATAATACCTTTATGTCCTCTTTGCATACATCTTCATTCTAAGGAGCATGTCAATGAAGGCACATATCCAGTATTTGAATCATTGGAAGTCTTATTGAATTAAGCAAGTGATCATGTAAATAATGAATGTAATTGTTAAATTGTATCATTTTAGTGAAGAAATTTACTAATTCTTATTATGATATCAAAAAGCATGTGAATACTTTTGAGGTTCATGCTGATAAAACAATAAAAAAGATTAGAGAGATTAAGAAACGTATATAAGATGTGGTTGAATAATTCTTCAATGGTTTAGAGAATGAAGTCTAACATAAATAGAAAAAGAATGTAAATAATTAAGAGAGAGATGCTAAACATTTATTATCTATGATAGAAGAAAGATGGAGATCAATGAAACAGATGTTAAATACATTTTAAAGTTCTGATTGTTTAACAGCTCTCATTCCTTATTTCACAACAACCTTTTAAGAAGACAATCATGTTTATTATAAGAAGATAGCAGAATATATAAATGCATTCCCAACTGTCAGTAGTGAAGTTTAAATAGATTAACATAGAGCGTAACTTAAATTATTTAATCAAAGTTCTGAGTTAAGTGTGTTTCTAGGTTCAATAATAAGAGTTCAACATACCTCAATTCCTGATTTTATAGGTATACATTAATTACCCACTACTAATGTTACTGAAAGCACTAAGATTAATTCTCTTTAGGGTAGTAGAATCAAAGAACCATTGCGTGTAACTATCTAAGAAAAGAAAACTTAATTTGAATCTTAAGATCATCGGAAATAACCTGTTTAGGATGTTAGAGCTTAAAGAAGTCCACCTCCTAATTCTTAATCTATGTATCCTTATCCAGTACATCCATCTATGCATTAATATCCTCCTCAACATTATTTACCACCCCAATATCATAGATTTTGAAAGATATTATTATAAAATAATATATTATATTTTAAGCAGATTCTTTATTTGTGATAATCCATAAGACTTATTTCAATATATATATTTAAAGATAATGAAATTTAAATTTTATTATTATTATTATTAAAATCAAGAATAATCAAATTGAATCTGTTTAAAATATCAAACAAGTACCCAAACCCTCTTTTTCACATTAAATGTTAATTAATAAATATTTTCACATTAAATTTTTAATCAAAATTGTAGATCAATAATTTACTTATAATATTAATAAATAAACAAAATGTATAAAAAATTAATATTTTTAGACTTAAAGTAAAATTATTGAATGAATCAAATTTTATATTATTTAAATAATTTTATCAATATGAAGATAAAGAAATATATTATACAGAATTTTGCTAATCATTTTAATATTAAAATACTCATTAATTACTATACTATAATTCTTTATTTGGGCATTTAAAATATATCTATTGTAAGTGCATATTATAATTATTATGCTCTTTATTTATAAATGCTAAGATTTATATATTATAGCCTTATTTTGTATTCTATTTCCACTATTTTTAATTTTATTTGGGATANATTTCACAACAACCTTTTAAGAAGACAATCATGTTTATTATAAGAAGATAGCAGAATATATAAATGCATTCCCAACTGTCAGTAGTGAAGTTTAAATAGATTAACATAGAGCGTAACTTAAATTATTTAATCAAAGTTCTGAGTTAAGTGTGTTTCTAGGTTCAATAATAAGAGTTCAACATACCTCAATTCCTGATTTTATAGGTATACATTAATTACCCACTACTAATGTTACTGAAAGCACTAAGATTAATTCTCTTTAGGGTAGTAGAATCAAAGAACCATTGCGTGTAACTATCTAAGAAAAGAAAACTTAATTTGAATCTTAAGATCATCGGAAATAACCTGTTTAGGATGTTAGAGCTTAAAGAAGTCCACCTCCTAATTCTTAATCTATGTATCCTTATCCAGTACATCCATCTATGCATTAATATCCTCCTCAACATTATTTACCACCCCAATATCATAGATTTTGAAAGATATTATTATAAAATAATATATTATATTTTAAGCAGATTCTTTATTTGTGATAATCCATAAGACTTATTTCAATATATATATTTAAAGATAATGAAATTTAAATTTTATTATTATTATTATTAAAATCAAGAATAATCAAATTGAATCTGTTTAAAATATCAAACAAGTACCCAAACCCTCTTTTTCACATTAAATGTTAATTAATAAATATTTTCACATTAAATTTTTAATCAAAATTGTAGATCAATAATTTACTTATAATATTAATAAATAAACAAAATGTATAAAAAATTAATATTTTTAGACTTAAAGTAAAATTATTGAATGAATCAAATTTTATATTATTTAAATAATTTTATCAATATGAAGATAAAGAAATATATTATACAGAATTTTGCTAATCATTTTAATATTAAAATACTCATTAATTACTATACTATAATTCTTTATTTGGGCATTTAAAATATATCTATTGTAAGTGCATATTATAATTATTATGCTCTTTATTTATAAATGCTAAGATTTATATATTATAGCCTTATTTTGTATTCTATTTCCACTATTTTTAATTTTATTTGGGATACTATTGTTTTTATTTTATCTATTTTATAATTAAATTCATATGTATTAAAAGAATGTATTTTAATTCCAACTTATAGTAGATTTCATAATTTTCTAGAATCATATATTATTGTAAATTGATTTTATAACAAAATGTTAAAATTCAATGAATGTAAATTACATTACCCAGTTTTTAGAATAGTCATTTGATAACATTTTATATATATATATATAAGATAATCATATAAAACTGAATATACTAACTGGTGGAAATTAGAGTTGATTAATCTAAGGCTTTGGAATATCTTTAATTGGCAATTTGGTATATTTAAACTCCATCTTCTTTGGTTCATATGTAATGAATTTGAACATGCAATAACTAAAAACGACTAATAGGATCATAGGCATAAATCCAGCCATGAAAATAACAGCTGGAATTGATCCAAAGAATGCATTATGACTTGCTAGTTTATTTTCTGTTATTGGATGGAATAGTCTTGTAACAACATCTCTTAATGAACAAAACCAAGTATATAATCTTGGTTCTTGTTAATCATAAACAATTAGATTATTTTCAGCCTTTTCAAGTAAACTCAATGCTCCTTATAATGTATGTCTTTCCATCTATGCATGAACACACAATCCAAAAAATAAAATTGCTAGAATAGCTTATTTCATAAATTAAGAATCATAAAATCTCATTAATTAAACACTTAAAAGACTAAATAAACTATTATTATTTCAATTAAACATCATGATGTAAAAATTGTAAATATATAAGACCTCTAACTAATATTTAAATGATATATTATTACACTTACAAGCCTCATTGTATATTATTTAATTTTCAAAGTGAAATCTTTAACAAAGATATTATATATTTTGATTGTTTTACAATCTAATCTAAAACATTAGCAAAATTAAAGACCTTATAATCACACTTATGATAAATATTAAATCTATAAAAGTTAAATATCACTATCTGCAATTTATAAAAATAAAGAAGTCTTAAAAAGTGAAATTTTCCCTTTCAAAATTACAATAGATGACTATATAAAACAACAAATCTAAACAACTAATTCAATGTAGAACTATAAAAACTCCACCCTAAATTCATTATTGTATATAATGATGAAATTTGAAAGACTTTAATTGAATACAAATCTTGAACTAATTTTTTATGATAAATGAAGTTAATGAAAATAAGAAATTAATATGGAACTTATAAATAATTGAATATTCCCAATCAAATAATGAAATTCTAATTGTTATATTAATTAATTAATTCATAAACATATATATTGCTCATTTATATTTTCTTACTTTAAGTATTTCTATCTTTCTCTATTATATTAATATAATTTATGAATTATTATTAAGAGTCAATTAAAAGATTGCTCTGATGATGTAAAAATTCATCTCATTAGATAAGATTTAAGATATATTCTTATCAATTTATCTTTTTTAACTAAATTCTTCTTACATGAAACCAGAGGTATGATAGTATAGTATTTCAATTCCACTTATTGCCAATATATAAACACTCAAAAACAATATTATTTACCATAAATTAAACATATCTTTATTAAAAAGAAATAATTAAATTATTTGAGCATATAAATCAGATATATGTTAATTAGATTTATTAAAAATAACTTTAAAAACTTAAAGTGTTCAATGAAATAACAGACTAAACCTCTTTCAAGTTGCCAAAATACTTCTTTAAAAACTCCTCAGAATTTTTTAAAGAGATTAGTATAATTAAGTGAAAAATTTTAAGTCTAAGAAATTTTAGAGGAAGGAATGCAAGTTATTCAATATCATCATCAAATAAGTTAAAACTCTCTTCAAAGTAGAAGAAGTTAGAAAAAAAATCATCTTAATTTACCTCTAAAACACTTACTGACTATCTTAGAAAATAAATCCTGTCCTTCATCACAATTATAATAACAATGACAATTTTGTGATTTATTTATTATCAATATTATTTTTTACTTTTCATTCCTTAAAATTGTAGTCTATGGTTTATAATACTTATTATCACAATATTTTTTTTAATTATAAGCTTAAATATTTCATATATATTATCAATTAATAATTGAATGAAAATCGTATTAAATTTAGAGAAACCTCCTATTTTCTATTAATCGATTTAATATAAACTATTAATAAACAGCAGAACTAATTAAAATATATATTTTAAGATATATACAACTTAATTACAGGATATTTGTTGTTAAATTAATGCAAAAAAGAAAAATGATTTCTAATTATAAGAACTAAAAAATTGTCTTTGAAATGGAAAATAACAACACATAGTTCTAACTTCTAAAATATATTTTAAATTTTATTATAATTTATATTAGTATTTACATAATGTATATAAAAAAATAAAAATTCTATTCTTAATTATTTAATTTACATAATGTATTGAAACTATATATATTATTGCTATTTTTTAATTTTTTCTGAAATGAATTTTCCCAACTATTATTTAATTGTAAAATAAATCCATTAATCATTACTTTAGATTATATGATATATTTTATTTATTATAAATATTTTTGTAGAAAAACATTTTATATATATATATTATTTAAAAGAGAATAACATTTATTATACATTATAAAAAGTAGGTTCATTCAATTACTGAATTATAATACAAATTTTTAGTTTATTTAAATTAACAATGACTAATAATAGAGTGGAGTAATTTTTGTTAAAATCCATTTTTATTATTTTTTATAATTTCTAATCCTAAGATGGAATGAGAATTATCTGAACCAAAAATATTATATGGATTATGAAAATTTAATTGAAATATGAATTTTTGATAATATATTAATTTCATAACAAAATTTGAAGTCTATTTTCTTTAGTGATTCTACTATCAACATATTTAAGGAAGTGAACTCTTACATAAAGGGCAAGTAAGATTAATCTACATCCATTAAATCAAACAAGAAGGATGAAATATATGATTCTATGCATATAATTAAGTCTTACACATGGAGTGTTCATTAATAAGTGTTTTTATATGGCCATATTTAAAGTCTAAATAAGAATAGGTTCTTATGAATTTATGATATGATCTGGAGTATCTGATAGATTAACCAGACAAATTGAACAATCTATTTTAATATGATCATCCTTAAATTTAATGAAGTAATTAAATTTATTATTTGAAAGAATGAATAATCCATATTGACATTGACAATAGTATAATAAGGATGATATTAGAAATATAATTAAGATTATTGCAAAAACAACTAAATTAAATTACATTAATAAAATGTTATTAGTGTATCCTGTAAAGTATAAGGAAAGTATTACTCTTGGGACAATGATTCCAATATAATTAAAGCTAAATTTCTATCGTTTTCCTGTAAAATATGTGAATATTAATTATGGAAATAAAAGTACATTAAGAAGGATCAATCCATATGAATATTGTATTTGAAGGAATAAAAATGTTAGAGATAATAATTCAATGAAAAATAAAAGAAATTCTTTCTTATTGTAATTTTATTTTTACTATACATTATTATAATATAATTACTGATAATTTAGTTTTTAATTTCAGGTCAAATAAAATAGTAATTGATTAACAAACTAAAGAAGGAATAAAATAGCATAATCTTGGTATATCAAATAGTAATGAACTCAATATACATATGTAAATATCTTAAGCAAGTATAATGGACATAGTAATCGATCCTCCTTAATTTGGTATAGGATCTGTATTTAAATAGTAATGTGAATTAATAATTTGAAATAATGAAATGAATATTATAAGTGCTGAGTAGATTTACACTTATAAAGAATATTGTGAATTGTTAAATATTAATAGTTTTATTGTTTCTTCAGTCAATTAACAATCTTTGTCAAAATCACTATAAATATTAAGATTTTTTGAATTTTAGTATTTTTCAATTTCTAATTAAAGAGTGGCTTAACATTAAAATGGAGTGTGATTTCTATTATTTTAAAGAGTAATTTCAATTAAGACATTTTTCCATGTCATTCGACTAAATAGTAATAATCTATAGATACTTTTGAACTGAATCAAAGTGATAGGAACTGTTACTCAATGAGTAAGTCAATCTGAAAAAATGAGGCTCTCTTTAATTATTATTCTGATTGGGATAAACTTGCAATAATAAATTTTAGTTATCAAAAACTATATTTAAATAAACGAGGTGTTCTGAGCTTGCTGTCCAATAACCAATTATTAACTAATCCTCATTTTCAATCAAATATTGATATGCTGACTTCGTATTATAATAAGTAATAGTATTATTGTTAGGTACTTCACAGATTGCGTAACCAAATATCAATAAATATAAAATTATTCTCATTATTAAATATATTTAATTAATAATACTTGTTTATAAATAATATGGATATTTGTATATCAATTATCAGATACCAAGAGTTAACTCTTCTTTTAATATGATATACAATTTTATAATATAGAAGATAAATTCTATGAATTGAAAACATAAACATCATTTAAATATATCAATTAATTTTCCAATTCCTATTGCAATTCCAATGATTAGAATAAATGAATATAAAGATATTCTTAAATTCTTAGGCATACGTTTTAAAAGTTCTTAATGATCATTACATTTTAAATCTTCCTAAAATATTATTAAATAAAAAAATAAACTTCATCATTAAGTGAAAATTTAGTAAAATCAACTTAATCCACTAAATATTATGTTGACTCCATACTAACTTAAACTTAATTATAATTTGGCTAATTTTAAGTCTAGAAACCTTTTTTAGCATACAAGCAATTCAAATGCAAAGCAATTGGTATGATGTATTCTTGGAATAATCCAATAACTGCTCTGTATAAATAATAAATTATATATTATTACCCACATAAACTAATAATTAAGGATAAATCAACTTCAACACATTGAACTATTAAACAGGTTATTGCATAAGTTAATGAGAAAGCATAGAATTACCACTTTGGTTGTCTTTCTAATTCATAAATAAGACCAAAGAATTAAGATCTTGTTATAAATTATAAAACTGGAAAGACAAGAGTCAATTATAAAAAGAGTAATACCTATATAACTATTACTAAAGGATTATCAGATGGATAATAATCTAATAATGTTGATCCACTTTTTCCATCTTGTTTTTAATTATTAGCTAAAGCTCCAGCAACTGCAAATGCTCCAAAGGTACCAGCCATACAATATACAAACCATGTCCATGTAAATCCAATAGCAATATCTCGATTGTTATTTTATTAAATCATATTATTCTTCATTATTGGTACAACCATTGATTATATCAATAATGCAAGTGCAAATGTACCAGCCATAGTGGATACATCCCAACTAAACCATTTCAAATTATCAACTACTCCTTAATGATCAGTTATAAGCATATATATTCCTTCATAAATAGTGAATAGGATGAAAGAAAACACAGAAATAATTCCATAAGGAAGAAGTTATAAAATTATTCCCAGTTTCTTTTAGAAAAACATAGGCAAAATAAATAAAGTATATCCAATTCCAACCCATTAGTATGAAAGTTTGGATAGTGTAATTTCAGTTAGTTATGCACTTTTTATACCAATATTATCACATATTATTTAAATTAAGGGGTAAAGTTGATTGCATATTAATATCATATAGATAATTCCACTTGCCCATAAAAGGATTACGTTACTAATATTAAAAATTGTCTTCCATTTGGCTCCAAGAACTCTTTGCAAAGTATCTGGTAAATCCATCTATTAATTCATTAAATTGAGTATACCTCATCTGATTTATTATGTACAATTAATAATTGAGTTGTTCTACATGAAATCAATCCAATTATTATGGCTATCATAATCCCCAAACCTATTCCAGATTAACAAAATAAAACTGGAAAAACCAAAGTACTTGTACCAACCATTGAATTTGATACAGAAATAATAGTTTATAATGAAGTAGCCTTGCCTGTTTGAGCAATTGAACTCTTTTTTATAGATTTGATTAATGATTTCTTTTCCTTTTTAGATACAGATTGCTTAAGCACTTTTTGAATTTATTAGCTGACTTCAGCTTCTTATGCTAATTATGCCATAAAATTTATTAAACATTGAATTACACTATCAGAAATTAAAGAAATATGATGTTATTGTCAATCAATAGTCTTAAAATAGTTTAATTGTGAATCTGTAAGATCATTTAGTATATACTAGAAAAATTGTTTATGAGTTCCAGGAATTAATTAATAATTGATATGAATTAATTAAACAACTCAAATTATTTAATATTTCTAAGTTTTGTTGGGATCTAGGCTCATTAAAGGAATAAATCCCAGGCAACTTAGTTATATATAAATGAATATAGTATTATTAATTGGCAAATAAATCAAAAAAATAAAAATATGGGAATAATTTATTTAATTAATAAATTTTATGGGAAGTACTTTTACATGCCAAGGTTAGAAGAAGGAAAAAAAGAAAAATGCTGAATATCTCTTTGTAATTAGTAAATTTATTAATATATGTAAAAATTAATCATTCTATTATAAAGTTGATAATTAAGAATTACACATATTACTTATGATTTACAGAGACTTGTCAGACCGTTCTTAAAATCACTTAATTTGTAGAGACACCTTCAATACTTATTTTAAAATTATAGTTTGTAGAATAGTGATGATTAATTTAGGGAATATGGGGTGAATAAATATTTAATAAATTTACTCATAAATAAGAAGATTACATGAGTTTTGAAGAATTTCTTACAGGATTGTAAATGTATATAAAATGTTCAGAAGATCAAAAAATAAAAAATTTATTCAAATTGTATGATTTAAAAAATTAAAATGGTATTGCAAAAACTGATTTTTTACAAATGGTAAACTAATTTTTATAAATTTTAGTTGCATAATTATTCTAAAGAAGAAATTAAAGTTATTTTAAATGATCAATTATTTTTAGAAGAATAATAAATCATAAGTGCTTATCATAGAACAAAAAAACTTAAACCTAGAAAAGGGAGTGAGGATTTACTTAAAATGTCATGTAATTATAAATTTATAAATTATAGTATAAATGTTCAGAAAATATAGTAATATTTCAGAAAATAGAGAGTTTAATCAAAATGACCATTAAAATCATTTATAAGTAGATGGTTTATAAAGTGTACATTCAAGATAATCTATTGACTAAATTTTTACATTAGACAGTAAAGCATAAATAAATGGTATACCAATGAAAGGATTTGGGATTAATCTATAATTTTAAGTATATATATTAATTATTTAAATCTATAGGTGAATGGGCAGAAGATTGAAATGTAAGCCAATTTAAATTTATTAATAAAAAAATATGTAGAAATGGTATATAAGGCAAAGAATGACTTACCAATTAATTTGGAAGATTTTACAAGTTTTGTCAAACAACATCCAAATTTAATAACACCTTTATATTGTGTATTCAATTTTGATGTTTGGGGTGTATAGAATAATATACCCAAATATAAGAGTTTGTAAAAAATTAAATTAAATATATAGACCTTTAGATATTCAAGGAGAATTATATAGAATTTCAAAGAAGAATAAAATAAAAACAAAGTTTTGTTAATTATATCCAAATATTTTTATGGAATTTTAAAAGAAAAATGATATTAAACCTACAAGTATATAGGAATTATTAATTAGAAATTGTGTGTTTAAGTGGATTGATAATTGAAGAAAGAGTTGATCATATTAATTAAAAGTTTGGATTTGAAATTTTCCATAAGAATTCACATTATAAACATAAAATTTATAATTGTTCAGATGAAATCTCATATAGAGAATGGTAAAGAGCATTATCTCTATATTTTAATGGAGAAGTCAATAAAAAATATTCCATTTTTGATAAAATTGGGGAAGGTAAATACTCAATAGTTTACAGATGTTAATCTAAAATAGATAAATAATTTTATGCATTAAAAATAATTAATAAAATAAATCTTCCACAAGAAGAATAGGATATTGTAAAACATGAAATAAGTATTACAAAATTATTAAATCATTCTTGTATAATAAAATTGATTGATTCTATTGAGAATAGAGATTAAATTCATATTATTACAGAATTGATAGAAGATGGAGATCTATTTGATTATGTTTAAAATAAATAATACTTAGATGAAGGTGAAGCAGCACTAATATTTAATTAATTGCTTGATGCTCTGTCATATATTCATTCGATTGGAATAGTACACAGAGACATAAAACCTGAGAATATTTTGATGATATTAGATAAAAATACTGTTAAACAAATTAAATTGATTGATTTTGGTTTAGCTAATCATCTCTCTAAAATACAAAAAAATAATGAACATTAAAATTATCATTGTGGAACTTGTAATTATTAAGCACCAGAAATGTTATAATTTTAAGAAATTACATTTTCTGTTGATGTATTTGCACTTGGAGTCATATTATATTATATGTTAAGTGGATATTTGCCATTTGATTCTGACATACCATAAGAAATCATATAGAATACTATTGATGGTATATATAGTATGGAAGATTATAATTGGTAATGTGTAAGCGAAGAGGCAAAAGATCTGATAGTAGGATTATTACAAAATTAGCCTAGTAAGAGACTTACTTTAAAAGAGGCTTAAGAACATATCTGGATTAAAAACCATATGGCTAAAAATAATAAATGATGAATATATATCATATCAAATAGCTGCCAATAATTTCTATTTTTCAGCTTCTTTTTTTTCCATCTCTATCAACTTATCTTAAATCATTTTATTCTCAACAACCTTCTTTAATCTTCCTCCATAATAAGTGGCTAAGGTTTGAATAAAATAAAAGCCAAAAAAACTCACAGCACTTATTATACTAAATTACTTTGAATTAGTCTTAGCTATTTATAGAACTATTATAATTACCTACTTCAACAAGACCATACCAAATAGGGATGCATACTCCACAAGTTAAAAGTGTGAATAGTAATACATAAATGTAATCTTTGAACTCAAAGGGATAATATCCTGGAAGAGATCCATGAAATTTTGGTTTATAACTTCCAAATTTTCTAATTTTTATTTAAATCATTCATTTACCTTTTATATCCTTCATCTAACATAGGATCATCAATTAAAGGATGATCAACAATATGATATCTATTGCTTAGTTCCATTTTTAGAACAATAAATATGAATAATTTAATTGAATCATTAAAGGATTATAATTTATCATAAAAATTGCAAATCTTTAATAATTAATAAATTCTGATGCCGTTAAAATATGAAGAAGAAATTACAAATATATAATAATAATAACTCTATAAAATTAAAATTTATAAATATATTACATAAATAACACATTTATAGTTATATATTTTATTTTGAATCAGTTTTAAATAATATTCAACAATTTGAAACAATCAAGATAAAATATGTTAATAACTAATTAATTATTATATAATTATAATTTAAAATACATGGTAGTTTAATATAATTCTATTAAATTTTTTGAATATGCAAGAATTTCAAATTGTTAACTGATTTAGAATAAAATCCAAATACAAAATTTGAATTGTCAAAAATTGGATATACTTATGTAATTGAAAGATGAGTTGGAATCTAAGGAATTAAAATATTAAGTATTAATTGTTAAAGGTAGTTTTGAAGAATTCCTTTAATTGTTATTTATACTTGAAAATAATTTAGAATAAAATTAATATTATTTATGTCTGAATCAGAAAGTAAGTCAATTAAAAAAGCGCAAAAATTATAAAGTAAATTATCAAGAAGCCAGATGTTGGAAGAGAAATTCAAATTAGAAGAATAATTGAAAGATATAAAAGAATAGTATGGAAATTTACCGGAAAAAAAAGCAGAACCGAAAACTAATACTTAATATAGATGGAATTATGTCCTAAATGAGATGGTAATATTTTGAGTAATAGTAGAGTGAAATGTAATAATATATGTCTAAGAGACTTGAATGTTTTAAATTTAAGACTAAAAAATTAGCAGAATAAGCAATTAATAAAAGGTTAAAATATTACGAGGCAATTAAGGAAAAAGAGAGGGTAAAAGTGAAAATAATATAAAGAATGAAGAAAAGAACCAATTTAGACAATTACAAAAAGTAGCCAAAACAGTATAGAGAGAATTTTGGAAATACGTGTGGTAAATAAGAAAGTAAGTGCAATAATTTAAGGATGATAAAATAAAATAAGAAAGTCAAAAATAGAAATTAGGAGATATAGTTATTAGATTAAAAGAAGTTACAGAAGAAATTGGATAGAAATTATCCTAATATTAAAATGAATAATAAGAAGATGAAATCAATTTAATACCAATAGATAAATTCAAAACACTTTATTTTGAATTAAAAAGAAGATAAAATGCATGGCCTGGATTTAAAAAATAAATATAATCAGTTTAATCAAGTATTTTTTAAGTAATTTTAAATCAGATTTTGTAATTGACCTTATAAAAGTAGGATAAGACAGATATGAAATAGCTAAAGTTTAATCTAAAGATGAAGAAGTAGATGAAAGTGTATTAGATGCAGATAAATGTTTAAAAGTACTTAAAAAATCTAAATAATTTCCATTTTTATTTGAAGCAGAAGATAGTAAAAGAATTTTATAAATATAGGTTTATTGGAATAACAACCATTTTTATTAAATGGATAATTAAGAATATATTAATTAGTAGGTGTTCATTGGATGGCTAGTTTACATTAATAATAAATGAATGGAATTTTAGCAGATGAAATGGGTTTAGGAAAAACAATATAAACTATTGCATTATTAGCTTATTTAGCAGCAAATAAATAAATTTGGGGTCCTCATTTAGTAATTGTTCCTACAAGTATTTTGATGAATTGGGAAATTGAATTTAAAAGATGGTGTCCTGCTTTTAAAATTATGACTTATTTTGGTTCACCAAAAGAGAGAAAATTAAAAAGATAAGGATGGAGTTAATTAAATAGTTTTCATGTTTGTATAACAAGTTATAAGATTGTTATATAAGATAGTAAAGTATTTAAAAGAAAGAAGTGGTATTATATGATATTAGATGAGGCTTAACATATTAAAAATTTTAAATCTTAAAGATGGTAAGTCTTATTGAATTTTAATACAAGAAGTCGATTACTTTTAACAGGAACACCTTTATAAAATGATTTAGGTGAAATATGGAGTTTACTTCATTTTTTAATGCCTTCTATCTTTGATAGTCATTAAGATTTTTTATAGTGGTTTATGAGTATAGAAAAAGCTATTTCAGAAAACAAAACTATTTCAGAAGAAGTCTTAAGATAATTACATGATATATTAAGACCTTTTGTATTGAGAAGATTAAAAAAGGATGTAGAGAAGTAATTACCAGAGAAAAGAGAGATTATTGTTAAATGTGATTTATCAAGAAGATAAAAATATTTATATGATGAATTCATATAATCTTCTGGTAACTTTGAAATTTAAGGAACAGATTTTGTTACTATGATGAATAAAGTATAATAATTAAGAAAGGTATGTAATCATCCTGAATTATTTGAATAAAGACCAGTAGAATAACCATTCTATTTTCCTGCTCTTAAATTTACATATCCAAAAAGAATTCAAGTAAATTTAAAATAATCTCCAATAAAATTAAATATTTCATTTATCAAACAAAGATTTCCTTCTTAAGAAGTTTTATAATATTATTCAAATATAGTTGAATAAAGAATTATGAATAAGAAATCATCTAAATTTGGTAAAAGATGGATTGAATTAGAAAATCAATAAGTTTAATCTAGATTTAAATCAAATATGTAAAATAGTTATTTAAAAATAATATTTTATCATGCTTTATTAACATACAATCCTGAAATACTTACTTTTTGTAAGGACAAGATTAAGAGTTTCTTGATGCCAACTGTTGATTACTTATTAGATTAAATGCAAGACACTCTTAATGAATTTAGTTGTGTTATCAGAAAAGTTGATGCATTACCATAATAACTCTATTATAGTCCTTATTAAACATAATAATAAGATATTATACCAAAAGGAATAGATTCTTTATTCTCTATGATCTAAAAATAAAGAATGTTATTTCCTAATAAAAAATTATTAATTTATGATTGTGGTAAAATGAATACTTTAGTATCTTTAATTTATAAATTAAAATAACAAAATCATAAAATTATTATTTTTACATAGATGACTAAAATGTTAGATTTATTTGAAGCAGTACTATCTTTAAGTAAAATATCTTATTTAAGATTGGATGGATCTACACCAGTTGAAATGAGATAAAAAATAGTTGAAAGTTTTAATCAATTAAATATTACATGTTTTATCTCATCAACAAGAAGTGGAGGAATTGGATTAAATTTAACTGGAGCAGATACTGTTATTTTTTATGATACTGATTGGAATCCAGCTATGGATAAATAAGCTTAAGATAGATGTCATAGAATTGGTTAAGTTAGACCTGTTACTATATATAGATTAATTACTAATTCTACTATTGAAGAGAATATTTTCTTGAAATCTTTATAGAAAAGATAGTTAGATGATTTTGTGATGTAATCTGGTATGTTTAGTCCAGAATAAATATTAAAATCATTTCAACTTTTTGATGATGAAAAAATGGATTAAGCAATCAAATAAGTTGAAGATATTGATGATAGATAGGCTGCTTAAAAGGCTTTGATTGAAGAATAAAATTATTAAATGAATGGAGCTGAAGAAATTGAAGAAATTGAAAAAGGAGATAATATGGATTGGTTAATACCTAATTAATTACCACCTATAGTAAAATATGGATTAAAAATGAGTGATTGTATTGTTAATGATAATGCTGAAATATAGAAATTATAAGATGAAATGGATGAAGGAGAAGAAGAAGATGATGATGATAATGATGATGATGAAGTAAATGAAGAAAAAGTAGATGAAGAAGTACTAGATGAAGAAATACTAGATGAAGAATAGGAATAGTCAAAAAATGAAGAAGATGAATAATAATTGAATGAAAAAAAAAAAAAAAGTAATAGTAAAAGTATTGATTATTCTGACTCAGAAAATCATGTTTTTTGTGTTGAAAATAAAAAATGAAATATTGATTTTAATTTTTAAATTAAACTAAATTATTGAAAAATCAAAAAAATTTGTTATTCTTATATTTATACTTTCATTTTTATAATTATTATTTTAAAATAATCTATGAGATCTGCTCTAATATCTCTTTTACTTTTATTCTAACTTCTTCAGATTTATGAGTTATAATTTAAACCATTTATGGCATTAAATAAAATAGATGCCCAAATACACTTTATAAAAGTGATGATTCAGGATAAGCTATAAAATCACCACTTAATTATTAAAATAATAGAAATGAATTATCAGGAATAGAAATTTATTAAAGATTGTTTAGTAAATCTAAAATAATTTTTTAATTATTTGTTTCATCTATTATTCCTCTCTCTAATATTTTTTGACTTGCATCTAATAAATATGGTATAACAAATTAATTTTAAGATAATAAACATAATTTATTAATTGCTATCTAAGAATTAGCTGACATTTCATGTAATTTTTGTATAAATTATTAAAATTCAGATGTTTCTGATAATTGAGGATTACCTCTATATATTTCTGTTATTAATTCAATATAATAGAGTTCTAAGGATTAATTTTCATTTTATAAAATTTTGTTTTAACCTAATTATTTATCTAAAATGAGTTTATCTGGTAAAACTTATTGTAATGCTGATAGTATTTTGAGTGAATCTTCCTTATTTGTTTGAAGATAGATTTTTGCTCTTTATAAATAATTTTCTGCCATCATCATATAAATTGATTTATCTTCATTAAGTAATTCTGAATAATAAATATATTGATCATTATTTCTCATTGTTATTAGGATATATTCATATAACTCTTAAAATTAAAAAAAAAGTTAAATGTTGTTATCCATCATCATATTAAACTAAGTGAAATGCCTTTTTAATAACATATGTTTATATTTATCATTTGGAGGTTCTTTAATTAATTCTTTAATATTGTAAATAATTCTTTAAATTAATTTAGGACTTTATTTTGGTAAAGTTTAAGACAATGTTATTAAAATTTGTTTAGGTGCTAAATTATCCTCAAAAAATATTTTATTTTGAATTAAATCAATTTTCATATGTGCAATCAATGGAAATTCCAATATTTTATAATAGGTATCAATTACTTATTCAATTAATATATCTTTGCTTAATTTAAAAATGTCATTTAATAATTCTAAAACATCTGGTGTTATATGTAAAATAACTGTTTTTAAATATTTGATATCTGAAGAAGGGAAATTAAACATTTCTGATATTTGATTTAAAATCTCTTCAAAATTTTAAAGACAAATTATTGGTTGATATAAAAATAATTCTCTTAATTATTTTGTTGCTTCCATACTTAATAATGGTTTATTTTATTAAAACACAATAATGAAATCAGGAATAGATTAACGAATTAAGGCTTCAATATCTTAATCTCTAAATATCATATATTAATTTACTTATTAGGTGATGATTCTTCTATAACAACAAAGTATTTTTTTACTAATTTAACAAATGCTTAATAGACACTTTTTACTGTTTCCTCCCATTATGAGACATCAAGTTCTTTAGCTTAATTTTTATCCTAGAATACTTAAATGATTTTATGCATTAATTCTAAAAATATCTCTTCCAAAATCTTTTTCCATTCAAGATATTAATTTTATGAATTAAGATGTATTAGTAAATTACTATAAATATGAATAGCTGAATGTCTAATTTCAGGTATTGGATCAAGTGCAATAATAGACAATTTTTAAAATATCTCTTTTAAATTCATTTCTAATTATTCATTTGTAATTAAATTTCCTTATTCTTAATTTGAATTATTTTTAGTAATGTAATCTCCAAGATGCCATAACATATTACATATTTAAAAATTGATATTCTATTCATCTAAAATATAATAATAATAAAATAATACTTGAATTTGATTTAAAATTATCAATAATATCAAATAATTAAAATATTTATTTACCATCCAAATTAGATAAAAATTAATTAATAATCTATTCAGTACATCCTAATCCTTATTTAACAAATATAGTTGTTTATTCTGAACTAATATTTAATAATAAAGTTAATATGGAATCCCAACCTTTATTTGATATTTCATGACCATTATTTTAAATCATTTTTAAAATATTAGTAAGTATTATTTCTTTAATATCATTTAATCTTAATGTACACATATCTAACCATGGTTAAAATAGTGTCTATTAATATAAGGATTCTTTATTAGACCATTTATCTTTAATAAATTATTGATTTTGTTATTGTTAATTCTTTTTATAAAATTTAGTTAAATATTCAAATCCATAAAAGATAATTTAAGATAAAGTATCAGCTGCATTTAAAACTAAGTTAGTATTACGTGATGATATTACTGATATAAAATGAGCTATTATCAATTCCCAAAAAACATCTAATCTAAATACATTAAATTTTATTAATTCAACCAATTTAGAAAGTGAAAAATACTTCTTCTATTCTCCAAATTATATATTTGTTTTTTTCTATTCAATTATTTATTATTATTCTAAACATTCAATTGTAATCTAATTAATAGCATCCATAACAGTTATTAAATGTTCATTACCATAAGTAGGACTTTAAGAAAACAATTAATCTAAACTTTAAAATAATATTGTAATATCAAAAGTTTTAATTTATTCCTCTTAACTTGAATTCTTTGCTAATCTATTTCTTAAATAATGATTTTCACATTCTTCAAATGTTTTAAAGATACAAATCCAACTACTACATTCCAATAAATCTAATATTTTTATTAATAATCATACTTCCTAAACAGTTTGCTATATTTAATACCATTTTATTTATTTGTATATGTTTCTTTGCAAATTCATAACCCTATATAGGTTTACAAAATTCACAAATTGTTTTTATAAATGCACTCTATGCAGATTTCATTTATATAGATCCTACTATATTAATGTATTATTAAAAAGCAACTAATAGATTTTATAATGTTTATTCATCAAGTTCTTTCAATAAAAGATATTTGATTGCCCTCAAATTATGTTTCCAAGTTAATTCTATAAGTTAATTAAATTTGTCATTTTATTATAATTTTATTAGATTACCTAATTATATTTTTTATTAATCTGCATAAACACATAATGAATTTACAAATCTTGATTAAAATTCACTTAACATTCTACAAACTAAACCATTATCACTAGGATATACTTCACTATTATCTACTAAATTAATTGTAGGATGAGCTAATTCGACTAATCTTTTCTATTCAGCTTCACTTGGCTCCTAAACTTCCTTAGCCAAATTTGATAAAGTTGTTATTATCTCTAATATGATATTCTATATTATAATTATTCATATACTTTTTCATTGCTTAGTAATTATACTAATTTATTCAAAAATACTTAATTCTAAACAAAATATATTAATGTTTAAAATGCTAAGTTTTTATTAATAGAATGTTCATTTTATTTTATTTGATTTATCAATATATTCCAAACAACTTCTGATTGTTCATTCTCCACTAATATTTTTAAACATTTAAAAGTTTCAATGATCAAAGAACTTTTAATTAAAGGAGTAGTAATGATTTTCTTTAGAATTAAAATGAGATTATCGGTTAATAATTCTGATATTGTTTTATATTAGAGAAAGAATTTCCCCATGCTACTAAGAAAATTATTGATGCTTATCAATCCAAATTCTCTATCCAAAGGAACCAAAAGAGGATACCAATGTGGTTTTACATTATCAATTAATTTGATTAAATCTGATAACATTGAATGCAAATTCTAAAATTCCTTTGAATGATCAATTGGTTAAATCATTTATTACTAATTCTATTCTTATTGATTATCCAAATCTAAGACAACATTCATTTCATCGAAACCCTATCCTGCTATTATTAATTAGGTTGATTCTGAAAGCAACTCGATTAGTCTTTATAAGGAAGTGGCTGCTGGACCATGAATGATAGGAATTTTTGAATTTTTCATATACAATACCAAGGTTAAGCACTAATAATGAAATGATAATTCTACTTTTTCAACAAAACTAAAATTGCCAAAATTTATGAAATCAGAATGGACAAAAGTATTAAAACTTTAGATAAGTTTGTAATAGAGTTCTTCTTTCTAAATGTCTTTGATTTTTAAAAAATAATCAAGGACATCCTCAATCATTTAAATCTATTAATTAGGACTGTGCCATTTACATCATTTATAACTTTCAAATTGATTAGTTTGAGAAGGAAGGATATAAAGGAAATATGAAACTTGGCTGATCTTAATTGTCCTTGAGCTGGAATTAAACACTTTTATATTTCTGCTCTGGGAATTTCTTACACATTATTTTTTTTGTTTTCTTCCAATACTCTCTAAAAGTTATTTAGAGCATCTTTCATAGGAATGTACTTTTTTTTTGAAGAAAGGGATTGCCTAATGAAAGCGATTTCTCGCAAGGCCAATTAAACTCTAGATTCTTGCATTTCAAATAAGTAATTGAAATAATTTATTCAATTCTTTTTATATACTCTTGCCTAGGTCACTCTTGGTAAGTTCATTGAGATAAGATTGAATATGAATTTCTTAATCCTGTTGTAAACCTCTCTGGATACTATATAAAATAGTTGTAATATGAATATAATTTTGTTTCCATTTCTTAAAGATATCCATAATCATTTTACATGCACTAAATTGGAGATCTCTAAACTACTTATTTTTTTTATCTTTGAGTTATTTTGAGATTTCAATATGTTTATCAATATGTTCAACAATTGTATCATCATTTCCTTGACATAATTGTAGGAGCACTTTTGATAATAGTCCAATTTGTTATGCACAATGTTTTGTTGTTTATTTTTTATTATTACTATTAACTAAATGATGTAATAACTCACAAATTTATTTAGTATTATGTTCTAATTTACAAGTACTACTTAAAAATCCTTCATTAATAATTTAAAAATTATTAAATGGAATTTCTAAATCTTGAATTAAAGAACTAAATGAATTAAATAAAGTATCCATTTCATTATTGTTATTATATATAGTAAATAAAAGATCTTTAATTCTTTTACGTAATCCTGTATTACTTAATTAAGTAATAGATTCAATTATTTTCAATGAGAATCCTTAATTCAATACTTGATCTAATAAATTACATAATTCTTCACCATCACCATATGTAGATTTACTTAATTAACTAAGCATGCTCTTATTTTTACTTTTATTATGTCTTGTTGATTGCGAATTATAATTACTACATACTGAATTAAAACATTTTATTAATTTATCATCTAATCCAACAGAGAATCGACTATGAACTTCACTTGTTCGAGTTGTGAAATTTGATTAGCATTTCTTCAAAGTTTCATTTTCTTCTTAAACATTTTCTAAATCTTATAAAGATTTAGCAAATAATGATGTTAATTAAGCAATTTATTCATTCATTGAATTAATTTGATTTGATTATAGTGTAATCTTATCATTCATTTATTAACTTAAACTTAATAATTCTTTTCTTTAATCATCTATAATTTTATATTCTTCCTATAATTTATTATATTATTCATTCAATTTATCATACTCTTCATTATTATTAGCTTTATTTTTAAGTAAAACTACTTCAGTTTCTTATTATTATAATTGATATAATAAGTCTCTTTTATTACTAAAATCTATAAGAGTTTCAATTAGTTATTCATAGTCATATTCTTAAATTTCATTTTCTTGATTTAATGACTAAGCAACTGCAATTAACTCAGAAATTGGTCTTTTATAGTTTTCTTATATTATCAATTTTAAAGCAACTTTATATTTATTTAATTGATCTTCTAATTTATTGATTATTTCAGTCTACAATGCAAAATATTCTTCATATTTATTACATTAATCTAAAAGATAATAATCTAAAGCTTCTTAGAGAGTCTTAACTTTCTCAAAACTTTATTTCTATAGTTTCTTCCATAATTTCATAATTGAGTCTTCCCTCTTACATTCCTCCTCTAATATTTTCTGATAATAATCTACAGATGTTATTGGCAATATGTTTTATTAATTTATTTACTTATTTGATGTTTGGAGTGGAGATGAATAAAGACTTCTTCTTTCTTTTTTTCTTTAAATTACAAATTAATTTAGTTAAGCAATTTCATCAATCTGTTTTGATATAATATGTTTCTGTTATGCAATTTGTTTAGTCAATTCTGCATTTCTAAGTTAGACATTGTATATACTTTAAAAATTCAGAGTCTAAACTATTTTAAGTTTGAATTTGCATATTGTTTACTACATTTAATAACTTCTCTTTCTCTTCCATATTGTTATTAAGAAGATGTTCAATATCTGTAATTACAGAGAGCAATTCATTCTATTGTTGTTCATTAAGAGTATTCAGGAATTTAGTTAATCCACAATGTCTTTCTAAATTTACTTTATAGTTATTAAACATTTTAAAAAATAATCGTTTAATAATTAAAAATACTAATTATCATAATTATAAATAGAAATAAACTTAACCACATCAATTTGGTTTAATTTTCTTTACTGATTTCCAAAAATATTAAATATTATATCTGAAGTAAGGATCCACATTAGTTTTACCCTCTTTAGTTATTCCATAATTCCATTGACAACTTCCAAAGAACTCTTTACAAAATATACTTCCAATATCACTTTTAATAAAGATATCAAGTTTTGATTTAGTTATTTATTCAGGTTTCAATTTGAGAAATGATTTTAAATCTGAATCATTTTATGCATTTTTAAGTTCAGGATCATCTGTATTTTCTACTGAACTAAGGATAAATTCTTTTAGTCGTCTAGCAAAACATTTTGGAAGATTTTTGGTTTCTCCAGGTATTTTTGTATAAACTTTAGTCTATATAACATTTTTCAAATCTTCTTAGATTGAAGATTATGGATATTGGTAACTATCTTTTCCAAAAATTGAATTACAACCATTATCTTCTTGAGAAGATTCAGATTGATCATTATAACTTTGAATATACTGATTAACATTTACACACTAATCATAGTTTAACTATTGCTCTAATCCTTGAAAATATAATACACAAATTAATACCATTTTCATCAAGATGCTTAATTTACTAAAAACTATCTGAAAAATAAAATGATTGCTCTCCTGATTCTAGAGAGAAGATAAATTATAATATTACAAAATTTATTGTCTTTTTCTTAACATAGATGAGTGGGTATTTCATGATTATCTTCATAACATATTGCATTTTCATTATTACTTCGTTCTTAGTCTTCTATTGAGTTTTACATAAATTTAATAATAAATTGATTAAAATCAAATAACAAGTTATCAATCAAGAAGTTAAGCCCAATAAAATATTTTTCCAAATTCTATTAAATATTACTTTAAATGAATCAAAAATCTCATTTAAAGGTAAGTAGAATTCTTTTCATTCTTCTTTATATATTTCCAGATAGAATTATGAACCAGAATTTACATATAAAAAATTACAATAAATTCAATATTAATATTAAATATCAAACAGGGTCTTCATGAACCTTGTTAAAAATATTTATTGACAAATTTTTTCTTATCTATTATTGTTTTTAAACAGGCTTATCCCCTTAGCATTAATGCTGCTTCTAATATTTGACTTTAGGTTGTCCTAATAAATAAGTTGTTTATCTCAGTATCAATACTTCTCATTAAATGAATTTCTGTATACAATTTCTAATAGGCTGATTCTTCAATCCTGACTTTTCAAGCTCAATTTCGTTAATATTCCTCAACTCATAAACGATGTTTTGTTCATCATATGATTTAAATTGAAAAAAAAATTTAACTTACGTGTACTCTCTTCTCTAGTTCTATAATTAGTTTGATCAAGAAAAATAACAATCATACATAACATTAAGAAACGGGAAAGTAAAACTCTTTAGTAATAAAACCTTTGCTTAACTATTAACTTTGAATTTATCATCTCATTTTATTAGAGAAAAATTCAATCCTTTTAGATACTTTTGAAACAGAATTCAAGAGAATTTTACAATCATCAAAAAAGATAAGGGAAACTTGTTTACTTATATAAAGAATAGTTAAATTTACTAAATCATGAAACAGATTTGCAAAATACATTTGTAATTAATTTTCTCTTTATGAATTCCGTTTAATATTAAAAATCTTAACAATTATTCTCATTTTATTAATGGAATCATCACATTATGTTATTTTTATCATTTTTATAATGATATATCTATGTCTCACTACATAGATTCATCTTATAAAGTGATTATTTAATCAACATCATAATTTGATTTGAAACTTTGGAAATAATTAAACGCTGAAATTTCTCTGAAATCTTCAAAAATTTATGAAAATCAAATCTACTTATATTGCCTAATAAGTTTAGTCCTATTAAAGTATGTTTTGCATATATATTAAAGTGTTTAATTTAGTTGCATTAGTGAATTCATCATTTATATTTTCTTTTATTTATTTTGACTGTCTAAACTACTATAATTTCACTTGATTCTCTATTTATATTATATTTTTTTTTCTTGTTTCTCTTTGTCAACTTCCACTCAATTATTCCCAATTAATAATCTAACTTAATTTTAACATATAAACAACATATATTAAATATGTGTGTCTACTTGTGTTCTATTGTAATCTAATATTATATTAGAGATATGATTTAGGATTTGTGAATCTATTGCATAATTTAAACATGTTAAACTTATATTTTAATATTTCAATATTTTTAATATGGGTATCCTGCATTATTCTAAATGTTAGCCTGAGCTCTCCATTGGTTTAAGTGTAAAAGGATTCCATCTTAGAACTCTTTGAAAGTGATTTCATGGCTTCTGTCAACATCAAAAACCCAAAATGCTTGACTAATATCTTAATCTGTTAATTGACTATCGATTTTTCTATGATAATAGATTATTTTAATAAGAATACCTAAGCATCACTCCAAATTCTTTCACATCCAAAGTTTATGAGTCAGATTTATCATATTTTCTGAATAATTCGAAAATGTTGATATTATATTTTTCAATAGCTATAACCAATTTTTAAATAGTCACCATAGCTCTTTCTTAAGCTAAACTTTAAGGTGGTGGAGGTTAATGAATTGCCACATAAGGTGGAGGTTGTTAATAACCTTGATTATACTGTTATGAATTATTCATAGGTGGATATGATGGTGGAGGTTAAATTGGATAATTTTATTAATGTTAAGAGCCAGACATAGGTTATTAAACTGGTGGATATTGATATTAATATTATTATGAATAATATTATTATTATTATTGTGGATATTATTAAAATTATTATGGTTATTAAATTGGTTATTATAATTATTAAGATGGTTATAATGATTGTTAATTTGAATATTATTTCTAATATTACTATTAATTTATTATTTATTATTATTAATGTTATGAAGGAGTTAGATTTGTTGTATTTGTTGACATTTATGTACTATCAAATTCTGGTACAGGTTAATCTGAATTATTAGGATTAACTTTTGGCATTTCTACAGTTCCTTTTCTTGAAAAATTTGATTTAGGCTAGTTTCTCATTGACATTTAGACTTAATTCTCTTCTAACCATTTTTTGAATTCATTCAATTCAATAGAATTACTTCCATCTAGATCTATTTTATTAAACATGAATTCTATCTCCTCTCTCTCCAATTTAGGGTCTATTTCATGTAATAACAAAGTTAATCTAATAAAATTATTCATAATACTCTTTCATATCAAGTGATCTATCTCCTGATTTGTCATATTTGTTAAACACTTTTTCTAAATCAATCTTATCTTTCATAACTTTAAATCTCAAATCTTAAACCAGAAATACTGCCTTATCCTCTAATTATTTAGTTTAATTTGTATAAAATGAAAAACTCTATCCAAAACAAGGATGTCTATATAATAGATCCCAACCCATTCTGTCTTTTTCTTACAATTACAAACAGCCTTTAAGCATATCAATAATCTAAGGGTCAATATTTTTATCCTATGGAAATTTTAATGGTTAAGAAGAAATATTCTTTACTAATTCAGGAATTGATCTGGCTGTCCATGGAGCTATATGATTATTTCTTAACTGAAATTACTTGATCCAAAAAGAGTCTCATAAAAGATGAAGCCTAATGACCATATATCACTTTTAGAAGTATATTTCTCTCCTTTCAGTAATTAAAGAGATTAATAGAGAGGTGTACCAACAATCGATTCAATCATCTATTTTCTAAAATTATCAATAGCTTTAGAAAATCCAAAATCTAAAATTATTGTATTCAATTAATACCTGCTATTTTATATATACCCTTGTTTATGAGTATATTAGCTGGTTTTAAGTCTCTATGAATAATTCCCTTCTTCACTAATTCAATCATGCCCAAAAGAACGTCAACAAAAAATTACATAGCCTCTTTCTAAGGTAAATATTTCTTTTTTTTCAATAGACTAAGAATATTTTAATTGATACTGTTGTAAATCACCACCATCACAATATTCTTAGACTATATAATAATTGTTCGATGTTTCAAGTACATCAATAAGTTTCACAACATTATTACCCTACAAAGTACCCATTATTTTGATTTCATTCATCAAACCTTCTCTTAAATACTCATCTTCATTAATCACTGCTTTTGAAAGCATTTTGATAGCTACAAATTCTTTTGTTTTTTCATCTTAACCTTTAAAGACCTAAAAGTTATTAGTTCTATTACTTGTCCATAAGATCCTTCTCCAAGCTTGTCACTAATCTTGAAGACGAATCGATCAACCCTCTTTTCACCCATTTTTATTTAAATTATATATATATATATATAATATATAAATTTTCACTAAAATTCATTGTATCCAAAAACCCAATTAGATTACCATGGATTGATGCACAAATTACCATGTGAGCCACTTTAAATAACAATTAAGATAATCATCAATATTAAGAAGGCTATACTTAACCAAAATGCCCAAGTAATCCAATATCCAATAGTAGAATATTATGAATAAGCGAAATTATGCAATTATTGAATAGACTAAATTATATATAACATATGATATTACATTTTTAATTCCTTTATCATTGAAGCATTCATTATCCAATTATGACTTGAATCTTGAATCTACATTCCTCAAACCATCCTACACAACTAGATAATAATACTTACATCACCATTCATGTTATATAAATAGAGGGATCCAAATGCAATACACAATATAGCTACAACAACAGCAATAAGAATTAATATTTTTGGTTGCTTTATTTATGATACATTCAAAGTTTAGAAATTCTAATATATTTATAATAATAGATACTCTGCTTCTAATTAAATAAAGATAAACAAATAATACTATTCCGACCACACAAATCCAAAAGATTATTATACTAAACCATTTTCTTTATTAATAAATATCTTCACTATCCTCTATAATCTAATTAACATCTGCAGATGATATTGAACTGCATTCAATAGTTGGATTAACTGATATTCTTCTAATTCCTTCCAATGTATATGAATCTGATTCAACTTCATATGATGAATATCCTGGAATAGTATGAAGAGATGATAATATTCCATTCTCCTCATGAACCTTCTTTGCTGTTAAAGTATCAATCTTAACAAATTCATTCTACAAATTACCAAATTGATCACAACCAGTTGCTGGTTTTTTCAATAATGGATATGATTATTATGATTCAAATGTTGATGTAGTAATATCATTAAGACATGGAGCAGAATTCTTAACTTATTCAGCATTTCCAGGAATAATTTAAAATTATACAATTGGAATTCCATCATATGATTTTCTATACCATTTATTACCAATCTTAACTACTTAAGTATTTAATGATGTTGGATCTGAATCTGTAGTTGGATCAGTACTTAATAAAGTTAAATCTGAAAGTGGACACATCCTAGAAGCATCTCCATTTGTTGGAACACAAACATTACCACATTTCTTATATCCTTCAGAACAAGTATTTCCATTTAATTTAGTCCAACCAACTGTTAATTTTTAACATACCCTTCCACCATTCCAAGTTTAAAAATATTTAGAATCTTAACTATCTATTGAATCACATCCACTTCTAGCCCAACAAAATCCTTCCTTCTTTATTTATTTATCACATATGCATCCAGAATTTATTCCTGGCCATTCTCCTAAAGTTGCTAATGTGAAACCTTCTGGACATAATTCTGTCTCTATTTTGTGTTAGAAATGACTATGCATACTAGAGGATCTTGCAATATGTGGAGCTACAATATCAGCTATTGGTGTTAATGCTTAATTATGACTAAATGTTCTTAAGACATTATTTATTGGTTCCTAATTAAAATCTCTGTCTTTTTAAGCAATTATCATACCCATAAAGGCTAATATAGCTATAAAGAAAAGGAATGGAATAAAGTATATACACCAATCAATACAATAAGAACCTTTACTTTTAATTGTAGAAACTTATTAAAATGCCACTGGATTTTATTGAATATAAGGAGATTAAACCTAACCAGTTGTAATTACTTTGTGTTCATATACCGTTTAACTTCCTTATTGAGGTGTTTACTAAACGTAGCTGCTTTATTGTGGTTATTAAAAACCTAGAGTTCCTTAAGCTTTTGGAGGACTTCTTTATACATATGGATCCACTCCTTAATATTAAGGAGGAAAGACTTATTATTATTGTTGTTATTGAACTCCAAACATTGATGGTTGTTATTAGTTTCGATTATCAAACATGAAAATAAAATTTATTTTTGAAGAATAAAATTTATTGAAGGATATATAATAATAAACTAATACCTAACCCCCTTTTTCAAAGTTCATTGAAGAGAAATAAATTTATAAATAATAAATTTTAACTAATATCATTCATTCTTTCTTATAGCATTTCCAAACAATAGTTTTTTTGATTAATTCATATAAAATCTTCTTGATGATCTTGTACTCTCTACAAAACTAGTCATCTTATTTGGAGACATTGATGACTTTTATGGTGTCTCAAATTCACTAAAATCATCAAATTGTAAATTCTTTGTTACCATTAATTCATTAAAATCTTTCATGAGTCCTTACATTATTGATTGTAATTTGCATAAGTATTTCTATTTTTTTTACTTAATCTTTTAATTCTCATCATAAAATATCTCAGATGCCTTTATATAATTCTTCTAGATTTTTGAAGCTTCTTAATAAAACTTTACTAAATCATTTAATTCCTCTTAATTTATTGAATGCAAATCATTTACATTTTTTAATGAATCTAATTCATGATTTTTACTTTATTACAAAACATTATAACTTTCTTGTAATTTTTAATTCTCACCATCTAACAAACTTTTCAAATCACTTTTAATGCTTGTAAATCGATATTATATACAAGAAAGACAATTTTCTAATTCTTTATCAATTTACTTCTCTAAATCTAATTAAACTGTATTTGTAATAGGTTAAAATTCAATTTAATTAAATGAATCTAATTGTTGTTTCACTTAATCATTAAATTATTCAACAGTCCTTCTTTAATGAGTAACATGATCTTCCAAAAAACAATCAGCACAACCTTGTCACATTAAGTAAAATACCAATCTTTTGTTATACTTAACATATTGGATCTACACAAATATATTTGATTCTCTATGAATCATGGTTGGAATTTTAACAGTTCATTAAATCCATTAATTTTATTAATAAGAAAAGCGCCAAAGAATTTGCGGTAATTATTAATATTTTTTCACTCAAAACAACTGTCATTATTATATTGTATATATATTTGATTTATTGATCCCTATTTAAAAAAAGAGAACAGATCAAATAAGTCACTTCTTATTTTTATATTTATTATTTAATTAATGAGATATTATAATTAAAAAATAATTTATCACTCAATTTTATTAATATGAACACATCTTTCTAATTATGTTTATTTATATTATTCAATAACCTTTAACTTAAATAATTTTAAATAATTATTTAAAACTTTTACTTCATTTTATTCATTCCAAACATTTCTAGTTTGAAATACTTTTTATGAATACATCTATCTTTAAAATAAAATACAGGATTGTTAAAAGTTTAAAGATTTCAATAATTTAAAAATTCGAATTTAAAATTTAAATCAAGTGATTTTTTATATATACTTGTATGGTTATTATACAAACCAAGTATTTAAATGGATAATAAGTAAAAATTAATAATTAAGACTCAAACAAATTCCTAAAATAAACAAAATGATATTGATTTTACAAATTATCATTATCTATTAATTAATACTAATTTGAATTCAAATGAATTGTGTAATTATTTAAAGATGATATCCAANTCTCAAATTCACTAAAATCATCAAATTGTAAATTCTTTGTTACCATTAATTCATTAAAATCTTTCATGAGTCCTTACATTATTGATTGTAATTTGCATAAGTATTTCTATTTTTTTTACTTAATCTTTTAATTCTCATCATAAAATATCTCAGATGCCTTTATATAATTCTTCTAGATTTTTGAAGCTTCTTAATAAAACTTTACTAAATCATTTAATTCCTCTTAATTTATTGAATGCAAATCATTTACATTTTTTAATGAATCTAATTCATGATTTTTACTTTATTACAAAACATTATAACTTTCTTGTAATTTTTAATTCTCACCATCTAACAAACTTTTCAAATCACTTTTAATGCTTGTAAATCGATATTATATACAAGAAAGACAATTTTCTAATTCTTTATCAATTTACTTCTCTAAATCTAATTAAACTGTATTTGTAATAGGTTAAAATTCAATTTAATTAAATGAATCTAATTGTTGTTTCACTTAATCATTAAATTATTCAACAGTCCTTCTTTAATGAGTAACATGATCTTCCAAAAAACAATCAGCACAACCTTGTCACATTAAGTAAAATACCAATCTTTTGTTATACTTAACATATTGGATCTACACAAATATATTTGATTCTCTATGAATCATGGTTGGAATTTTAACAGTTCATTAAATCCATTAATTTTATTAATAAGAAAAGCGCCAAAGAATTTGCGGTAATTATTAATATTTTTTCACTCAAAACAACTGTCATTATTATATTGTATATATATTTGATTTATTGATCCCTATTTAAAAAAAGAGAACAGATCAAATAAGTCACTTCTTATTTTTATATTTATTATTTAATTAATGAGATATTATAATTAAAAAATAATTTATCACTCAATTTTATTAATATGAACACATCTTTCTAATTATGTTTATTTATATTATTCAATAACCTTTAACTTAAATAATTTTAAATAATTATTTAAAACTTTTACTTCATTTTATTCATTCCAAACATTTCTAGTTTGAAATACTTTTTATGAATACATCTATCTTTAAAATAAAATACAGGATTGTTATCAACTAAAAAATCCACATTTGAATATTAATAAAGTAATAAAAGTTTAAAGATTTCAATAATTTAAAAATTCGAATTTAAAATTTAAATCAAGTGATTTTTTATATATACTTGTATGGTTATTATACAAACCAAGTATTTAAATGGATAATAAGTAAAAATTAATAATTAAGACTCAAACAAATTCCTAAAATAAACAAAATGATATTGATTTTACAAATTATCATTATCTATTAATTAATACTAATTTGAATTCAAATGAATTGTGTAATTATTTAAAGATGATATCCAATATACTTATTAATAATGATATTAAAAGTTTTATCAAAACATTGTGATCATTAGACACAATATTAGATTAAAATTCAATAATTTTTAAGTATATAAATATAGATGGAATTTATTTATTTTTTAATGTATTATGTTAATGTATCAATAGACATTACCTTCAAAGGTTTATTTGAACCATTCAATAGCTTCCTTTTTGCTAACTCTCTAAGCTGTTCCTAATCTGGCATTTCTTGACTTTCTTTGAGCAACTCTCAAACCTGGTCTGGATAAGACAACATAGAAGTCCATACCAAAAATACCTACGCAATATTTATATTATTAATACCTGTATATGGGTCATATTTCAATCCCAAATCAATATGTTCTTAAATACCAAAACCAAAGTTTCCTGAATCAGAGAAATTTCTCTTTTTTAATTCCATTTCCTTAACTCTTAATCCTCTAAATAAGATGTCTTTTGCTTAATCACCTCTAATTGTGCAAAACACTGAAATCTTTTCGTTTCTTCTAATACCGAAAGATCTGACTGTGTATCGTGCCTTACCAAATACAGGCTTTTATCCTGTTAAATCCTCTAAAACTTTAGCAGCTTTAGTCAATTTATCACCAGACTCACCAGCACAAATGTGAACCATCAATTTTTCAATTCTAATCTTTCTCATAACATTTTCTTTAGTTTCTTATGGTTTGACAACTTTAGCTGGGGCTTAAGCCTTTGCTTCTGGCTTAGCTTATTATCCTTTTCCTCCTTTTGGTTATTGTTAAGACATCTAAAATTTAATTAAAAAAAATCTTTATTTTTAAATCACACATTTAATATTTTTATGCTTATCATTATTTCTCTTTCATCGAAGTAATTAGAATCGGAAATTCATAATAACAAATTATATTGATAATTTATTCTGTTTTTTAAGTTTAGATTAATAAAAGTAATAGGTATTTATGTTTGTATTTCTAATGAAATTGAAATAAGAATATTGATGATTTTTTTTAATTCTGATTTAAGACTTGAAATTAATTAGAAAATGAATATGTTTCTAATAAAATAAAATATTTTTACAATTATATTTATATATTTNATATTAATAAAGTAATAAAAGTTTAAAGATTTCAATAATTTAAAAATTCGAATTTAAAATTTAAATCAAGTGATTTTTTATATATACTTGTATGGTTATTATACAAACCAAGTATTTAAATGGATAATAAGTAAAAATTAATAATTAAGACTCAAACAAATTCCTAAAATAAACAAAATGATATTGATTTTACAAATTATCATTATCTATTAATTAATACTAATTTGAATTCAAATGAATTGTGTAATTATTTAAAGATGATATCCAATATACTTATTAATAATGATATTAAAAGTTTTATCAAAACATTGTGATCATTAGACACAATATTAGATTAAAATTCAATAATTTTTAAGTATATAAATATAGATGGAATTTATTTATTTTTTAATGTATTATGTTAATGTATCAATAGACATTACCTTCAAAGGTTTATTTGAACCATTCAATAGCTTCCTTTTTGCTAACTCTTTAAGCAGTTCCTAATCTGGCATTTCTTGACTTTCTTTGAGCAACTCTCAAACCTGGTCTGGATAAGACAACATAGAAGTCCATACCGAAAATACCTATGCAATATTTATATTATTAATACCTGTATATGGGTCATATTTCAATCCCAAATCAATATGTTCTTGAATACCAAAACCAAAGTTTCCTGAATCAGAGAAATTTCTCTTTTTTAATTCCATTTCCTTAACTCTTAATCCTCTAAATAAGATGTCTTTTGCTTAATCACCTCTAATTGTGCAAAACACTGAAATCTTTTCGTTTCTTCTAATACCGAAAGATCTGACTGTGTATCGTGCCTTACCAAATACAGGCTTTTATCCTGTTAAATCCTCTAAAACTTTAGCAGCTTTAGTCAATTTATCACCAGACTCACCAGCACAAATGTGAACCATCAATTTTTCAATTCTAATCTTTCTCATAACATTTTCTTTAGTTTCTTATGGTTTGACAACTTTAGCTGGGGCTTAAGCCTTTGCTTCTGGCTTAGCTTATTATCCTTTTCCTCCTTTTGGTTATTGTTAAGACATCTAAAATTTAATTAAAAAAAATCTTTATTTTTAAATCACACATTTAATATTTTTATGCTTATCATTATTTCTCTTTCATCGAAGTAATTAGAATCGGAAATTCATAATAACAAATTATATTGATAATTTATTCTGTTTTTTAAGTTTAGATTAATAAAAGTAATAGGTATTTATGTTTGTATTTCTAATGAAATTGAAATAAGAATATTGATGATTTTTTTTAATTCTGATTTAAGACTTGAAATTAATTAGAAAATGAATATGTTTCTAATAAAATAAAATATTTTTACAATTATATTTATATATTTTATTTTTGATTTGTATTCATTAATATGAAGCTAATTGTATTTATTAATATAATATAATACGTTAAGAATGGGAAATATTTAAGCCTATATAAATTATCATACAGAACTATCATTCACTTAGAATTTAGATGATTAAATTCACTTTTGTGAAACTATCTAAAATCATTCATTGGGAAAAATACAAATATGGAAGATTAAAGATAACTAATCATAAAAACTATTTTCTTTTGTAATTTTTATGATTAAATGTAGACAAGACATATTTATCATTCTGATTCTACTCTATTAAAGATTCATTAATAGAGATGTTCATTATAACATCCAAATTTACTTTAATACTATGCATGCACATAGACATAGCCAACATTTTGTGGAAGCGTTGAAAGTTAAAATTTTTTCTTTGAATATCAGCCTTATACAATGTAGAAAGTTTTAGATGAAAGAAGAGGGACATTACCAGAAATAGATATTTGGAAGGTAAAATTAAATAGTATAAGATGAAAGTTCTTAGAATAAATGGTTGATGTTTTAAATTACTTGTAGGAAAATTAATGTTTTCATGGCAACATTAATCTAGAAAATATTTTTGTTAAAGAAGATAACACAATTAAAATTTTAGATTCATTTAATAAATAATTAACTGATTATTTATTAAAATAAGATGTTTATGATTTAGCTACAGTCGTAATTGAACTAATGACAAAATAAAGTATTATTTATGTTATTAAAATTTAGAATTTCATAAAGAATTTAAAGAAACCCTAAAATCATTAACAGATTAATATTCTCTTTAATTATTATCACTCTTAGCAAAAATGCTAAATAAAAATCCAGATAATAGACCCTGTTTTAAGGACTTATCAACATCTATCAAAAATAGAACCACTTAGCCTATTTAAGAGAGCAAAAAGCAAGAATCTGTTTAACTATCTTTTCATATCAAATAAAATTTGAATTAAACAACATTAACAAATATATTAGTCCCTTAAAATTAAAACTATACATATTTATTAGACAATACAATTAAATACTATCCATAAAAGGTGTGTAATGATCTTAAATTTCCTTTAACTTAAGTTAAATATGTGAAAAAAAAGAATTATTCTATGGATTTAGGATCATTTTAAGTTGATTATCAAGAAAGCATTAATGATAATATGGATAGGAATAATAAACCTAGTATGCATGAATCTTAAACTTCTACAGTAGGTAGTCATCAAATATCCTTCTTGGAAACATGTAGAGGAAATCTCAATTTTACAACAAAATAGCTAAGTTATTAAAATAAAATCAAAATTTAATAGTAAAATAGTTCTGACCAAAATATTTTAATCTAAGATGATTTAAATAAAACAAATTCTACTTTTTATTGAATAACTGAAAAATGATATTAATAAATAATATATTATGATATATAAAATAAAATAATAATTTTGGAAGGAAGAAATATCATAATTAAACCATATTTTTTAAGCTTTTTAATTTTTCTAAATAATCTTATAAAAGATTAATTATTTTTTTTCTTTTTTTTTAATATGTATTTAGTACTATTAGAAAATCTTCTAATACCATTTACTCAAAGTTTCAGGGTTCTTAGTAAAGGTTTAGAAGGTCTAGAAATAGTATAAATTTAAATTTTAAATAATTTTTATTAATAAATTAAAGTTTTCATTAAAATATAAAGTGCAATTATCCAAATAAAATTTTGCTTCCACTTTAATTTTCTAAAATTTTAGGATTATTTTATAGAGCATTTAAATCCATTTGTTGACATAATACTATCTATTCTTTAATTAAATTCTAAGAAAATGTTATGGTCTTGAGCTAATTAAAAACGAAAGGTTATATGATGATTAAAATATTGCAATTTCTTTTGTTAGGTTGTGTATTATATGTATTTTCTATTTTTATCAATATTAAGTAGCATTATTCTAAATGATCTAAAAATAGTACTTATGCTATTATAAAAAAGAAATTTGTATTTAATTGAATAATTTAGTGATAACATTTGAGAATAGAGATCCCTAATTATTGTTAATAAAATAATTAGTATAATAAGAGTATTACTTTTTATGATTAATTTAATTTCACTTGTAATAAAAAAATCAATTTTTAACATTTTACAAGAAAACAAAAATCTTAATTTATATAAATTATTTTTTCAATAACTAAATGAAATAATACCTTAAGAAAATAGTTCATTTAAGACTTGCAGAGTTATTAGATCATCTTTATTTCCATGATACAAAGTCCTAAATAAATATAATGATAATGGTGATATTTTTGATGTAAAAATTATATCTCCTATTTTGGCCTTCATATTCTAAAGCAGTACATTCAGATGTATGAATAATACTATTTTTTAGGAAGTTTACTTAAATATATGTGGATCACTTTTTTCTTGGATAACCTTTTAAAAACCATTAGAAATAATAAATTCATACCCATTAAATATTCTGATAAGCATTATCTATACGTTTTTGCATTTAACTATGTTTATTGTTTTCAGCTTTTCTCTATATAACTTGTAAATTATTTCAAAAATATTTACTTTCTATATTTCCTACTTTTAATTGATAATCCTTTTTCACACTGAAATACATCATCTAAATTAATAGTATGATTTGGCAATTACATTAACATTAGGTATATTACTATACATAAACTACTTGATTATTGTTTATTGTTCTCGTAATTACTTTATCATATCATAATAACATATGCTTAGAAGATACTCATTTTATAATTATTTAATTGTACTTGCCGATTTTTTATATTTTATTACATTTCCATTAATTAATGATTATGTATCTAAATACTCATTGCTACTTTTGAGTTTCATATATTTCATTGATGCAATCATTATGTAACCATATTGCATTAAAATTAATGTACTTATTAATAATACTTATTATAGCTAATCTATATAGGAGCCACTGGAGCTCTACTAATATCAATAATTATTAGGATAGTATTTTGGACTGAGTCATTATATGTTCAATTTTATACTATTACATTGATAGTTCCACTTTGTTCTCATATTTTTATGAAAATTTATTAGAACATTTCTGATAATATATTTCAGTAAAAACTTTCAATATCTTTAATCCTTCATTTAGGTGAGATAATTAACCATTATAATTAAACTTCAATCTAAAAGAGTATTGGAGACTATATAATAAAAAAGTTTATAGATGTGGAGACTTTAAATAGTTAGACTATTCTTTAATTATTAGAATATCATTTAAGAAATTTAGAGAAAACAGATGATTTAGAAGAAATCTAACTCTATAGAATCCTATTAAAACATGAAATATAAGGAACTTATCTATAAAGTTTATTAGAGACAAAAAGATTTTAGATTCAAAATAGAAAACATTCATTATTTTTTAAAACAATTGGTTTTTTAATTAGTAAAAAGTATGATCAATAAATTTAAGATTTATATTCAGGTGAAAACAAATCTTCTTAAAATTATCATTTTTAAATTATTAAAATTAAAGAAACAGATAATTTATTTTAAAATTGTTTAGGTTTATTCACAAATTTGCTTGAATAAAAAATGTATATTTGGAATTAATTATAATAAGGATATGATAAGATAGAAAATACAGTAATTGATTTAACTAAAATGTACAAGATTCTTAATAAATTAAAGGATTAAATTCTTTCAATTTTATAATCTTCAGAGATGGAATTAATTTTAAAGATGTAAACTTTAAAAAGATTTAATGTTGTAGAATTAAGACTATTATCTCTCTATTATTCATTTCTATTAAATGATTATTAGTAAACTAAAATTATTGAAATTTATATTGAGGAATTAATTAGAATAGAAAATAGTTAAACAAATTCATCTTTTTTAAATTTAAATATCTTAAATAATGATTTAATTATTATTAGTTCTAGTATCTTAGAATAAACAGGAAAAATGATCAAAGTTAATACTGAAGAGATTAGTAGATTTTTTGGATATGAAGAAAATAATAAGAAATAGAATTGTACTCTTATTAATTTATATATGCCCAAATTTATTAGTCAAGATCATGATAAATATGTTTAAAAGTTTATTAACAAAGGAAATTCAACTCTATACAATAAAGGAAAATAAGTTTTTTGTTAAGATTATGAAGGATTTATATTCCCAATCATACTAAGTTTTTTGCATATAAATGAAAAATCTGAAGACTTTATATTGACTACTTCATTATAAAAACTCAAATCAAATTAAGATTATATTCTATTTGACTAAAATGGAAAAATATTAGGAATTTCTAAATATGCTTATTCTATGTTAATAAATAATCAAACTCATAATAGTTCCACTTAATCAATGTAATCTTAAATTGAATAATCAATATATGAATGCTATATATAATTTTGGATACCTAATATAGATACATTAATTTAAAATTCTAATTTTGATCACGACAAGTATTAAATCAATAAATTAATTCTTGAATTATCAATATTAACTAACTTCACACAATATTTATATTATTTTAAGTAATATCAAAGTATTAATCCTAATTTTAGTAAAGAGGCTTCCTATTTTGAAGAATTTTTGCAATATTTTAAACAATAATTGTCTAATCATTCATTTATGATTAGTATAATTTAATTTGAAGTTCAAATTTCAATGCATAAACTGCCTACTGAATAATATTATTACATTTGTAGCATGTCAAAACAATGTAAAGACGTTTAATCCATGTTAAGTTTTGATCAAGAAACATCAACTTATAATTAAGATGAAATTATCAAATAATAGCATATTCATGCTCAACCTCCAATTATTTAAATTCAACCAAAATTTATAACAGAAATAGAAAAAATTACTGAAGTTTTACCATAAACAATTAGAATAATTGAAAAGTAATTATTAACTAAAGAAATAAATTAAGATAGAAAAGATGAATTAATATTGTCTAACATTGACAGTTAATAGATTATGAATAAGGGTAATAGTAGCTTGTAATTTGAAAAATAAAAAAACGATGCTATAATAGAATTTGATGATTAAAAAATATCATAATCAAGTCGTTAGTCAAAAAGTTCTAATTCTTAAGTTTAAGACTAAATAAGAGAGTTATAAAAAAATAAAGGATTATGTGTATCTATAAAAAAGATTTGGATAATTACTACTTTCCTTTATATCAGTATATATTTGCTGGTTTTCGTAATGTTAAGTATTTTATCTTCACAAAATTAATTGTTATAATATGATATTGAATTAGTTAGAATTCCTGATAAATTCAATCGCCTATATTGTTCATTTGCTACTATAGGATAGATGGATTTAGAAAGATCATTATTGGGTATAGACTATGGAGAGTATATAAGTTATAGAAAGATAAATCATGGTAAAGTTATAAGAAATGAAATGGAAAGTATGATGATAAATTTAAAAAACAGATTCTCTATTTTAGAAAATGAAAAAAGACTTTAAAATCTTACTGTTAGAATACTCAATCAATTTAGTTATTCTGAAGAAGAATTAACAATGATATAATTTGACATGATAGCTGATTCTTATACTGAACAATTATTTTAACACATAATTCAAGGGTTAAATTATTCAACATCTAATAGACTTTCCCTTATAGATTAATATTATAAACTTTAATTTATCAAAGCAAATCTAATTAATTAAATAACCTCTTCTTAAAATTTAATAGATGAAATTATTGTTGAGATTCAAAATTCACAAGAAACTACAATTACTATACTTTATGCATTATTGAGTTTTAAGTTATGTTTTGTATTATTATGTATCCTATGTTTAATATAATTTTGGAAAAAGCCATTTAGTATAGTTTAATTATAAGTTGAATTATTAAGTCATTTATCTGAAGAATAAATTAAATTAAGTATCAATTCAGCTAAATAAGCAAAATAATTGATTTCTCATCCTTATAAATGGAAAAGAACTAATTATTTATTTGAATGTTATCATAAAACTATTTTTAAGGATTAATAATGTATACTATCTAAAATATAAAATAATATATCTACTAAAAAAACTAAATAAAATTTAAGATTGCTTGATTATTAATTTAATCATTTAGGTATATATCTTAAAAATTGTATGTATCTTATATTACTATTAAGTTTTATAATATCAAGTTTTTTTTATATGAAATATGGTATAGATTCTACTTAATCAGAAATTCTATTAACAATCTAATATGTTTAATTTAAATAAGACTTAGATTCTTTGGTAATTTTAAGTTAACTATTAAAAACTAATTCAATTTTATCTGGAAGAGTTCGTGAATTAGGTTTTCTAGATTTAAATAATTAACTTTAGGATCCAGATAAATATTTTCATACTTTGGAATTAGAATTAATAGAAAAATTTTAAATAAAATAGGATAAAGCATAATAAGTTAACTAAATTATATACTAAGATATAATAAATTCAAAAAAAATATCTTCGAATGATAAAGAAATACTATAAACATTATATTAGGATGATTTATGTTCTGTAATGCCAGATTAACTTCCATTTTGTAATTTTACTAATAATTAATTCTAATATTTTCCAGATTATCCTATGCCAAGAGATGAAGACAATAATAGAGAAATCTTTAGAAATGGAATTAATGGCATATTTTAAAAGTAAATTTATAATATTAATATAATAGATTATTAGTGATATTGAAATCTTATTATTAATTAGAATTGTAAGGTCACAAAAATACTAATTAAACTGAAACTGAATATTTTTTATCCACTCCAGAATTTAAACATTATATTTTAGAATACTTTTTTGACATTAACAAAGCTGTAGTTAAATTTTATACTACAATTTTAGAATCAACAACTGATATTCTATAAAATGATTTTTAAAATGCTTTATTTTATTATTTAATATTTGGAATATCAGTTTTAATTGTGTAAGGAACTTTATAGATATAAAATTTATCCAAAATTTAAGAATTGGTATCAGCTAGTAAATTTGCATTCATTTTGATGCCTTTAGAATGTTTAAATGAAAATAAATGTTTAGCTATCATCAAATAAATCATAAAATAATATGATCTATGATTAACTTTAAATTATTATAAATTTATCATATTCACTTAAAATATTTAAATAACATACAGTTTTTTTATTTTTCCCCTTAATATTGTTCAAATAATCTCAATTTTATTATTATACATAAAAGTATAAAAAGTATAGCTTTATTAATATATTTAATTTCAAATTTTTAAATAAATTTATATATCAATAATTTCAAGTGTTTAATCTTTTAATTTTATCAAAATTTAAAGTAGATTAATTGATTTTCATTATGGCTATAAATTATAGCATTTTTGCTAGAGTTGCACCTAAAATTGTATAACAAATTGCAAATCCATATATAACTGCCATTTTTTCATAAACTTGATATTAATAAAATTTTACAATATTGTTACTATTTTTATCTAAATTTACTTAAAACACTAATGACCCATATTTGAAATATGTTTGTAGACATAGATAGAATTCCAAATGATAATCCCAAAGATCGTTAATTATTTTTTTGAATACCAATTAATATAGTACTTGATATCTTATATGATTATGTTTAAATTTACAGATAATATTGTTTGATTATACTATTACATTGTGATTGTTAAAATTGTAATGAATAATCTGAGACTGAATAAACTTTTATAACAGATTAGTTAAAGTGTGCTTAGAATAAAGTAAACTAAAGAACTAGATGTAGCAGTAGTTAAGTATTAAAGAGCATCAATCTCGTTTTTAATTTTCTTTCCCAGTCTATAAGCAATAAATACAGCTAAAATCTACTATATTTATACAAATAAAAATTGGAAATTCAGAAATTGCAAATGCTACAAAAATTATCCAAATTTCTTATGGATTATTTATTTTGTATTCATCAAAACAATAATCCAGTTGATATTATTGCCAGATCTAAATGATACTCATTACTGAAGTAGCAGAAATTGCAATTAAAATTACATCAGTTTTACATACATCTTTCATTGCTTATAACAAATTGCTCCTTGATTTTATAGGAATATATTATAATTCTGGAATTTTTTAATAGATATCAAAACGAAATATTGAAAATGATTTATAAATACATATTGCCAAGGATATAAGTATTATGAATGGAATCATAGATAATATTAATTAAATGTTTTTTTCATATTTAAGTCGATTTTCTTAAACAGTGAAAATTGCTTATAAGAAAAATATCATAGTACACAACAATCGACCTCCACATTCAAATTAATAGAATTTTGCAATTTATCTTATAAATAAATATAAAACTTTACAATGGTATTTCATTTTCATTAAAATGCTTTGATATCATAGTTAATATAATTATTATTTACAATTATTGGCCCAAAATTTAAAATCCTATAGCAAAATATATGTAGTCATCTATTTCTTAATAAATATTTGCTAAAAAATAGATATATGAAACAATTGTTAACCATTATCCAATGAATAAAATGTTCAAATTAAATTAAACATGGTCTATAATAAAACCACTTAATGTAGGACAAATTATTTTCAAAACAGTCATAATTACGTAAAAAAATATCTAATTCACATTCTAATATAAACTAAGATTCAAATAGTAATTAGCAATGAAAGTATTCCAAAAATTGGAAAAATAAATCATCAGAAATAAAAATCTGATTGTAGATTATTTGATCATCAAAAATATAAATTATTTATCTCATTTGATAATAAATTATTTAATATTTTTACATTATTGAATTAATAAAGTAAAAATTTCATATTTGATGAATAGCAAAATAAATTAAATAGTATTATGACTTAGATGAGGTATTAAATATAAAATCAATTTGAACCAAAATTAATATTAAGTTTTTTGAGACATTTATTTTTAACACATTAAATATATTTATTTGAACTATTTTCATCATCTAAACAATTTTTCATCTAATTTTAAATAATTATTTACATTTTATGTTGCTTTACAATCATCAAAATCTTTATTACATAATTGAATAACTGAAAAACAATCATCATCTTAAATACAATTTTATAATTCTTATTTGCAAATTGATTTTATGCATTAAAATTAATTGATATCTGATTCTCCAACTCTTCTCTAAGTTGTTTCTATTATTAATAATAATATTGAAATTAAAATTATCTTGCTCATTATATTAATAATATAAATATAAAATACTTAATTGAGTATTCAATAACAAAATGAAGTTTATATTTAATAATTCATTTCATCCAGAAAATAGAGTAGCACTTCTTATTTTATTATTTACTTTACAAACTGCTTCTAAATGAGTTTAAGTTTTTTTATGTTTTATATCTAAATCTGTTATATCATTATCCTTTTTTACAACATTACCTTCACTCAAAGTATCTTCATCCATTGCCTCTTGTTAAATATCTAATGATTTTTGATTCTCTGTAAATATTGTTGCTCCAATATTATTTTCATATGAATTAATGTGTTATGCAATAGGTCTTAAGTCTTTTTTCTTTGATAAATATTTAAGAAAAGGAATCAATCTTAAAAGACAATCATCATCATCTGAATCTAGATAGGAAGGTATAAGTAATCCATTTTCTTGGCATCTATCAAAAGCATTAGGATTATTCTAATATTGGTAGCAATTATTACATCTATGAAAATTATATCCTCCATAGGTCTATCTAATAAGGATAAATCTTTAAAACAAACACCATTTATAAATTGACAACTTCCTCTAGCATAATAATCTGATATCAATCTATCATTGTCAATATATGCTAACACTTTTTCACAATAAACTTCATAACCTGCAGTAAAGATTATTATTTCATAATCTCTACTAGCTTCAACTAAAAATTAATTTAAATGTGGTCTAGTTCTTAAATAAATTTTGTATTCTTATCCTTTATGATTAACTTTCAGTAAAGTTTCATGCTAAAAATTATTATTCTCCTTAAATTCACAATGTACTAAGGTTTCATCTAAATCTAAAACAAGCACCTTCTTTTTCGAATGCATTTTTGGAGATTGAGCTGGCATATATTGTTTTGAAAACTTGCCTCTGAAGTGTTCATAGCAATTTTTGAATATAGCCATAATACTCATATTTTTTTTATATAAAATTAAGTATGAATAAAGGATTGATAATTATATAAATTAAATCAGATATTAACTTTCTTAATACATAATCAAGCATAAAAGTAATTAATATATATAAATAAATAATCATTATTCAGCAAAGCATTTTTCTTCTAATTTTTAAAAATATTCAGCTCTTTCTGCAGAATGAGATCGACTGACTCTATGACTTCTATTTTTCTTAATCATTTAATTTTTCTTTCCTGTAATTTATTAATTGATTTTATCTTTTGTGAATTAGTTATATGAGGATATAATTTTATCATAGTTATAATTAGGAAAGAAAAGAGGGAAATTGCACATTCTATCAATATTAGTTTCTTCTGAAAAATAAGGGAGTTATCCTTTTGTACTAATTTTAAAAGGATTTTCATCTTCTTCCTCTTCACTATTTGATCTAAAGATTATATGATATTTTACTGATTCAATTAAATTTATAATTCATCTTCACTTTCATGGATATTATTATATACAAATTTGATTTCATCTGCTACAATATTGGTTAATTGAGAATTAGCTCTTGAGTTATATTTAATTCGTTTATTTTATCTAATAAATTATTTATTAAATATTTTTAAATTTTATTCTTAATTACTTTATTCTTCTTTAATTATTTCGAAACGTTTCTCCTCATTTATAACATAATGTAATTTAGGACATTCATAAGCAAAGTGAGACATACTTTAACAAGCAAAACAACATTATCCTAATGGTGTATAATCATTATTAATTTCAACAATGTGTTTATTCATTAAATAAATTTAATTTTAATTACTATTTAATTTCAGTTTTTCAAAAAACTTTTTTTTATTAAGAATCTAAACATAAACAAAATTTAATGTGTATGCAGAAGCACTCCTTGGTTTATCTGTAAAAAAAGCTAATTCACCAAAGGTAGCTCCATCTTCAATTATTTTTAAACAAGTTATTGTCTTCTAAATACAAATAAGAACTTATCCTTAATTTAAAAAGTATAAATTTCTATCTTAAATATTATTACCATTTTCTTTCTCTATTGGATCAATTCCTTCCAAAAATATACATTCTTCTGGTCCATAAATTTGCTCTTCTAAAAGATATGGCAATTAAGATAATATTTCCTTCTCAAATTTACCTGAATTAAATAAAACAGATTATTTTATAAGAGAAGTATTCACATTCTATAAAACTTCATCTTTTAAAGTAGATGATAGAACAGATAAAGCATCTTTCTCATTCACTTATGATGATTCAGTTTCATATTTATATTCTAAATATTTTCTTACTCTTGCTTATAAATCTTTTGGGATTTCATTAGATTTCAAAAATTAATTAGCTTAACCAAGTCTTAATCTTATTGTTTTTTCATTTGTATCTAACTTAACAAAAATACCTCCTATACTATTCATTATATATGCAAAAACACAACAAGCCAACAACATGACTATTATACCAAATAACTTTTCAACTGAAGTAACTGGAACAATATCACCATATCCAACTGTTGTCATTGTAGCTGTAGCCCAATAAACTGATGCCACATATTTTATATACCATTCATTTTCAGCAAGATCTGTAGCTTATAACCAACTATATCCATCAGAACTATTTTCTTATTCAGCTATAAAATGCCAAATACAGGCTAACCAATGTGCTACAAAAAGCATTATAAAAGTTAATTTAAGCAATTAATATATTGTTACAACTGATCCACTTATATCTATATAATCTTCTAATTTAGTAAAGAGCTACTTAAGTTTTAAAACACGTAATAGTCTTATAATTTTTATTAATCTAAAAAATTTCAAAATTCTTAACAATTTCATTGTTTATACTAGTGAATCCTTTTAAGCTTAACTTTATTCTTTAGTTAATTCATCTTCATCAACTTCAACAACACTTGATGTAGCAGCTTCAACAATTAAATCAAATGGAAATGTAGATACTATGATCATAAATCATTATAGATACCTACATCTATCCAAAACCACCATTTTAAATAATTTTATATAATCAATTAACGATCATATACATATTAACCTTTATGTTAAAAGGCTGTATTAAAATTAATGAATATATCTAGAGTAAATACAGCTAAACTAAAAAGATTAAAATCATCTAAAAAAGTGGATTCAATATTAAAAGAAATATCAACTGGTAATATTAAGATAGCCAAAAATATTACTAACATTGTAAATAGATCCCATATTATTCTAATTCTATCCTCTTAAGTAAATACTTTTATATAAGAACAACTTGGTTATTTTTCTTCTTATTCTTTTTTTTGAATCATAACACTCATTTTCCTAGATATTGAAGCTCTCTTCGCTTTTTCCTTAATTTTTGCAGTCTGTACAAAAGATAAATCATTGATTATTTTTAATTGTCTATCATCAAAAAGTAAATTGATGTCTTCTATTTATTCATCATTATCTATTTATTAAACAGTAAATTGATATTTCTTTTTAATTAAAGACTGTTTATTGTTTTCAGTTCTAATACTAAAAATTCTTTCATCCCCAATATCTGAGTTTTCAAAATTTTTACTTGTCCCTCTAGGAGAACTTGATTGCATTTTATAATTTATAAATTGATTATATTATTATATGTATTTGTAAATACATTATTTTAATTTCTATTGATTTATCACTGTATCATTTTTAAACTGCAGTTAACTTTATAATATATTTTAAAAGATATTAAAATCTTTATAACTTATATAAATATTATTTAGAATTGAAAGATATCATAAAGTTAACACTTTAAATATGGACTAAATATTAATTGATTATAAATTTTTGATATTATTAGTAATCCTCTAATAAATCATATTAATAGACTTTTTTTTTAATTTAAACATAAATTATCAGAGCTTCAGCAATTTAAAGGCTTTTTTTCTTATAAATTTTCTAATAAAAAATTTAAAGATAAATGTTTGACACATAACATTCGATTGATTAAGAAGAACTAGATACTTAACAATCATAATCTTTCCTTTAACCATATCCATCACAAAATTTCTAATCCGCGATTGATAGCTTAAGAAATATTATGCTATTCAATTATATAGAAGATTAAACTCAAAATAATGAATAAGAATCTTAAGAAGGAGTTTAATTACAAGAAATTAGTTCATCTAGTGAATATGAAAAATAAACATAATAACCTAAAGATTTTGTGTTTACTACATATCATCCATCAGTATTATTTGGAGAAAAAAAATATAATACATATAAAAAATTATTTTCAAGAGAATCAATAGGTATTGATAATTCTGAAGAAGTTGCTGAAGAATAATATAGAGAAAGTGACGACATAAGAGATTAAATTCATTCAAACTTAGCTCTAATAAAATCTTAATTAAAAAATTTTGATAAGAAATAAAGAAATCCAGCAAGGAATAATATTAATCAAAGATAGATAGTACTATTTGAGGAATAAAGTTCAAATTAAAGTAATTTATCTTTGTCTGATATTGATTCAATTATGGATTAAGAATTAAATGATGAATATAATCATGGTGTAGAAAAAAAGATTTAAAATTATAATTCAAATTGCAACATTTTGGAAAAATTCACAACTTAATATAAATCATAAAGTTAAATTGAAAATTTCTGATATTCAAAAAGATTGATAATATTTATAATACTTTATGAGAAAATAATTTATAAATTTTAACTAATATATATATATATATATATATATTTTTGAACTATATTTTGCAATATTATCATTCTAGAATTTATTCATTCCATCACTTTGCAATTTTTAGTTCTATTTAAATAGTTTTAACAGAATAAAAAAAATTTGTTAGGACGTGATCGAAATAAATTGTGCTTAGTCGAAACAACTATTTTTTTAGAAGGCGAGAGGGATGAATTTCTAATCATAATATTAAATTTCTTACTTTCTCCTATCCATATTTCCAAGACTGCAATCTGTCTTAGAAATACTAAATGCACTCACTTCAGTATCTGCTCTTAATTATTCTAATTTAGATTAGGTTTTTGAATGAGACTTCATTAATTAATAAGAGATTATTTATTTTCTATCTACTTGAGATGTATCTTTATCATTAAACATAGATCGTAAGATTATACTTTATTTTTATTACTTTTTTAATTTGTCTTCTTCATCATTTGGCATTAAATATGCTCTTTTATAAGTAATTTATTTCATTTATAAATGAGTATCTTAAACATTCATTAAACTTGATTATAATTATTATTATTATTTTATAAAACTATTTCTAGTTGGAATCATTCCTTTCTTTTTATAATCATCAATTTAAGAAACTAATTTTTTTAATAATCTATCAGATTAAAAATGTTTTGAATGTTATTATTAAAGTAGAGTCTTTTAAGAATTAATACCTTCAAATTATTCAGTTTTTAGTTTTACACTCATTGTTCTCTTGATTTAATCTTTTAAAAGTTGAGTTTTTTAAAGAGTATGATTTTCGAACAATTCTTACAAACTCTAAGTTTCTTCTAACATTTTTTAAAATTAGTAGTATTTAAGCAAAAATAATGTTACCTTTTCTGATACTACTATAACAGTATATTCACGTTTCCCTTAAGTTTTATATTCAATTGCTCCGAAAATGTTGCCAATTCCCATTCGAGAGATTTTTACACTTTGATTTTCATTTACTTTATAAGATTCAACTTCTCCCTTATATATTATGTAAAAGCAATCAGAAATTTCATTTTATTTGTATATAATTCTTCCTTTTGTAAATTTAATCTTTTTAAAATCATAAGCATATTAAGTAGCTATTTATTGTTTGGTGTCTGAAGGCAAAAAATGTTCATATAAAAATTGAAGCCTTTTATTAATAGAAGAAACTTAAGCCTATTATAATATCAATTTATAAGAAGAAGCATCTACTTAAGCTAATTCCACAAAATCAGCTGCTAATACAGTTGCTGATCTTGGTTATTCTAAAATTAATCCAAGTTCTCCAAATGCTTCTCCTTATGATTATTTTGTAATCAAATTTTATGTGAAAACACCTTATTCAAAAAAATAATTAATATCATTAAATTAATCAGGATATAGATCTCCTGTCTCCTTAAGGTAATCTTTATATTGCTTTATTTATCTTAATTTTGAAATGTGAGAATTAATTTGATTGACAGACTTAAATGTTAAAATTTGATTTAATCTTTCAATTATTTCTCTTTAATGATTTTTCTTTGATTATTCATCAAGCATATAGTACTATTCAACAGTTTATTCTATCTCAATTTAAAGAAACTTCTTCTTTTAATATATATGAACTGTTCCATTCAAAATTATGTAAAAATCATTTGCAGGTTGACCTGAATTGAATGTGTATATGAGTACCCTCCTTAAAAATGATTTGTCCAGGCTGAAAGGAAATGTATTTCATCACTCGACATGTTTGATAATGTAATTATTAAAGTTGATTTTTTCGATATAAATTTATCTCCTTAAAATATTTCAATGGTTTGGTTGCTCTAACTAAATGCCAAATTTCATCTTCAGTTCTTTCATCTTATCTTAAGATGTTTTTGGCTTCCAAACATAAAATAAATTATTACTTCTAAAAATGGTTATTATTTCATTAAATATAAAATATATATTAATTACTAATATGTTATTGAAATGTAGAGAAAGACTAATTAATAAATCTTGATTTGAAGAATAATAGCAAATTTTAGAATAACTCAAAATAATGAAGAAATATTTTAGAATAAATAGTGTCAATATTAGATTATCATTTTTTGTTTATATCAAATATTATAATATATATTCATTATTGTTATTATTATATTCTTTATGTAACTGAGGTAAATAGATGTTTTTTTTTAAATAAATTTATGTTTATTCAATTTTGACTTGATGCGATATAAATTATAAATATAGAATTGGAAAATAATTAAAATTTAAATAGATGCATAAAAAGATAGCTAAAATTGAAATCAATTATGTCACATTTATAATTAATATTCATGACCTTAAATGAAAAACAAGTTAATTAAAACATAAGGATATCACCTAATACAATTAATTATATAATTAATTGAATACAAATAAACTTACAATTACATCTTAAATAATTAATCAAACATTATCAATCTAATAACAATTAAGATCTTAAAAGCCAAATCTATAATGTTAGGTTGAAAAATAAAGATATAAAGAAGAAAGAATATTTTTATTAATGCATCTGAATCTTCTACATCTGCAGCCTCATATAAAACTAATATACTTAATAAATGGAGAAAAACTTTCAGTGAGACAAATTCCTTTTAATAAAGCTTATTTTAATAAAAGATTATTTTCAAAATTATAATGAGTTCAGATAGTTTAAATAACATTCTAAAAACTTAAGGAGACTTTAATATTTGATATATAAAATTTTTAGTATTACCAAACTTTCATCAAAAAGAACAACTATCAAGTGAATAATAGAATTGTTTAATCTCAGATAGATTATATACTTTTGTTGAGAAAATAAAAACACAGCATTTAATTACTGTGGCCTAATTAAAACAGTCATGCTATTATAAAGCTTCAGAATGATATCAAAAAAAAAAATGAGAAAATTTATGAAAAATCAAAAGTAAACTTATACAGAAAATTAAAAACACTTTCATTGGATAATTTTTACAAGTTCATAACATAATCATATTTTTAAGTAGATAATTAGCATAATATATAAAACTCAGTCATTCTACTTTATTAAAAATGAGAATAAGGATTATTTAACTGTTTCGAATATTACTTTATGTACAGGAAATTAAATTTTTCATAGACTCTCATAAATATAGAATAATTTATCCCTATATTAATATCAATCCTTTATCCAAAATTAAATTGAAAGACTAAAAAAAGATAACTTAAAACAAAGCCATTTCATATGAAAGAATCACCTAATAATTAATAAAGAAATCCATATGGAAATTATTTAGCCATCGAAATCACAAGCCCATATATAACAAACACTTGATTGCAATCTAACAATTTAAGAAGGTTAAAAAATCAAAGAACTTCAAACATTTTTACTTTTATTTATATGTCCTTAAAACACTCTTTCAAAAAAATGAAAAATTTAGCTAAGTTTAATATAACTATAGTTCAATTAATAATGGTAAAATTGTATATCACAATCCCTTAAGTTAAGGTATACACTAATTGATTTTATAAAAGAAGATGCAAAAGTTTACAAATTTTGGGAAAAAGTGAGAGAAATATGAAAAAAAAAATAAATAGCTTTTATTAGTTAATGTGAAAAATAAACAATTTGATTAATTTTCATCGATTTTGAGTACCTCATTTAAACTTAAGAGTTGATTTTGGAAACTAAATAGCATTTTAAAATGATCAAATTATCAAATCATAAACATTAGAATAATTACCTAAAAAGTTCTAAACCAACTTATTTTATTTGCTTTTATTTTTTTTTCCACATATAAGTCTTTAGCATTTCTATCAATAACATATTAAACAATATTAAGTGAAAGAACCAAAGATTAAAAATAAATACATTATAAAAAGGAAAGAAAGAAATGAGTAAAACAAATTTTAACCACCCTCCATGAATGATTCATAAAAAAATATAGACAAACTTAAATATAGTTAACTGGAACATCAGTTCCTTTAAAAAGAATACCTTATATATAATACAAACCCTCTGTCCACAAATAATCTGCTTGTAAGAAGTAAGAGGCTAACTAGTATAAAACTCAGCGAGATATACGAATTACTAAGCTAGTAAAAATTCTGTAGAATCTGGAGGCATAATGCTAGGAGTTCACAAATAATTCTATTCACAAAACATAACTAATTATTATTATCCCCAAAATAATAAGAGTTTAAAAATAATTTGCAAAACTTTAAACAAACAATAATTCAAATCATGGAATAAATAGGATATTAGATGAAATTATTAATATGTGCAGATTTCAATTATGATAAAAAACCTGTTCCAATCTTCAATGATTTATAACCATATAATAACATTCCAAAGAAAAATTTAAATAGAATTATTCACTATGAATTGATCATATTCTATCTAATCAATAAATAAAAATGAAGATTCTATGAACAATTAATTGATCATATGATTCATGAAATAAAAAAAGAATAAACTGGCTTCATAAAAGGGTATGGCACACAAATTAATTTGTTGTTAATGAAGGATATAATAAAAATTACACAAAAAATGGTCAAAAACCATAATCTTTATAGATTTTTCTAGTGCATGCATAACCATTGGCATAATCGATTATATAATTTAATGTCGATGAAAAACATCTTACCTGAAGAAAAAATAAGGTGTTTACAAGCAACACACAGCAGGATCTTATATATACATTCTCTTAAAATTAAGTAAAATATCCTTATAAAAACGGGGTCCCTTAAGGTTGACCTATATCCCATCTCATATTTATTATATAAGTGGATAATTTTTTGAAAAATTATCTGAAAAACCTAAATATTCATTAAAAAAGTTTGGATATGCAGATGACCTAGCATATGCAAAAGCCAAATACAAGTTTTTGTCAAAGTTTTAAATTAGCTCTCGCGAGAATGGGAATTGAATATTAAAAAAAATATTTCTGGAATAATGCCAATCAAAGATAAAATGTAAAAACTAGAAATGAACAATCTTCCTATTAGATATAAATATCTAGGAGCATCTATAAACAAACCTCCAATATATTTTTTCATAAATGAAAACTATATTTTATTTTTAGAATGGTTTTCCTTAAGATTAACCTCTGTCTTTGGCACTTTTTAATAATATCTTGAAATCTTTCTAGTTTTATTAAAACAAAATTGTAATTTTATTTTGAATTTGCAAATGAAATTGTAATTATTATTAATCATTTTAATATACTATCCTTTTTATAACAATTGATATTAATTTTTGAACAATAGTAGAAAAAATGTGGAATATTTTTCATTCAAAACCATGAGTGTGGTCAATAAAACAATATATAAGGTTTCCCTATTGTTAAAACTTATAATTACCTTGGAGTAAATAAATAAATATTACAATGGAAAATTAATATTTAGCTTGGAAAGTTGTAATGGATTCTTAAAAACTGATTGGAAATAGAAATATTAATAATTCTAAACCTTCCTGCTCCAATGCATACTATATATTTGTCCTTCGATCCCAATTTAAGAAATACAAAGAAATATTTCTTAAGATAATTGGTAAGTAACATAAACAAAAAACTTTATAACTGATTGATTGGGTTATCTTTATGTAAAATAGAATAATAATATATTTAGATGATTTTTTTAGACAAGGTTTTACTAAATTACCAAAGTTTTTTTTAGCAGAATTGTTTTTTGAAATAAAAATATCATTTAAAACAAACTTACATAATTCCTCATTTTTATATTCTTTAAGTGCAATACCTTCCAAAAATATTAAAACCTGATTAATGATCTAAAGATGTTGAAAAAGACTATGTTTTTTATAAATGAATTCTTAAAATTTAAGTTAAAACAGTACTTATTTTTTTAGATGACGTTTATAGAGATGATGATTTTCTTTTGTTTAAGTCTAAAATTTAAAATGACTTTTATTTCATAATATTTATTTTATCATTATTCTTCTTTTATTACTCCTTTCTTTTTATATTTATAGACATGGCCAAAAGTGTTTTTTCTTTTTGTATCATAACAGCACCGAGGTATTTTATGATTAACTAAGTAAAACTATTTTCATTATGAAAGTTTTTAAAATATTAAAGCTTTTTTATAGTACACCAGCAAAGCTCAAACAGAAGGTTTATGGAGTTGAAAATGCGTGAAGATATTTTATTCTTTTTTTATCTTATCAGTCGTATAAATGTGAGATATATCTATAATTATAATGACCTTATCATATAATTCTAGGTATTATTCATTTCCCGCACTCTAGACTCAAAAAAAAATTTGTTATTAATTATGATAAAATCCATGCAATAGGAGCTCAATAAAACTTAAATTTAACTCTAATAGAAGAATTGAACCATAAATAATCATCAAATAATTTGACATATCCCTGATTAAATATTTTACATATAGCTTATTAAATAGTTTCTACAATTTTCAATGTAAAGTTTTGAAAAAAAATACCTTAAATACAGGAATTTTTTATTCTTTTAGAAAATATTATTATTATTATTGATATTAACACAAATTAATCAAATATCCCATTCATAAACTCTCTATATTATAGTATTTCAGACTAAGATAATTTTGAATTGCATAACATAATGTGTTTAAATGAAAATATACAATTATGTTATTTAAAATTTTTCTGAGTCATATGAAATAGTTTATTAAAATTATTTGGCAGTATATCAATGAAGCCTTTAATTTTTTAAAAATATCCTTAATCAAATTTTAAATTCTCAAAATAGTTGTTATTGATTGGTTTTATTTAGATAATTTATCTCATACACATTTTATAAAGTA